TATTTTTTGAATTCTTAAATCTAATCTGAGAATGAAGTATAAAGAAATTTTTAATTAGCACTGTATAGTTTAAGATATTTATAGCTTATTATAACCATTGATACAAAGGCCATAATCTTTCGCAAGCTCTTTAATATACACCTTGAAGCCACATTTTATATCCTTGAACCACACAATATAATCTAAAGCATGTTTTAATGTAGACTTTTTGTCACAACAAGACTGCAACCTATAGTAACATCTATAAACAGAACCCCTAATGTCTACTAACAAATTTCTTCTAGTCCTAAAATGAGCCCTGTCTCTAAAAACCTAACTGAACTAGCGTTTCGGTGTGTGCAAAAGCTTTCAGGCACGCGCATTCCTTGCCCCGTTAGTTACCTGTCCTTCCAAAACCAAACTAGCAGTCAAGGACAAAAAGTCATACACCAAATGGGCATTATATTTTATGAATTGTTTTACATCTTTTATTCTGTAAAATGTGCTAAAATTAAATTTCTTGTTTCATTGAAAATTTCTTGTTTCATTGAATAATAATAAGGGCAGTTGATATAATAATAATAATAATAAGTAGGAATTTATACATCGCTTTATAGCCATAAAGAACTCAAAACCCAAAGATTCAGTTCAAACCATCTAAAGCGACTCATGAGTAACATGTACATAAGAACTTATTTTTATGAAGTATGGATTTTATGAGAAAGGTAATACATGATACTTATACAAATACGTTTTCAAAGAGATGAGTTTTTAGTTTCTTTTTAAATAAGACGATATCGGTTAGTGTTCTCAATTGATAAGGAAGCTTATTCCAAACAGAGGGTCCGCAGTAGCTGAAACTTCTCTCGGTTTTACTATAGTTTGAAATAGGAGGAACATTTAGGAGGAAATAGTCTTCTTCAGTTCTTAGTACACGTACAGGTTGACTTTTGATGTCAATACATTTGATGATATACTCCGGCGCTTGTATCACGTGGTGACCCCCACGGTCGCTTCACTATAGTGGCGTCCCCCTGTAGCGACGCTACAGGGGGAGCCGCGCACTTCGTGCGCGGCGGGTCATACAACGTATGACAATGGGAGTATGGGTCACGTGGCTAATGTTCAGAACTTATGAACACGCTAGATTAATATATGTTAAAATTAAACCACTATCGTCAAAAACGCTGTTTTAGAAATTTACCAATTTCCTCAAACTTCAATGAACGTGTCCATATAACATCAGCATATGCTTTTGTTAGAGATCGGGTTAAGGTTAGATGTTAAAGTTGAGATCAGATCAGATTAGAGGGCTATAATAGGATTTCGAAAAGTCATTCAGGGCCACCAAGAGAACGTGTTTAAAGAGTCACGTGACAGTCGAGTGTAGAGTGATTAATCATCATCCCTTTTATCTCTCCGCTAAGTCTACAATTTTACTAACTTACTTAACAAGTGAGTCCATGAGTTCAATACATAATATTAATATGAATATATCATTATAACATTCACACATATTTTGTAGTTGAACAGCATGAGACAAGAGCAAAGTGGAAAACAAACAAAGAAATATATTTCAAGCTCGTATAGGATCGTTGCTTTGCTTTGGGTCGTCCGTCGTTCACATATATATATTACGTTATTTGACCAAAACCCATGATCATGGGTAGAGTGTACCGCTGCCAGTGTCTCTCTTTTCCAAACAAAAGAAAATGATATTAATTTGAGGAACCGTCCGCAAATGCAAATTGATACCGAGAATGAAATCGGTCGCTCGCTTTTCCCATTCAATAAGCTTTATTACAATACGTAAGCCGTGAATGAATGGGAAAAGCGAGCGACCGATTTCATTCTCGGTATCAATTTGCATTTGCGGACGGTTCCTCAAATTAATATCATTTTCTTTTGTTTGGAAAAGAGAGACACTGGCAGCGGTTCACTCTACCCATGATCATGGGTTTTGGTCAAATATCATCTCTTTTTGATTATAATGTCAGGATAATTTACACAGTCGAAACTTAATAAGGAGGTAATTTCAACTATTTCGAAATTTTACCTTTGAAAACGTTTCCTTGTGTTTAGGTAGGCATATCTGTCAATAACAGACTGAATATAGCACTTTTTACTCATTCAAGTTGGCATTAAATTCATATATAATGCCATTTTAATATCGTGGGAAAGCAGAATATATTCGAAATCACGAATGAGCAAAATTCTCACCTTTCGCACGTGCAAACTTTGAGCGGACGTTGCGTGCGCATAAAATATTGAATCACCATAAATTTTTGCATAGTGTTATTTAATATATAGTTTGATAAGCATGAAAAGTTTCAGAAGATTTCAAAAAGAACTTGGATCACAACGGGACTCCAAAGTTGGTAAAAATCGTGAAAATAACAATTTTTAGTGATTTTAGCTATTTTAAATGAATTTGGGCGTGTCCCCACGTGTGCAACTTTTCGATTTTCAACTTTAAAACTAGCCTATAACACAATTTAGACCTTTAGGAAGCAAAATTGAGCTCCACAACCCAAGGGATGGCCCAACACCAGAGAATACTAATTCACAACTTTTGTGTTTTTATAAAATTATTCTTCAAAAAAGCACAAACTTCAATAGCGAATATCTTTATGAAGGAGCAAGGTAGGAAAACTTTCCGGTAGATTTTCAGAATGCTTGAACAATTATCTAAGGTGAAAATGTCCTCAGATTTTGAATAAAATTACTCCTTAATGCTTTAAAATCGATTTGAAAAGTTGTTATTTTGTCAAAAATCAAGTTTTAAAAACACTTAAATTGATGACGTCATCAAGTGATGATGATGACGATAAATTATTTTTCGATATAATTTAAACTAAAGTATAAACAATTATCTTTAAAACCTGTGGTTCGAAATGACTGTATCTTTTATACTTTTGAATCTACGGACACTTAAATGTAGGCTACAATTTACTGCAAAAGCGTCTATACATATATACATATATATATACATATATAGCTTCACGACAATCTGTTGTAAAACAGGGGTTCCAGAAAACCCACTTCCCGATACTCCTGCAACATGAAATTTTTTTTACAGTCGATTTGGACAAGGTCTAGACGCTCTGCAAAGTTTCAGATCTCTAACTCAATTTTAACATGGTTTTTAAGGCACCTGAATATGGCGATTTTGGGTTTTTTACCTAATTTCGTATAACATGCTGGCGCGTATTTTGCGCAAATTTCTTAAAAACCTCCACATAACTATTTCTTATTCCTGTCATCTTTAACATTGAATTAGAATGTTTTGAACTTAAATATACCTGCTGAACTACTTTCGATGAGTCTTAATGCCTGGAAAACAATAAAGGGGATATAATAGTATAGGGGGTACATAGTGTTGTGAATATAAGGGCAACGGTTATGCTTGCCAACATTGTGATTTGACCAAAACCCATAATCATGGGTAGAGTGTACCGCTGCCAGTGTCTCTCTTTTCCAAACAAAAGGAAATGATATTAATTTGAGGAACAGTCCGCTAATGCAAATTGATACCGAGAATGAAATCGGTCGCTCGCTTTTTCAAATCAATAGAGAAACAAATTTTTTTAAGAGAAACAAATTTGAATTTTGATCTTTATTACAGATTAAACATATCATATATAACCATAAAAGCCGCGCGTCGGCTGATTGCCTCAACTTGGATTGGTAGTAATTTCAGTTTACAGAAGCTGCCCACCGCGAGCTGATTACTCAGGACGCGCAAACACGTCAAGATAAAAACGTTTCGCGCCCTACAAAGTTCGGTAGACCTTGATTTGCAACTAAACGCTTGTAGTTTGCATTGCGCGCGCAGCTTTTGCACAGTTTAGTTCAACATCAACCATGCATATAACTATTGTTAATATTTATACTGCATTAAATTTCTAATTTTTGACATTTGATGGGAATTTTGATGTGCAATTGCTGTTTTTTATATGAATTAGTATGACTATGCCGTTATATAATACATAATATAAGTAATATGATTACTTGTATTTAAAACACATTGTAAAATTAAACATGCACATTGCAATGCTAATTGTATGTACATCACTTTTTGTCCCGTGTTGAAGTTGATTCATTTGGTCGCTTTTATTTTTATTTTAATATATAACAACCTTTTCCATTGTAAATTACTAATTGAAAAAACTGTTTATATATGAATTATTCATTATAACTTTGTAATTTTATCGCGCGCGTCCTTATATGTTGTAAGTTCTAGTTATCGATAATTTTTATTGAAAATCACAATGTTGCGGCAGAAATAATGATATCACAAGTAAATTTCAAAAATCCATTGCGATCACAAAGTTTTAATTCACCAAGTTATTAGGCCAAAATCATCTTACTATATATAAAGCGAGACGATATATATATATATATATATATATATTTATTTATCCGTGCCATTTTACTGACACCACGGCATCAACTTTAACACGACTTTCCGCAAAAACCGTAAAAGATATACAACTGAAACTTTTTTGACGGATCAAATGCTTTAATGGCCTTCAAATCAGCATGAAAAAATAAAAAATTGGCCAAGAAATAGGAGTTTTAGAGCCCAAAATTTGGACCCCCAAGTGGTGTCAAAAACGCGAATTAAATAGGTAATAATTATTTTAGTCTCTTGAGTCTTGACACCACTTTAGGGTTAGACGGGTTCCTGCTAGTAATATATAAATGATAAAGTAAATTTATAGTTTCATTACACTTATTAAAATTTAAAAGCACGTATCGTGCAAAATAAATGACAAATATTAGTGCCACCTATTTAAGTATGAAGAAACATAAATTTTGAAATTAAGAATCTGGAATCTCATATTTTCGATATTTAGATTTGTGATTACATTCGCTAAATAGTTGTGTAAATAAACACGCGCGACAAAAGTTCAAAAAATGCGCGGCTCAAAACACTAAATGCTGTACATTTTTAATATTTGAATATCTCCGCAAGCGTTACGTTTCTATGGGTAATTGTAGGAACTCTAAATCTATATTGCTTGTAGAGTTCCGTTTGTGGTTGGAATCGGATCGGTTTGTTTGTTCACAACGATTTCGCAACGGAATATGGTAGTACTAGCTAAGACCCTTACGATCATATTGTTGCCAACTTTGTCGCGCTGCCACTCCCTATTTTGCTTCGCCCCTGGGATCATTCTACTGTACCATATTATTGGAATGCTGTGGAGGAAGACTTGAACTCGAAGTGTGTGGGGTGTAGGCCCGCCCTGCGTTCCCCAGGGATGCCCGATAGATAAAGATTTCTCACATTGTTCATTCGTGAACTGCAATCGAAAGGTACGTGTGCTCTTTTTGTACAACTTTTATACTCGCATGCCATGAATATTTGTGCATAAAAATTGTTAGAAATTCGATTTCAATCTAACTTACTTTTTACTTTCGTAATCTGTTAATTTAATCTAACCGTCCTCACTTTCAGATTACTATAATCTTGTCTAAATAATAACGTTTCTCGGGTCAACTTTACGCTAGATAACTGCATTCTTTGCCAAGAGGTGGCAACCAAACAAAAAGTAAGTTAAGATTCCTGTACATATCCCGCTTCGCTTTTCAAAGATTTTGTATGCGAATAACTGCTTGAATTGCAGGAATTCTAATCAACTACATTCGCTATGTAACCGTCCAGTGTTAACATCGCAGTGTTAACATCGTACTGCATGGTCTAATTTATGTCCTCTTACTATTATGAGTTAATTGTGTTTGTTTCTAGGTTGCCCTAGTGTTGAAATTATCGACAAGCAGGAAAGCCTGCTAATAAAGATCCCCGCACACCTCTCCTGAACCTGATGAAGGGATACTTCATACTAACAAGATGTCAAGCATTGCCGCCTTCAGTGTTCAGGTCAGTTTTAGATTGAAGACTGCAGCACTTTTCGTTTTAAATTGGTAACAATTAAACTTGAGATGGTCGAGGAGCAATGCTCATATTAGAAACAGACTGAAATAGAAGAATAGAGTAGAATTTGAATTAAAATATCGTTAAACTGGTATTGTTCTAGAATGTGTACTCAACCGGACCGTATAATCAATATTAGGAAAGCCCTAGCAGATTACTATATATTGTAAATTGATATAACTGACAAGTAGGTTTCAGCTAATTTCTGTAAATTATTGTGATATTTACTCTTCAGATCGTAAATTTGGTTCCAGTACTGTACTTTATGAAAGAGTGTGTTGACGTTAGTACGGATGCCACGGATACTGCTCGAAGATTGGCTAGACTTACTATCAAAGGAACTTAATGGAAAGTTATATACCAGGTCTGTTTAAAATCAGTTACAAGCGGGCCATTTATTTAGCAATAATCCTTTTCATTAAAGTGTAGATGGACATGGACATGTGAACTAACATTCTTGTAATTATAAGCTATACCTGCAGCTAGTGTTAATAATTAATGAGCAGGGCTGAGTCGATATAAGTGCTGTGTTTAGTACTGCGGTTTTATGTTATGAAAAGGAAGCGAAGTTACATTGCATTACAAAATATTTGCTACCGTGAGAAATATTTTAAATCTTAATTTGTTGGTCATATATATCACGATCGCGTAAAAGTAAACAATACCCCTTACTAACAAAGCTTCCCTTCTTATGATGTTCCAAACATGCTAAAATTAGAAGCTGCCTCTAAAATGTATATTATGTTAAAAGTTGGATAATAACGGAGTTCCGGAGCACGTTATATAGAATATTCTACTACTCTCAACGATGAGAATATATAGGTACAATTGTTTGCTCAAAGTAAAATATGGTTGCACCGAATATTCTATAATATATAAGGACAGGTTCATTGAAGTTTGAGGATATTGGTAAATATTAGTGACCCTACTGAATGGCACGATGATGTAAAATGTGTCACACTATGACACTATATAAACCCTCCATGGTTAGGATAATCGTTTCATCCTCTAGATAAACTTTGTCGCATAACGATATCTTTATCAGACGATAAGATATCGTTTAAATGCGGCCGGCAGTGAGTTGTAAACTTTGTCACACTATAAAAACGTGACAGAGTTTATATGGACCCCTTGTTGCCGTGTTTGACCAAATTTTTGAATTTCCAATTTATAGGATAGTTGCATATGACTATTATCTACATATTTAGCGACTTTTTTCGTTAAATGGTAGCATCATGTAAACTCCGTCACACATTTAAGAAATTTATATGAGGGATGTTTATGACATCCTGACAAGAAATGCCGAAAAATGTAGCATTATTTTGTGAGCTGAATGTGTTTGGAATTGTTCACATATTTCATTGTTATAGGCAAATACAAATACAGAAGGCAGAAATAGGTAAATTTAGTCACATAAATTTGTATGATATCTCAACACATGTGTGAAATTGAGTAAATATTAGTATACCAACTTAAACACCCTATATTACGTACTATGGATCAATTAACAATATTTCAACCATACGCCGGTCATATAAATTATTATATGGCAGTGATATGTTAACATTGGATAAATTTCAACACCTGAACAGGGTAAAAATTTGTAAATTTCGTCACAAAAAAAAATATGATAACTTTATTTGCTATTTGTTGGCAAAATAACTAGTTTATCGACATAGGTAATATGGTGATAAAGTAACATTATATCATAATCGAGGTATGATTCTTCAAAATAGGGGGCAAAAAATGTAAATTTCGTCACATACGTCATTTTAAAATTTAGATACATTTTCTTACATATCAATAGTCCTTATTATAGTTGGAATGGATTTATACAAGAAATGTAGAAACCCATGCCAATTTTTCATCACATCGAAATTATACTGTTGGGGCAGGAAAAGTGAATTTCGTCACATTTCAGTAACTTAGTAAAATTAAACTCAGCATTGTTAAACTTGAGTTCTAATTTGCTGAACAATAATCAACCAATAATTCCTGGAAGAAAATTGAATTTTAACTGAGGTATGGTTCTTCAAAATAGGGGCAAGAAATGTAAATTTCGTCACATACGTCATTTTAAAATTTAGATAGATTTTCTTTCATATCAATAGTCCTTATTATAGTTGGAATGCATTTATACAAGAAATGTAGAAACCCATGCCAATTTTTCATCACATTGAAATTATTGTACTGTTGGGGCAGAAAAGGTGAATTCTGTCACATTTCAGTAACTTAGTAAAATTAAACTCAGCATTGTTAAACTTGAGTTCTAATTTGCTGAACAATAATCAACCAATAATTCCTGGAAGAACATTGAATTCTAACCGAGGTATGGTTCTTCAAAACAGGGTCAAGAAATGTAAATTTCGTCACTTACGCGTACGTCATTGTAAAATTTAGATACAATTTCTTTCACGTGAACAGTCCTAATTACAGTCTGAAATGATTGATACAGAGGAAATATAAAAACCACTGCCCATTTTATAATGTACGTAATATTATGTTAATCACAGACTATTTCATTCTATAATCATTGTTTCCAAATTTAACCTATGTACGATGTCGTATATCATTTTGTGACGATGTTTACATCAACTGCCCTATACTTGAATCAACTGTATCCGTGTATCGTCCTTATATAGAGTTTTCCCGCAAAATTTAACCTATTTACGATGTTGTATCATTTTGTGACGATGTTTACATCAACTGCCCTATACTTGAATCAACTGTATCCGTGTATCGTCCTTTAAATATAGAGTTTTCCCGCAAAATTTAACCTATTTACGATGTTGTATCATTTTGTGACGATGTTTACATCAACTGCCCTATACTTGAATCAACTGTATCCGTGTATGGTCCTTATATAGAGTTTTCCTGCAAAATGTAACCTATTTACGATGTCGTATCATTTTGTGACGATGTTTACAACAACTGCCCTATACTTGAATCTACTGTATCCGTGTATCGTCCTTATATAGAGTTTTCCCGCCTTCCGAACCAAAATCAGATATAAATTCAGATTATATATCAAATTCCATATTATGTGACAGAATTTACATCATTTCCCAATAACCAAGTGTATGTATTTGCTAACTTTTCAAAACAACATATTTTAGGGCTATGATTGGCAGAAGAACCATCAAATAATGAGTTGAAAGGGTTTTGAGGACACCTCACAGTAGAAAAGAGGTCTCGTATTCTGAGTGTGACAAAGTTTACGAAATATTGCCTTAAAGCCGTTCGATCACTGCCCTTTAACCAATGTTGAATCATAATTGTTATATTGACCTAATCTACTATATTTTAGACCAAAAAATGCTAATCGGGCAACTATGGTAAACAATGTCACAAAAATGTGACATTTTTTACATTATAGTGCCTAAAAGCAATACACTTTATTTCTGAGCGGTGCATATGGGAGTATGGGTCACGTGGCTAATGTTCAGAACTTATGAACATGCTAGATTAATAGATTCTAAAATTAAGCCACTATCGTCGAAAACGCTATTTTAGAAATTTACCAATATCCTCAAACTTCAATGAACGTGTCCATAAAGCTACATGATATTTAGAACTCGTACATGAGTAATAATTATAAAGTACTAAAGCCTGTAGATTATATTGTGTTTGACTTTGAAGCAGTAAGGACCAACTGAACCTCTCAATACTATAATTCAAAGAATTATTTCTGCTGTATAATGTATAATGTACGACCGCCCACGTGCAAATTATGTAAACGAATACAAGTTGCGTAGAAACCATGGTAACGAGGGTTCTCATGTACAAACTACCCAGATAGTGCAGGAGTTAAGATGCTTTGCACGTGACCGGTCCACGTGATATCTTGCACTAATGCAGGTCGTCTAATATGCGTGCTTGTTAATTAACTGTCATTCAGTCCACTGTATAACAGAATTATGGCAAGATTCTGATATCAAATCTTATGAATTCTACTATAAAATCGAACCGCAAAAGATGGTACCGACTACTGACTTTAAAATATCGAAATTTGTTCAGTAACGAAATTAATCCACCTCATAAGACTGATTTAAGTTACCCAGGTTCGTGCTGGACTTCTCCGTGTCAACAATCTCCAACTCCGGTGTCCTGTTTTTCGTCCCGTAGTGCTAACGAAAAGAAAATTCTTCTCAAGTTCAACGACGAAAAGGTTCGCTGAAAACCGCATTAAACATTAAATGCTTGCTACTAACATCATCTTTCCTATTAAAAGGACGGTTTGTCCCTGAATATAGTCTGTTCACTTTTCCAACCACTTCATCTTTCAGGTAACTGTCTATCACTAATCACTATATGCGAGGTAAACCTATGGAGTTGGCATGGAGGGCAGCATCAACGATGGGGTTACACATAGGGTGAGTCCAAATTGTCTCCCTGTTTACGATCTTAACATTTAGTGATGAATATATTAGGGCCACAATAGTGTTACCCATACCACTGAGAAGTTGGACATTATACTGCAATCAAGAGGAGCACAAAATATTATGCTACATTTCTCTATAACAGTGACACTTTGGTGCGAACTTATCTGGGGTTTGCTGCTCTCATATCTCCACAAGTACCCAATATGTCACTCGACCAATTTTGGACCGTTCTGACTACTTTTTCCATCGTAGAAAACCGAATTGAGGCTTCCCAGCACTCAAATACAGCCAATACTTCGATGTCCCCATGTTCCAAATTTATGGATTCATCTACTGCATGTTCGTGAGTTTAGGTGTACAGTGTACACTGCACTGTGCAATGTATAGTGTAAATTGTATACTGGTAGTTGGATAATATCCGGTTGAAAGATACAAAGACAAATGGAACAGGAAGTTAGGTATGTAAAATTTTGGCGGGAACATTTGAGCATGAGGCATCTGGTTCGCAGTTGGGAAGAAGCTGCTGAATTTCGACTCTTGACCTGCTATTTTATTTGATTTTTTAGGGAAATCATTTCCGACTGAAAGTTTGCCTGCATCACTTTGAGTAGGTTCTGTAATGTATCTCTAAATTTAAAGAGGTTGAATGTTGAGAGTTGCCATGTCGGTCGTTTTTTCCGAAGGCTCGTTGGCAGCAGAAGTACCCTCAGTGCGCCTGTAAGATCCCCGATCTGGACGGCTCTCACCACCTGGATATTTGCCGTCCTTCTTCCGAGTATCTTTATCTTTGGAGGGTTTTACACGCTTAGTTCCCACCAGATGAACAAGAGTGCATTGTTCTTAAAAACACTGCTTGTGTTGAACCGAGTTTTTGCTTTGGGTGGTAGAGCTGACATCCTGAACCTAAAGTACAGCCCTCATTAGAATCAGTGCTGAAACGTGTAAACTTTTTACAGCGGCTTAGGATGAAGCTTGCTGTAGCTGTATGTAGTTTTACCCTGGTGGAGAGTCCGTCCACTTATTCCATGAGGGCATATCCCCATTGTGTAGTCAACACATCTGTTGCTTGTTGCTGCATGATGCATCCAGTTTCTTAGATAGTTCATCTGCGTCGATATCCATCTGTTTATTTTCATTAGGATCGGAGTTGCCGTCTGTGTCCACCAGCTGTTGAGATCCTCTCTGTCCTTCGATGGTTTAAAAAAAGCAGACATGAATTAAAACCGATAATTCACGTTTCAGTATATATACCAGAAGTGTGGTTGTATATAAACAGCTGATAAAAAACTGTGTCCGATATACATTCTCCGCCTTGACTCTCCCACTCCTATAAGGCTTTATGGTAAATCCTATTTCAGGGTGCTTGCTTAAGGCTTGTCTCCTGCAATAGTCGAGGGCTATTACAATGAACAGCTATGGTGCTAAGATCTGCAAGATCTCAAAGTGGTCGTTACTTGACTTAGTTGTAAAATGTAAACAATCGATTTGTAGTTGAACTTCTACTAAAACGTTCATCAACGCGGGGTGCTAGCGCCAACTTGGGGCCTAAGCCCCTCAAGTCCGGAAGCCCCTCAAAAGTTCGGTCAGAGGCCCTAGTTTGCAATGTACTAAATCAAATTTCACAAAATAACCAGGGTGAGTTAACATCTGTTTCAACTAGCAAATTTTCGGCAGTTATCGTGCTAAAAAGACACATTTTCAACAACCAAAAATCAAATTAATATTTCGCGCGTCCGCCGTCGCGCGCGCACATCACCACGTATTATTCATTATAAAATTTTATCATGTAATTATTTGAGAACTTAGGCCTTTGTTTGGCTGGTGTGAAAAGGTGTACCCCGCCCCACGGACGTCCGGATTTTCAGAAACCACCCCTCCCCCCTCGGCATCCCCCTGTCCGAAATTCCAAATCCAACCCCTCCCTATATCATATATGCAAGACGTACTCATTAGATGGCCCCATAGATATATAATTGTGATCATAAATTAACAGAGTTTAATATTTCAGGGCCCGATCGATGATATATAAAGTGAAGAGTTACAAGTTCTACAAGACTTATCTGTTCACCGGTTTATCAAATCATGATTTGGAAAAACTTAATTCATGAACTCGAGACTCTAAGTTACTGAGTTATATTATTATTTCCTGTATTGCCGGGAAGGCTGTTAATTTAGGATAGAGTTTTTGTGGCACTTATCTCAGCTTGTTCTTTTGTAGTTGTTCTCACACAGCTGAGTAAAAGTTTCAAAACTTGAGAGCAGTGTTCTGTGTTTATAATTCAATTTATTATTAATTAGAATTAATTGGAGCATGGAACAACTACACTCTTTGAAGCCTGGAAAATACGGTAGATCTAGTTAAGACTCAACAGTCAATACATGCTATGTGGGGGAGAAGATGGACGAACTTTTTCAAAAATTTGAAAGAAAGATGACTGCCGGTATTGAACCGTGCACCTTACCCATCGGGTATTTTTAAATTAGTCACTTGTGCTAATCTAGCTTTTGAATTTTAAGATCTTGTTTGGTATTTATAATAATAATATGTCATGACTAAAAGTGCGAGATCTCTTTTAAAGATTCCATCTGTGTTTGATGTTTGTCCAATGTTTATAAGGCATTAAAAACAAAGCCGCGAATTAGTATCAACATTGCCAAGTTTAAATTTGCAAAGCTAGTCTTAACTGTCATTGTTAGTTAAATTTTAAAATATTTGGTTAGTTAAATTTTGATGTTATACTTACTGCTTACTGTCACCAAGATGCAGTTAGACCTAACCAGTAAGGCCCAACGCAGAGTTAGGCCTAAAGTAGGCGTTAGGCTTAACTGCATCTTGGTGACAGTTACATTTGTTATCTGTCATCTGTAAAGCTGTAATACTAATATTGTACTATCTTGATGTTTCCTCCTAATTGTAGCTTACATACAGAATGGCATACGTTTCTGACCACGAATCACACTTGACAATACTTCTTTAGTGCCAATAATTGTACGTGTTTGAAGTCTTGATTTCATTTCATAAGGACCTCTAGTGTTGATCGGATGACTGAATTTTATGTTTTATTTCTCCTTGATACTATATTTCAAAATCATGTAAGGTACTTACCTGAGGACCCCAGGCTTTAATGTTGGTAAACAATAGAGATTAGGCGGAATGACAGGCTGAGCGCGGCCCAGTAAGTAAGGTACATAAACTGGGACACTCACATATCCCACATAAATGAGGACCGCCAAGGAATGAAAAACTAAATCTAATATAGACGATATCATAGAATGATAATAATGCGACAAGCGCTCAAATTTCAAATGAGCGGACTATAATCATGATTATATTTGGGCACGCGCTTAGTAACCATGGAAACGCGCTCGATTCAATTCCAAAATAATACTACGAGTGTCTACATCACTAAATTAGCTGTAACTTTGTGTGATTATCTGCGATCTTGCTAATTTTAAGGCGCTGTGGCTAAAATCATCCACCGAACCAACAGGCAAAATTTCAAAAATATCGCACCCAGCGCTCATTTCGACCTCACGAGTAATCAGCTCGCGGTGGGTGAAGGACGGCAGCTCAAAAGCCCCAGTGAACTATCGGAAAGATCAAGGACTCGAGTGCCAATAGTGGCTTTTTCGAACCCATTTTCGCCGATTTGCTGTGGCCCAGATGAGCCGCGCCCTGCTGCTTAACGGCACATGATGGTTTTTGTTTAAATACTTATTTAAATTTAAGCGATAATTCATTTGGTGGTTTACAGTTTTTGAATCATGTTCATCATTTATTTTTCGTTCAATTATCACGTGTTTACAATTCAGTCATACCATGCATAGTCAACATTGTTGAGGCAACCAGCTTCCGCAGTTCAATAATTGGAGACCGAAAAATATAAATTGATCGAAATTTACAATTCATCGTTATCAAATATAGTCAATAATATTCTTGATTCCATTTAGTACATAATAAGTTGGTTTTATTCTCTTGCAACACTACTGCACAACAAAAACTGCGCCTGTCCACCAGCAACAGCGCAGTCATAGGTGTGCAGCCAAAGCTAGGCCACACACCCATGGCCGCGCCGGTTAAACAACTCTATATTCAATCGTTATATTAGGAAATTTTAGTTAATTCTTTGATCACTCTTCAGTGCCGGTGGGCAGGCGCCCCGCATAGTTGGCTTTCAAAATTTACAGTCTCAAGAAAGCCGAAACGGTAATCGAGTCCCGGAGCAGAACACACATTTAGAAAATTGAAAAATTAAAATTAAAATAACAAATTAGAAATTAAAAATTAAAAATTACATGACTACGAGAGTCCAGACAGGCGACAAACACACAAACCGGACGAAGCTTTATTACAATTCGTGAGCCGTGATCGAATGGAAAAAGCGAGCGACCGATTTCATTCTCGGTATCAATTTGCATTAGCGGACTGTTCCTCAAATTAATATCATTTCCTTTTGTTTGGAAAAGAGAGACACTGGCAGCGGTACACTCTACCCATGATTATGGGTTTTGGTCAAATATCATCTCTTTTTGATTATAATGTCAGGATAATTTACACAGCTAGTCGAAACTTCATTAACAAGGAGGTAATTTCGACGATTTCGAAATTCTGCCTTTGAAAACGTTTCCCTGTGTTTAGTTAGGTATATCTGTCGATAACCGACTGAATATGGCACTTTTTACTCATTCAAGTTGGCATTAAATTCATATATAATGCTATTTAAATATCGTGGAAAGCAGAATATATTCGAAATCACGAATGAGCAAAATTCTCACCTTTCGCACGTGCAAACTTTGAGCGGACGTTACGTGCGCATACAATATTGAATCACCGTAAATTTTTGCGTAGTGGTATTTAATATATAGTTTGATAAGCATGCAAAGTTTCAGAAGATTTCAAAAAGAACTTGGATCACAACGGGACTCCAAAGTTGATAAAAATCGTGAAAATCAAAATTTTTAGTGATTTTAGCTATTTTAAATCAATTTGGGCGTGTCCCCACGTGTGCAACTTTTCGATTTTTAACTTTAAAACTAGCCTATAACACAATTTACACCTTTAAGAAGCAAAATTGAGCTCCACAACCCAAGGGATAGCCCAACACCAGAGAATACTAATTCACAACTTTTGTGTTTTTATAAAATTATTCTTCAAAAAAGCACTAACTTCAATAGCAAATATCTTTATGAAGGAGTAAGGTAGGAAACTTTTCCGGTAGATTTTTAGAATGCTTGAACAATTATCGAAGGTAAAATGTCCTCAGATTTTGAATAAAATTACTCTTTAATGGTGTAAAATCGATTTGAAAAGTTGTTGTTTTGTCAAAAATCAAGTTTAAAAAACACTTAAATTGATGACGTCATCAAGTGATGATGATGATGATAAATTATTTTTCAATATAAAGTAAACTAAAGTATAAACGATTATCTTTAAAACCTGTGGTTCGAAATGACTGTATCTTTTATACTTTTGAAATATCTACGGACACTTAAATGTAGGCTACAATTTACTGCAAAAAGCGTCTATATATATAGGCAGTGCGCCATCGACCGTAAGACGCGCGCGCTGACCATTGAATGGTTTCTTAGCTCGTATTTCGGCCAGCACATTATTTCGGAAACAATCAAAAAGTTATAATACTTCCCATATAACAATTTTGTTGAAATTTGGTCAGCTTACGTAAACACTTATGTTCTACTGAACCTAAATTAGTTTGAGAAATTTCGATGGTCAGAATTTGAGTTATCAACGAATTTATACCTATTTTATCATTTTTAGACCTCTTAATTAAGGCCAATCTCTCCAAACTAAATTAGGTTCGGTAGTTAAGTATGATTAGAAGAATCTGACAAATTTTCAGCATGATTCATGTTCAGGAACCGAAGATATGACAGAATAATACGACAAAAATCAACAAATTTCGCCAAATTACGCGACTTTTACACCTAATTTTGCTTGCTAAATGCTAAAGCCGCGCACCATCAAATATGGCACCTAGGCGAAACTCACTGATCATTTCAAAAAGGTATGACAAATTTGGTACTGTGAAAATTCTCACAGTCTCTAGAAAACAATGGTACAAAAATTTTGAAAATCCGAGCAAGTTTATTTTTATCGTGCACCCCCTAATATATATCTTCACGACAATCTGTTGTAAAACAGGGGTTCCAGAAAACCCACTTCCCGATACTCCTGAAACATGAAATTTTTTTTTACTGTCGACTTGGACAAGGTCTAGACGCCCTGCAAAGTTTCAGATCTCTAACTCAATTTTAACATGGTTTTTAAGGCACCTGAATATGGCGATTTTGGGTTTTTTACCTAATTTCGTATAACATGCTGGCGCGTATTTTGCGCAAATTTCTTACAAACCTCCATATAACTATTTCTTATTCCTGTCATCTTTAACATTGAATCAGAATGTTTTGAACTTAAATGTACCTGCTGAATTACTTTCGAAAAAGTCTTAATGCCTGGAAAACAATAAAGGGGATATAATAGTATAGGGGGTAAATAGTATCGTGAATATAAGGGCGACGGTAATGCTTGTCAGCATTGTGATCAGCCAAGCGAGGAGGGGGTTTCCAAATTACTACGCTAGCGTAATTTTGACACAATAAATAATGCTATTATGCTATAATGCTAATATGTGTAAAACTGATTATACGGAGGGGATGGTTAAAAATTGATTAAAGAGTGATCACGTAATTATATATGTACAGTCCGTACGTAAGTGGGGTTGACACGTTACGGCTTTTACTTTCTTATTGCGCACGAGTTATTAACATTTTTCTATTCATAACACTAACAATAACACTGCGAGTTGGCGTTTATTGGAGGTAACGTGGTGTGGTACGTGTAGTACTACTATAGGTTCACTGGTTTTTTTAATTGTATCGGCATGATCGCCTTCTCATGATGACGGTGTCTTGTTGCTTTCTGTATTGTGTTGTACCTTCTTCACAGACATTGTACCATAAGTTTGCGATTTTACCCGGAGAATATCAGACTTATCATTTCAAAACCACTTTTAATCGATTCTACGGTCAAAAGTACGACTAGAAAGGTATATCTGAAGTCACTAGCGTATCGAGCAGAAAATGCCCGTAAGAGCTTCTACTATTAGTATTATGTTCAATGTTTCATGTTTTGTGACTAAAATATATCCGGCGTTTTTTGGAAATCGATCATCAAATTTTTGTTGAGGCCGAGGCCTAAATGAAAATGTTGATCACTATAACATACATACACTTATAGCATAAGGTTGAAATGTAATTATACATCGATCCTGAAAATTTCATGCGAAAATATCGATCGGCAGTTAAGTTTTTTTTTTGGGGAAATTGCCTTCTAAAATTCCGTTTTTAGCATGTTTTGTTAGGAAGTAAGTCAAGCTACTTCTTTCTATCACAGATCATTTATCTCCGAAAATGAAGTAAGTCCACAGACTTCCTTGACACACGCTGTAACCCCTTTTGAGCGCGTGCACGAGAGGTATACAACGTGTAGCAAAGACTTCCTTATCTCAAAAAATTTTCAAGATTTTCTCAGAAAAGGAAGTAAGTCCGGACTTACGTCCTTCTCTCAGAAATTATTTGGGAAAAACCGCGAACATAATGTTTCTAAACTGGTACTTATTCCTTAAGAATTGCATGCAACAACGTTTCCATACATTAATGTGTAGCTCTATGTTGTAGAGAATTTTCTACTGAAAATTTGATACCAATATTGCCATATGTCGAAAAATTGTACTCACTTCCTTTTCTGAGAAAATAGCAGAATTGTTATTAAATATTAGTTATTTATATTACTAATACTATTACTATTAGGACGTACTCAGGCTTTTGCGTTTACAAACACGAAAGATGCGGCGGAATGGCAGGCTGAGCGCCGCCCATTGAACAAATTTCCAAATAACTTCGAAACAAAATTCTCAGGTAGTACTAGTACATAGTAACAGTTAACATGTCCCGAAATTACCTCGTCGAAGAGAAGAACTTTGTGAAGATCTATTTTCCTATGTGGATATTCATAATAGGAGGTTATGGGCTCACCCAAATTGGATCTGCATATTTTGCAGGACAAATGGGTGATGATCGGCTGGCTGGAATCAACCTTGGCTTGATCATACCAACAGCTACGATCGGAATATTTATGATAGGCTTTTCGTCAGTTTTTGATGTTTATGGACCTCAGTTATGTGCAAGGAATGAACCTAATGAGCTCGGAAGATTAATGGTGAAGGTAATTTTCCAAGGACTTGTTGCTTTTTTGGTGTGTTTGGGTCCTTTCTTTGGTATAATTTACTCTATTGATTTATTTCCCACTGGAAGTGTAAGCAAAACTGGCGACACAAAGAACGTGAAAAAGATCGCTAAAACTTTCATGGTGATGATGATTCCTTCTCATTTAATCTACTATGTTATGGAAATTATTCTCAAGTTTTTCACAAATCACCGAGCAATGGTGTATGTTTACACAGTATCCGCGCTTCAAGCAGTTCTATATCTAGTTCTCTGCTACATATTTGTAATCCAGATCGAGATGAAAAGTCACGGTATTGTTCTTGCGATAATACTTAGCCAAATTACCACATTGGGGTGCTGTATTTTCATTTTGTTCAGCAAGAGGACAGAATGGCATCTGAACAATCTAATGGACAGAAGAATCTTTAACAATTTCAAGGAGATGTTCATGATTGGATTTGCAGGTGGAATGAACCAAGTCTTTGCTTACATAAGTTATGCAGTTGCTCTTTATCTTAGTCAGATCGGAGGGAGAGTGGAAGTGGAAGTAGTTGGTCTGTCCTTTCAGTACGAGAACTTCTCGTGGGCAGCCTCGGTAGCCATTGCTTACACTTCAGCCATCCAAGTTGGCAATGCAATAGGCGGGAAAAAAGTTTCTGAAATCCGTTTCTATATCGGACTTAATGGACTTAATCTGATGGCCGAGCGAGTACTGTTTCTATTGTTTATGCTAATTAGTCGACACTGGGTTTTCAGAATGGTTACAGAAAACACCTATGTTTTGTCCTCTGCTATGGACTCTAGCTATCTCTACGCAGGAATTCTAACTTTGACCAGCTTACAGGAGTTTTTAGGAAGGGGTGTGCTCATGGCTTTTGGAAAAGCTAAGATTGTCTCGATTACAGTTATATTGTGCACAACTCTAATTGGAGTCCCGATCATGGTTTTGCTGTCTTTGTTCACAAATCTTAAAGAGAATGGTCTTTTCCTCGGAATATTGTCGGAGAAGATAATGGAGATTTTGGTGTTTGTCATCAGCATTTGGAGATTGGATTATAACGAGGAGATCAGGGAATGCTCAAATAGATTGGAACGAGAGTCTGGGGATAAAAGCCGGGAAAATGAAAATGATCTGCTGGTTGAAGGTTAGACCGAGACGAAAATTGGTAATATTACTGAGGAAGCACCAGGATAAAAGCGGAAAGATTATATGCTGCTAAAGACAAAGGTTACTGAGACTATATCAGCTGGCATGAAAATGTTGGGACCTCATAGTTATTTAAGGGAACTGATTTTCATTGTAATCTGTATCTAAAATGAAATGAGGTTTCTTGTTCCCTGAATTCAATTAATGAATTTGAAGAAATAACATGACATAAGCCTATCGTACAAATATTATTATATTAACATCTCAAAACATATATAATTAGATTATGTATAATGAATAATTAGAAAATGAAATGGCAAAGTTGGTAAATTCAAATACAAAAAAAGCATTTAAACATATTCAGTTTTAATACCAATTGTTTCTCACTTTCAACTTCGGTTTTTTTAATTTGGCCGTTTCTTTTTCTTCTTTTTTCTTCTAAGTTGCATTTGTAATCGTAATTGCATAAAGTATATTGGTGCTCTCCTTTTAATGTTGCCGGTGGAGCTTTTATTTTAAATTCAAAACTTTCAATTTTAAAATTTGATACATATTTTTGTTTTAATTTTTAGATTCATCTCTGATATCCTAAGATATTCCCAAATAAACTAAGAATAACTATAATATAATCGGTGACAACATTAACTTTCCCAAAGCTTGATGTTAATTATAGATGTTCAAAGAGTCGCAAGTGCTATTTCCTATAAGTCGGGTAATTTCAAAGTCCACTAGAAATCAACAAAGTCCAAGTCCTTTGCAGGTATTGTCGAATATCGTTTGTTTGTCAGCTTCGGCAGACACATTGACCAACCGTCCTGAAATACAGATTGAAATTTAACTATGTAACATATCGGTCATCTTACTAAATAAAAGTATAATATCTTTTTTAATATTAAATCGTCGAGATGGTACACAGTAAAGCAAACTGAAAGTATATACCTGCAGCCTTGTAATGTTCGAGCACAGGTGCTGTAGCCGTCTCAAAAGTAACAAGACGTTTCTTGATCGTCTCAATGTTATCATCCACACGACCAGATGTCAGGGCCCGGGAGAGGAGGCGTTTTGTCATCTCTTCTTGGGAGCACTCGAATGAGAGGACGTATGTAGCAGCACAGATCTGCAGAAAGTGGCTTGGTTGGTATTTGGAATATTTGACGATTTAAACCCCGACAAATTCATCTTGAGCCCAAAACCCGCGTTATATAGGGGAATACTGTACCCAATTACCGAAAATGGAGCGAGGGAATATTACACTTTCAAATATTAGTCAAATAATTCATTTACTAACCAACTAATAAATAAAATACCTTCTCCTCGAATTTTGTGGCCTGCTCGATCTCCCGAGGGAAACCATCAAGGAGTATAATCTTATCAGGATGTTCAGCGAAGCTCTTATCAACAGCTTCCCTCAGTAACTGTATCACCACGTCCATGCTCACCAGCTTTCCTGAACAAAGATATTATAAGCAACAACAATACTGACAAATAGTGCAATTTAATTTGATAAAGGACTTAAAAATTAGTTTCAAATAGTTGACCCATAGTTACTTTACCAAATCTAGCATTGAACACGACAACAAGAAACAATGTATTTAAATAAAAGCCCCACCTTCAGCCATGGTAGCAGAGAGGTTTTGGCCTCGCTCGCTTCCACTCGCCACCTCCGCTCGGAGAAGATCCCCGCTTGAAAAGTGAGCCACACCAAACTTCTGAACCAACATTTCACACTGGGTACCCTTGCCGCTCCCTGGTCCTCCGATAACGAAACATATCTTTGGGCCTGACATTATCCTACTGGGATGCCTAGTGTGGGAATGTGAAATGGAATGAGGAAATGAGTAGGATCAATACTGTGGGAAATTAAAATCCGAACAAACTAGTGTAGAGTATAACTATAACTATAAGCTAAAATACACATGCGGCACAGAGAAATAAGAAGTATCTTAAGGTGGCTCAGCTAGTGGCTGGCAAGAAGACACAAAACTTTTCAGGTTATATCCACGGAAGCTGAAGTTTACTGAGTCAAAATCAGAACGTGAACAGTCTGCTAATCAAATTTCTTAGTGAAGTTCAGGCTTCTGTACAAAATGAAGCATGCACTTTTGTGAAAAAGTCAGAGAAACAAATATTTTGAATCTTCAGTGGCACACATATCACATATCACATGCATGCAGTCACTGAGTCACTTATAACTTTATAAATGAAACTTGAAGCGTTTGTGGCTTGGCGCTGCCGGATGAAAAAATCGCTGAAAATTTCATCTTCTCGGTATATCAGAAGGCAGAAGCCAGATTCATTTCACGTTGACAAGAAATATTAGTACGTTCATATATTGAAGCAATACAAATAGCTAACATAAAAATGCTATTTAAAGTGTAACATGTAAGCTGTGTTTGAACAGCAGGTTGAATTACATAGTCTACATATTTGCACACATCCGGATTCATGAGAACTTGGCATCAACACTCGAACAACTGCATAGCTCCAAGGCAGTATACGGCATGTTAAGAATGTGATCACGTGACCGAGGTTTTACGAATCAAGGTCACGTGATAGTAATAGTGGTCACGTGATAGTAATAGTGGTCACGTGACCTTATTTATTCCTTATATGGCACAACTTAATTAGGTGCAATTGATCGGCTCTTAATTCAAATTGGGACTATAATCTATGACACTATGAGTATGACAGACCTATAATTACCTAATTTAATTAAATGAACTATATCTCAATGCATAATTTGATGCCTGCGTTATAAAGAGAACGCTTCTCGGAATCAGCGAAATGAACAGAATAAAATGCTGAATAAATACACAGAATTCATGGTCAATCGATAGTTCCTAATCCTACAAAGCTCAATGAAAGTGTCTGCTGAATGTGTGACTTTTTTTCCGGAGGCGCAAAGAAGCCATGGAAATTCTTTCACAATCCATCGTCACACAAACAACCTACAATTTGCACAGCGTTCATAGCTGTAAAATGTCGGTGAGTGCAACTTTCAAAGGATGTCATACTAATTTATTGGATTAAATTTGTACTGTAAAAATAAAAAAGGGGTTACAACGTGTGTCAATGAACAACTGGTAAGTTGAGTTAATAATAAGCACGCAGATACATACTAAGATACTAATTACCTACCAACAGGTCGCAAACCACTTCTCACTAATACATAATAAGAATAACCGCACGCGTCGCACACCACACGAAAATAAACCTCATGCAGACCAATACAATTGATAACAACAGTACACGTTTACTTTCTAAGCAGTACCAATTGTAATTGAGGTCCACGTTTTCTATAACAACAGACTGATGCGTTTTCTTTAGTATGAACGAAACCAAGTGAACGGCTTTGTTTTAAATGACAACAAGTTATTTTAATTCTTCCTCAAGTTCAACTGACAGAGACAGTTGTCAGTTAAAACATTTGTCAAACAGAGCGAACAGTTATGTAAAACATCAGCTAATAAAATAATTAATAATAGCTGCTCGCACAACTCATTCGAAAGTGCTGTTGATAAATCTGACAGTGAGCAATGACATTCAAACGATAAAAGAAAACACCAGCAGAACTTGTCAACTCGAAGAGAAAGAAACAAGCCAAGCCGCAGGCAATAACATGCAGCGATAGAGCTTCACAGTCCAACATAACACTATTCCAGCTTTCTGCAAGTAGCCATGATACTCTGGCAGTATGTTCTGCTAACACCGGCAAAAACGCAGGTAATTGTATTAAAGTGCGCACTGTGCTTGTCCGACAGAGCACTATTAGAGTCGAACTATCAACACCTCCAAATGCCAGGAAAAGGGCGACATTCTCGGCACGTGTGCCTGGTTGGAAGCCTGTGTTCCAGCTTTTATTTGCAGTTTAACATGGCTGCACTGTAGTTAAACAATAAACGTTCACAAAACATGGGCTACAGTCTAAATGTTGAGAACATGCGCCTGTACATAGTAGGTAGTCAGGTAGTCAGGTAGTGCTTGAAGAAGTTTGTCTTGTTCATGGAAACAACCATTATCAAACGAGATGGTTATGGGTCGTTCATATATTACTGTGTAACTGTAAGGGGAGGGGGTTTGGAAATACTAATGCTAGTGTAATGTGAACACAAAACTATGTGTAAAAGTTATTGTACACGTGCTTTAACATAAAACATTGGGAATCACATAAACTATACTGTGATCATACCAGTGTGAAATGCGTTGTTTTATAAAGTCCGGCCCAGATAAACAGGAGAAGAGCAGTATTAGAACTGGCCAAGTCCTCTTTAATCTCACTTTAATCCCCTTTAATCTCACCTGCGACTGTCTTGTTTAAGCAAACAAGACAATTTGAATGCGATGCCTCATGACTGTCATATTATACTGGTTAACACTTAACAGTGAGTCTGCGAGTTGTTCACATAATATATCTGAGTTTTAGTAATGTAGCTTTCTGCTCACAGTCGAAACTCGAACCCTTGCCCTCATTTACACGGAAAAACTAAAATAAAACACAATCGGTTATTTGATCAAACAAGTACAATAATCTTCTGATGAAATACAAATACACCTGAACTACAAATTGTTCTATATATTTAACTAAAAAACAGGTCAAATAAGATTAAGAATGGTAAAAATTGTGCAATTGGAAGAAGTTAATTCTTTTAAATGATGCTCTTGTTCATAAATACACTTATGCACGACATAAAATCCATCAACAAAAGTTTCCTATTTTATTAGTCGAGATATAGCTCGCGTCTGGATAAGCAAGCTTATCAGACAGTAACCACATGTCACTAGTTATCTTGCAAAAATAACCACTAAAACATTAAAGCTATTATTTGTGAGACGTTTAGAACTTATAGACCTCACAAAGCACACACAAACTGACATATCATCAAGCAATTCTCAAGTTCATGCTGAGAGCCACCACACGATGCACAAGATAAGTTCGTGTTGGAATTTAGTGAGTAATGAAGTAAAGCCACACTACCGTGAAGATGTCTTCAAAAACGGAGCACTACCAGCCAATTTCAGAGCACAACTGTGACATTCGCTAATGTAAGATGGCAAAATTGCAGTACTTCGTGTGGCCTCATACTGCAAGTCAAGCCGAATTTATGTTTTTGTACAGAAAATGGCGAGCAGAAAAACGCTGTCCTTGAACACGTTCAAATTGTTAAATTTGAAATGCCACACTGCTTTGTGTCAAGATTTCTACAATATTTATATTATGGTTTCCATGGTTGGTAAAATGAGCTCAAATCAAAGGCGGCAAACTGCCAAAATAATACTGATATTAAGTACACTTTGTTACTCTATCATGCCAGCTGAATTTACTATTATATGAGGCATACATCACTATTTCTAGAATAATACCAAGGCTAAAACAGCAGGAAATAAGTGAAGAATTGCGCTAATACGATTAAGCTTTTAAGTAATAAAGTAATAAAGTTACAAAAATTATCTTGTGTCCCGCAGCTCACAAGTGAAATATTTGTGGCACTAGGTTTGATAAGTTTTATGCCCCTTTCCAAACATCTGTTTTGGCATTCTTTTTTCTAAGAATAATAGAAAATCTAAGTGATAAACTACTTGTACTCATCGCTCTCAATATGTAGTGGCTGAAAATTGAAAAAACGTTGAAACCCAAAACCATTCAAGAAAAATCGAGAAAATCTTACAAATCGTAACCCTGAAGTCTTAAAAGAATCTGATTTGACACCAAACTGAACAAAATTAAAATAAAAGCACAAAAATATACAGTACAAAATCCCGACCCTCAAAAAGCTTACAACATCAACAAAGTTTCAAAAAAGGTTATCCTCTTCACAGTTATTCGGTTTTTAGCTAAAAAATCACTACGGTATTACAAGTATACAGTTTTATTGAATATAATACTACAAAAAGTTGTCTTATCTGTGGTCACTCAAAATAAACCACCAAAACACCAAATCATCGCACACAAAAAGCACACAACAAACACAGTGATACAAACCGCATACAATCGTGTATTAGTTCTTTTATTCAAATTTCTGATTGTTTCTGAATAGACTCAGTGAAGACAGATTCTAATGGAAATAAATAGCTGAATAACGTATCGACATTTCTACGTCATACTCATATTCTGAAATAGTATCAATTCAATTATAACGATCAATATTCACATTACAAATTTGACGACGAAATTTATTTCAAACAAAATATATAACTGTAAAATAGTTATCAACCGTAAATAGTTTTTAACGAAATCGGAGCAAATATGAACATAAAACTGACAACATTTATCAAATAGGGCTCATCTGAAAATTAACGAATAGCGTGACGTTATACAGGAGATAAAAGATTAAAAGAGATAAAAGAATTAAACGAGAATATTACTATTTACACGTCACTCAACTAAAAACTGTGTTAGATTGTTCAACTCTGTTTTATCGTTGAGTGTTGGTTTATTTTCAACTAAAAATCGGGCTTCTTTAATCTTTCTGTTGATGAGTGATGTTCCTCTATCTACGATTTGAAGTTTAAGTTTTGGGGGGCCTTTGTGCTGAGGGTGACTTTCCCTGTAGTGCTTTGCTAGTGGCTTATCTTCGTAAGATTTTGCTGTTGGATTTGCCGCACTACGGTAATGCTCGTCGAACCTGCACTTGATCGGTCTGTATGTTTCCCCACCATAGTTCTCGGTACAATTGTCTACTTCGCAAGTGATGTGGTAGACGGTATTAGTTGTGGTGCATTCTCCATCGGTTAAAGCTGCGCATGTTCTGCAGTTTGATGTACAGGAGAATATTGCTGCAATGGCCATTAATGTGCGTTGGAAAGAGTTATTCGCTAACACCTACTCAACTAAGACGCTTAAACAACATTTGAAGAACATTGCACCATTCGAGCAAACTTACACTCGTGCTCCACCTCTAGCAGACACTACCGTCGAGAACAAATTGGGTGCACTTCGACGAGATCTGATCAACATCACCAAGACAGCTCAAGTCACACCCAATCTCACTCCAAAACAACGAACTGCCCTTAGAAACCTGAAGAACAATGAAGACCTTCAAATTTCCGTCGCTGACAAAACAGCAGAGTTTGTAGTAATGCCTAAAGAAGATCACATCAGGACAACTACAACTCACCTCAACAATGGAAACGTCTACAAGAAGATCGACATACCACAGGATAAACTGGGCAAACAAAAGTACATAAACAAGTTAACTAAAACTCTAGAAGACGATGTTAACTCAACATTCAAGAACATTGCCAAGAGTCGTAATCTCCCTCAAGATGTTACTAACCTGTTAATGAGCCATCACACCACCCTCGCTACTGCAAGAGTGATGCTTAAAACCCACAAATACACAAGTGATGAGATCAAGACTCTTAACCCTGACACAATGAAAACTAGACCTATTGTTTCAGGCTGCAACTCCCCTTTCCACAAAATCCTTTGGTTCGTCTGTCACATTCTATCTCCTCTGATGAATCTAGTACCTTCTCATTTGAAAAACACTCACGATTTTCTTTGAAGGATTAAAAACATCACACCAAATGATCTGAAGAGTCTTACTTTCTTTACAGCAGACGTCGAAGCTTTATACACCAATATCAACGTACTAACAGCAATAGAAGATGTCATGGAATTTGCCAAAGAAAATAGACAGTCAATCAGTACATACGGTCTCCATCTCTCTGATTTACAAGAACTACTAGAGACAACCCTAGGAAAGTCATATTTTGTCTACAACAATCAAGTCTACCTACAGCTTCTTGGATTGTTCATGGGAACCAACCCTGCACCTATACTAGCTACTGTCAAAATGTGGAAACTGGAAAAACTTTCAGTCTACGTAGACCTGAGGATAACACTGCCCACCTACAGCAGGTTTTACGACGATCTAAACGGAGCCACCACCAACAGACGAAAAGCTCAGCAACTGTGCAACCTCATCGAACAACAAGATCCTGACAAACTTATCAAACTAACTGTAGACTACCCTGACAATCAGAACGACTTTGTTCCCTTCCTCAACACGGAAATAAAGATCGACTCAGATGGAATAGTACATTCTAGACTCTACAGAAAACCACAGAAAAAGCCACTCACCCTCCACTACAACTCTCATCATACAACACGTACAAAGAATGCTACTGTTGAGAGTATGTACAACACCGCAAAGGCAGTCTCTAAAAACAGAGAAAACGAGAAGTACTCAGAAAAGATGATAGATAAACTTCTCATCAACAACGGCTACACTGATAGAGTCTTAGAAACCATAAAGAACAAGAGAAAACGTAGAAAGAGAATTAATCAGAACGTACAGAACAAAGACCAAGACGGAGCGATTCTCAAACTACCCTATGTCAACGAAGCTACTAGTCGCAAATACAGAGATGCTGTCAGACATAGTGGACTCCCCATCAAAATTGTCGAGAAACCTGGACGGAAACTGAAGGATCTCCTTACAGACTCCAGACCCCTTGACAAGAAATCCTGTACAACATCAAACTGCAGAACATGCGCAGCTTTAACCGATGGAGAATGCACCACAACTAATACCGTCTACCACATCACTTGCGAAGTAGACAATTGTACCGAGAACTATGGTGGGGAAACATACAGACCGATCAAGTGCAGGTTCGACGAGCATTACCGTAGTGCGGCAAATCCAACAGCAAAATCTTACGAAGATAAGCCACTAGCAAAGCACTACAGGGAAAGTCACCCTCAGCACAAAGGCCCCCCAAAACTTAAACTTCAAATCGTAGATAGAGGAACATCACTCATCAACAGAAAGATTAAAGAAGCCCGATTTTTAGTTGAAAATAAACCAACACTCAACGATAAAACAGAGTTGAACAATCTAACACAGTTTTTAGTTGAGTGACGTGTAAATAGTAATATTCTCGTTTAATTCTTTTATCTCTTTTAATCTTTTATCTCCTGTATAACGTCACGCTATTCGTTAATTTTCAGATGAGCCCTATTTGATAAATGTTGTCAGTTTTATGTTCATATTTGCTCCGATTTCGTTAAAAACTATTTACGGTTGATAACTATTTTACAGTTATATATTTTGTTTGAAATAAATTTCGTCGTCAAATTTGTAGTGTGAATATTGATCGTTATAATTGAATTGATACTATTTCAGAATATGAGTATGACGTAGAAATGTCGATACGTTATTCAGCTATTTATTTCCATTAGAATCTGTCTTCACTGAGTCTATTCAGAAACAATCAGAAATTTGAATAAAAGAACTATCAAATCATGAGACTCAAAAACACTACACGAATCCACCAGATTAATCGTGTATTAGTTGGACGATCGTATCCATTTCATGCCATTGCTAATACAATATTGAGGGTAAAATGTACATAGTGTGTATTGTATAGTGCACAATACACAGATTGTGTCGAGCAGTACATCACAAAACAGCCCCTACTCTTCAGGGCGATCAACAAAACAGCTCAGTTTGATGATAACAGTCTTCACTTGAGCAGACCTCTGTTGGCGTTGGAGGAAAACTGGTAACTTTGACCGAGATTTATGCTTCTGTCCGCAAGGCTGCGATGGAATTCCGCCTAAAATAAACCCGTCAAACTAAAGGTGAAAGCAATCAGGGAAGCAAACAAAGGTACAGTATGACCAGAACAAACCTTAACTATCTCGATTTAAGAATAAAACTGCAAGAAAAAGGGGCAGCAATTGTTCTTCTAAAGTATAGTAGGTTTATTATGGCCACACCTTATTGTAGGGGAAGCTAATACAAATGTTTCATGTTAAATTGGTACGTTTAATTAATCAAATCAATAGAAAAAAGCGCATTAATCGTATTAATCAAATCAAACAGAATACGTCATGCAATTGTGTAAAAGCAGGACTTCTAACGACGAAAATGTACGACAGCTTGATTCGCTTGTTACACACTAGCAAATCGAGGAGCATTATATATGTAGAAAATTATCATTGAAAACTGAAGTGTAAAGGAAGCTCATGCGGCAACATTTAAAAACGGTGTCATCAATTATCATAACAAAAAATCCCAACATCTCAGGACGATAATGATATAATTATACAAACAAAAAATAGTTAAAAAGAAGAGAATTACGAAATAAATTAAATGACACATTTATAGTGAAATGATAGAATAAACGATTGAACCATTTAATTAGATAATTCACTAATTAAGGTACCCATTTGGTGCCTCTAAAACTCACGGATCTAGTGAAGTCATTTTGGTTACCCCCCTCAATCCTAGTCAGGTACTTGCTCCTCAGCCCCCTGGCAGTGGAGGATCTAAAGGTTTGACTGACGTCCAGCACAGAATTATCAGAGATCAGGGGCTCTCTGTAATCCTCTCCTTCCAGAACAGAACGGATCTCTGCTCTGAAATTAAATATTATGATATTGTTGTTACAGTAAATCAATAAAATAAGTTTAACAATCAAACTTCAAACATTTTCTAAGACTTGATTCAATTAAATCGCGATTGGAAAGTCAATGATAAAAACTGCAGGTTAAGGCCACAGGGGGGGGGGGGGGGGGGGTTCCGAGGTCGATTTTTTAAGATTTTGAGATATGTTGTAGAGCTCGATCTAAATTTTCAAATGCTTTTGTCCTTACCGAAAACAAAGTTTCCTATTTGAAGATATAGTCGCGCGTTGAATTTTGAGGTTTACCTGTAATTCTATTGTAAATGAAAACTTTAAATGAAATCGTGTTCAAAATCTATGGGGGGGGGGGGGGGGCCAATGGCATAAAATGGCATAAAATGGCATAAAATGGAGACTTTTTCTATGGAGAAAATGGAAAAACCCATGAGTAATTCTCCATTTTCTCCATTTTATGCCATGAATTTTGTCTTCGAAATTTCATCTTTAACACCATTTAACACCTAAATTGGACATCCTTACATGTTTATTTACGCTTACTAGGGGCGTAACAAGCTTATGAAAGCTCATAGTAGGCTACTAGATGCTTATACTAGGTTAGTAGAGGCACACTTCAGGCAAACTCATAATTACTCAAGCCTAGTGTAAAGTTATTTCTACAGGCTACAGCAGGAGTGAGTAATAGGGGAGAGTAATAAGTGAGACCTACATCCTCGACAGTCGAAACAAGCTCGCACTGCAAAGGGGAGCCCTGCCTTCCGAGATCGCATTACCAGGGGGAAGCCTCGAGTCCAAATTTGTGTATCGAGGGGTAGGTGCAGACTTCGATAAACCGAAAAACCAAAAAAATATTTTCGGCTTATAATGAAGAGGGTAGCATGAAACGTGGAGAAAAGTGGTTTTTAGAAAAACTTTGAAAAATTTTGACTTAGAAAATTTTCGGCCCGAGTCATTCTCGATACGTACCTCTCGTATCGAGAGCTCCCGATTCCGAGCTCGTGTTGCAAAGGGGAGGCCTGCCTTCCGAGATCGCATTACCAGGGGGAAACCTCGAGTCCAAAATTGTGTACCGAGCGAGGGGTAATTTTCTAAGTCAAAATTTTTCAAAGTTTTTCTGAAAAACACTTTTCTCCACGTTTCATGCTACCTTGTTCATTATAAGCCGAAAATATTTTTTCGGTCAAAATTTTTCAAATTTTTTCTGAAAACCGCTTTTCTCCACGTTTCATGCTACTCTGTTCATTATTTGCCGAAAATATTTTTTCGGTTTTTCGAAGTCCAAACCTTCCCCTCGATACACAATTTTGGACTCGAAGTAATGCGATCTCGGAAGGCAGGCCTCCCCTTTGCAACACGAGCTCGGAATCGGGCGCTCTCGATACGGGAGGTACGTATCGAAAATGACTCGGACCGAACATTTTCTAAGTCAACATTTTTCAAAGTTTTTCTGAAAACCACTTTTCTCCATGTTTCATGATACTCTGTTCATTATTGGCCAAAAATATTTTTTCGGTTTTTCGAAGTCCACACCTTCCCCTCGATACACAATTTTGGACTCGAAGTAATGTGATCTCGGAAGGCAGGCCTCCCCTTTGCAACACGAGCTCGGAATCGGGAGCTCTCGATACGGGAGGTACGTATCGAAAATGACTCGGACCGAACATTTTCTAAGTCAACATTTTTCAAAGTTTTTCTGAAAACCACTTTTCTCCATGTTTCATGATACTCTGTTCATTATTGGCCAAAAATATTTTTTCGGTTTTTCGAAGTCCACACCTTCCCCTCGATACACAATTTTGGACTCGAAGTAATGTGATCTCGGAAGGCAGGCCTCCCCTTTGCAACACGAGCTCGGAATCGGGAGCTCTCGATACGGGAGGTACGTATCGAAAATGACTCGGACCGAACATTTTCTAAGTCAACATTTTTCAAAGTTTTTCTGAAAACCACTTTTCTCCATGTTTCATGATACTCTGTTCATTATTGGCCAAAAATATTTTTTCGGTTTTTCGAAGTCCACACCTTCCCCTCGATACACAATTTTGGACTCGAAGTAATGTGATCTCGGAAGGCAGGCCTCCCCTTTGCAACACGAGCTCGGAATCGGGAGCTCTCGATACGGGAGGTACGTATCGAAAATGACTCGGACCGAACATTTTCTAAGTCAACATTTTTCAAAGTTTTTCTGAAAACCACTTTTCTCCATGTTTCATGATACTCTGTTCATTATTGGCCAAAAATATTTTTTCGGTTTTTCGAAGTCCACACCTTCCCCTCGATACACAATTTTGGACTCGAAGTAATGTGATCTCGGAAGGCAGGCCTCCCCTTTGCAACACGAGCTCGGAATCGGGAGCTCTCGATACGGGAGGTACGTATCGAAAATGACTCGGACCGAACATTTTCTAAGTCAACATTTTTCAAAGTTTTTCTGAAAACCACTTTTCTCCATGTTTCATGATACTCTGTTCATTATTGGCCAAAAATATTTTTTCGGTTTTTCGAAGTCCACACCTTCCCCTCGATACACAATTTTGGACTCGAAGTAATGTGATCTCGGAAGGCAGGCCTCCCCTTTGCAACACGAGCTCGGAATCGGGAGCTCTCGATACGGGAGGTACGTATCGAAAATGACTCGGACCGAACATTTTCTAAGTCAACATTTTTCAAAGTTTTTCTGAAAACCACTTTTCTCCATGTTTCATGATACTCTGTTCATTATTGGCCAAAAATATTTTTTCGGTTTTTCGAAATCCACACCTTCCCCTCGATACACAATTTTGGACTCGAAGTAATGTGATCTCGGAAGGCAGGCCTCCCCTTTGCAACACGAGCTCGGAATCGGGAGCTCTCGATACGGGAGGTACGTATCGAAAATGACTCGGACCGAACATTTTCTAAGTCAACATTTTTCAAAGTTTTTCTGAAAACCACTTTTCTCCATGTTTCATGATACTCTGTTCATTATTGGCCAAAAATATTTTTTCGGTTTTTCGAAGTCCACACCTTCCCCTCGATACACAATTTTGGACTCGAAGTAATGTGATCTCGGAAGGCAGGCCTCCCCTTTGCAACACGAGCTCGGAATCGGGAGCTCTCGATACGGGAGGTACGTATCGAAAATGACTCGGACCGAACATTTTCTAAGTCAACATTTTTCAAAGTTTTTCTGAAAACCACTTTTCTCCATGTTTCATGATACTCTGTTCATTATTGGCCAAAAATATTTTTTCGGTTTTTCGAAGTCCACACCTTCCCCTCGATACACAATTTTGGACTCGAAGTAATGTGATCTCGGAAGGCAGGCCTCCCCTTTGCAACACGAGCTCGGAATCGGGAGCTCTCGATACGGGAGGTACGTATCGAAAATGACTCGGACCGAACATTTTCTAAGTCAACATTTTTCAAAGTTTTTCTGAAAACCACTTTTCTCCATGTTTCATGATACTCTGTTCATTATTGGCCAAAAATATTTTTTCGGTTTTTCGAAGTCCACACCTTCCCCTCGATACACAATTTTGGACTCGAAGTAATGTGATCTCGGAAGGCAGGCCTCCCCTTTGCAACACGAGCTCGGAATCGGGAGCTCTCGATACGGGAGGTACGTATCGAAAATGACTCGGACCGAACATTTTCTAAGTCAACATTTTTCAAAGTTTTTCTGAAAACCACTTTTCTCCATGTTTCATGATACTCTGTTCATTATTGGCCGAAAATATCTTTTTTTAAAATAATTTTTCTCGAAATTCTAAATTTTTCAGGTTTTCCATGGCATAAAATGGCATAAAATGGCATAAAATGGAGACTATTTCTATGGAGAAAATGGAAAAACCCATGAGTAATTCTCCATTTTCTCCATTTATGCCATTGGCCCCCCCCCCCCCAAATCTATCTTCTTTTTCAGTTTATGACTTAGAACCTTGTAACTTGGCAACAATGTTCTTCAAGGTATTTTGAGTTTTTGTTATGTAACGATTTATGATATCTTGCTCAAAAGCTGAGATATGAGGTTAACCATGAGTGCCGGTTACAAAATTTAAAATGGTTAACCTCATAAAAAGAGTTAGGAGAAAAATTACAACAATCGTTACATAACAAACTTTTAAATTTATTTCAGGAACATAAGTTCCAAATTTGAGGTGAAATGGATAAAACTCTAGGAGAAGATAGATTTTGAAGTCAAAAATTCGAGGTTTTCAGGAGAGGAAAAAACTGTTTTTTATTTTATGTGATTTTTGAGTATTTTGCCTTTATTTGTATATTTTTCAAAGTTTAACTGCTGAAATAACACAAAAACAATAAAAACAAAGCTTATCGTAGTTTTCAGTTGTAATGGCATCAATATTTCTGCCCTCCATTATCGATTTATCAAAAAAATGAGGTTAAGGAAGAATTGGTTAACCTCATTTATAAAAAAAAAGTAAAATAGCTACAGACAAATGAGTGGTGGCTAAGTATCCACCACAAAAATATATATTGATTCAAAGCATAATATTTTTTGAAGCCTCGACCCCCCCCCCCCTGTGGCCTTAACGGCCAAAATAGCATCCATATTCAAACGAAAATTATAAAGACACAACTCATATCCACTCACTCGTTCATTTCTTTTCGTTTGGCAGGGGACGCGTTAAGATAACCGCCGTTAGCAGAATCCCATCCCCATAACATTAGGATACACACGGCGGAGAGGGCCAGCCAGGCCATGAACTGCAGTGACAATAGGAAATACCCATACTGTGGAGGGGAGGGGTTAGGCACATTCCTGAATTGCTACGAATTTATAATTGCAATGTTTATCAAGGAATCATATAAGCGTAAAAATATGCATTATAATATTATGCAAACTTCACAATTTTACGTTCCATTTTACTAAATTTTGAATCCATGAATCTTGTGACTACTTGTATACTGTGACCTCATTTCTTGTTTAATCACATATCCTGCAAGCTATACAGGATTGTTATGTTGAAAGAAATAGTAGCAGTTACCTTTCCTACGATAGTTCCAGAAGCGATGGAGACGAGAGCCAGTCCCAGGTTCTGTATACTCTGCATCATGCCGTACGCGGTACCCAGCTGGTATTCCGGCACCACCAGCGACACCTGCACAAGTATAGTTTACTAAACTTATATTTTCTACTTTAATGCACTTAAGTGCACTTTCACTTTTTTTCAACTTTAACACACCACAAGTTTTTTGTTGTGGGGGGGGGGGGGGGGGCTATTTATATTTTAACACTTGACACAGAAACTAAGACGGGAACTATTGGCGCAGTTTGCTTACCATGGGCCACAGGGCACTCGCACACATGCTGTAAGCAAGAGCCATCATCACCATAGCAACGTAGGGGTGAACAAAGGTGAAAGCAAGTAACGCGTGAGCTCCCGACGTTATCAGGATAGCGCTCAGTACTGAAAGTGATTTCAGTTAAACGTCATCACTCATATTGTGTGCTGGTGATTGTCTCATTGTCTTGTCCTTCCCACGAAAATAAAGGTTCCAGATGTTCTAGATGTTTTAAACGGTTATGAGTGGTTCACGTCATCTCAAAAGCCACAATAAAAACTTATCAGACCATATTTCTCGGTGCTGGAAATTCTAGAGCCGTTCTGAAGAGGCCAAAATCTTAACGATACGTTTAGAGAGGCTCGATGATGAAGTCTCCAAAATGAAATACAGTAGATTATATTTATTTGATTTCATTCAGTCCAGTAAATCCAGCCTTTTGACCATTTAACTAGATGAATTAATGGGTCGGAATATTACCAAACTTGCACGCGCGCAAAAAATTGATCGAGACTTGAAAAATCAACATTTTCTTCAAAATGAGATAACTTGGTCCAGGAATGAGAAAAATGAATAAATCAAAAAGTTCTGAGTATATCAATTTTCTGTCTATAACTCCCACGACATTTTAGTAAATCTTAAGGAGGTCAGATTAAAAAAACAAATTATGTCATTATTGGCTAGGATTTAGGAAGAAGACTGTCTTATCACGTGAGAACGCCAGTGCCAGTTCCGGAAAGCATAATGTCATTACATTCACACCACTCTCCTCATTTCATTTCTCGCCACCGACAGTGTAATCCATCAGGTTTTATGTATATAAACATTACCGTTTCCGATAAGGACTGAATTAAGATAAACAGAGTGGAAGTTGAACTTCCACTGCCGCTGCTTTGCTTGGATTGACTACTGCACAGTGCGTGTTTTGCGCCTTGCAAGTTGCAATCTGTATGTGATTTGTTGTGGAACAGATGGGCGTAATTTCTAATTTCATGCACCTGATTTTGATCACCTCATGCCTTATACTTATATAGTAAGCCACTAGTTTATAGAAGTTGATGTCATTGGGTACCAGTACCTGGGTAGTACCAAATCTGTCTGATAGAGATAAGTTTTAGGCCGTCATTCCCAAGACGCCATAATTATTCATCTGATTGCTTCCCTTAATATTATCACACGTGTGTACGTCACATGAATTCAATAATTTTAGAGTTAATCATGGTTGAGTGGTCGCGGCCTCCTTTTGTTGGCTCCGTGTCTAGTTTGAACACCCTTCCATAATAACGTACAGCAATCTTACCTTAATGAGCTATGATATTTAAATCCTTGACTCATTCCTGGTTTACAATTTACAGCTGTGGTTTGATTTAATATGAATTATTTGCCTCTAAATCTAGGGGCGGTGCACGCGTTCAGTCTATTACGTTATTTTAACTTATTAATATTAATATCATATATTAGTAATTCTAAAGGACTATTTAAATTTGGTCGAGACCTTACATCAAATTCCCGATAATTCACGAATCACAACTTTTAACTAAGCAGCAGTTGGTTGTGACAGGTTGGATCAGGCATTGGTGCCAAATCTGACATTCTCGTTGTTAAGTGTAACTACTATAGTTAGGGTAACCAGTTGCAACTCCCCGATTGTATTTACCGAGCCTCTCAAAGCAACAGATGTCTTGGTAAATATATAAATAGTATCGCTTTCGTCTCGATATTCCGCTCTGGTCAACAAAATCTGGGGGGGGGGGGGGGGGGGGGGGGAGGCAACCATATTAAAGTATATTAATATGGTTGCCCCCCCCCCCCCCCCCCAAAATCTGGACATTTGCGTAAATTCAAAGGTCCTGTCTAGCGATATAATATTAATATTATCTGGATGATAAAATTTGATCGATGGGTCCACTGATGATCAAACAATCATTACTAAAGTTTAAATCTAATACAACCCTCCGGTTTCATGTAAGGTTGCTAGGGTACATAACGAACAGCTGAAATTGCCAGGTTTTGGCACGGTCAATGCCTGATTTATCGATTAGCATTCGGCCAGGTGTTATTTACTGTCAATCTTACAATTGACAAACCTGTCAATCTGACTCTTCATTAACCTTTTATCTACCTCTGTTAAATTTCCGATAGGTTTAATCCCAATTTTATTTTCCTTCTGTGATTTTTCATTTTTAATATAATTATAACACTACAATATAATATTATTACATTTGTTGAGGACGTTACATAAGGAATTGATCGTCCTAAGATGGCGTTTCTCTTGTCTCATATTATACTTATAGTATTATTACAACATGATTTTATCCTTGATGTTTCTATAGAGATGTAGGGTGTCATTGCCATTTTCGACATTGACTCTTAGATTTCCTTCTGTTATTGATTGATTGATTGATTGATTGATTGATTGAGGAGCACTACCCAGAGGCATTACTTCGCACTAACGCCTTAAAATCTTTAATTACAATCAAATATAAATATATGCACACAATGTATAAAATATGATTACGCTATAAGCAAATTTAAATAGTACTATTAAACATTTTTAAATAACTCTTATCTCTTGACATAAATTTAAAACAGCGACACAGGGTCTGAAGAATGCGCGGTGATATTTTTATCTTGTAAATGACAGTGAAATTGCGCGGTAGCGATAGCATTGTAAAAATGCTCGAAGATAGTCATATTTCGTTCTGAGGTAAAAGTTTTGTTGCTCGTCACTATCAACGTAACGTATGCTGTACCGAAAATTTCGGGACATATTTTTTGCCATCGAATTTTGAGATATCTTGAGAAGATAACAAAATGTTTTTTCATCATTTTCGCCACAAACATGACTTGATAAACTAATATTTATTACGTAACTTCCCAATGTGTACTCCCATAACTTTTCTAACTCTGTTTCTACATCAGCCAGTATGACAGTAAACTCAACAGAAAGCACAGACATGTTGGGGATAATAGTCCACCTCACAACAGAACAAGGAACTGCCCTCAACCTCACCCTCTCTCCAGATATCTACGACACTCCCGCCTCGGACTGGGAGCGCTACATCATCCTACTCTGGAGTACTTTCTGCGCCCTGGTCTCCATTCCAGGTAACACCTCAGTTCTAGTCGCCTCCGGCTGGTACCATGCCATCAGACTGGACAATGTCTCCGTTATCCTCATCAGAAACCTAGCTGCAGCGGACTTGATCTACGCGATAACCGTCATTTTACCCACAACCTGGTCCGTCCTGCAACAGAAATGGGTCCTGGGACCCTTTCTCTGTAATGTCCAGTTCTTCTTAGGATATCTAACCTGCCTTGCTAGTGTGATCTTAGTCTGCACTTTGAATATAAGCAAACTAACCACCCTACTGTTCCCACTGCACGCCCGAACCCGAGCTAAACGGACTGGCAGGTTCATATCCCTCCTTATCTGGGGCATCATACTGGTCGCTCTTATACCGGTGGTATTGTGGGTAGTTACTGGGCTGGTAGAGTTTAGTAGCAGTAGCTACAAGTGTGATGGGACTTATGATGCATCCAGTGGCCAGTGGTGGCTTCCTGTCTATTCGGTTATTTTTGGACTCCTGCCAATTATCTTGGTTGTGGTATCAACGGTTTGGCTGCTTCACTTCGTTAAGAAAGTTCGGGGTCTACAAAAACAGAGCGTCATTACCAATATTGTCATATCTGTAGTTTATATTGTAGCGATATTTCCTTATGTAGTTTTACAAGGTAGTTATATTGCTCTGGACCCCGAAAAAAACAAGATGTTTTACGAATATTTCTACAGATTTTCAGTTTTCATACTTTGGATTAACAGTACAGCTAATCCACTCATTTATTATTTTACGATTTTGAGCTACCATAATTTTGTGAAGCGAATGTTTAAATGTAACTCTACGAAGAAAACTGTTACAGTGATTTCCAATAAGTTAGCACATAGTCTTAACAGCTCGAGTGCTTTTTATCCAAAAGATTTAGGCAATGTTGTGATAAAACTGTCAATATGAAATCTATTTTGTTGCCAATGGCATCATACCCATTATATATAGTCGTTATGATCTAGGTCAATAGTCGATTAAATTAATAATTTTGAATATGGATAAAAAATGTGAACAAAATGAAAAAAGGTTCCAATCTTCACTTTTACTTAATTATTTTTACGATATTCTTTATAAGAAGTTTTACAATCGGACTTGTTTTACTTCTAAGTTATATTGAAACCTCGAATTATTTTGAAATTTATACATATGAAAAGTCAGCACTGCACAGGTCCTATAAGTTGTTAAAATAGAAAGAGAAAACTCACGCCACGCAATGTTCCTCCCATAGCGGTCGATAAGTATTCCAGCAAGAGGGGAGGCCACTGCTCCGATAAAATAAACTAGAGAGTTGCAGACACCAGCTTCATCTTGTGTCAAACCAAACCTGAAGCACACAAATTATCTAGCTGCTATTATCTTGCTAATATTATCTTGCTAATATGTTCATTATTATTGTTAATATAAACAAAGTGAAACTAGGAATTATGTAATATTAAGAGATTAATTTGCAGAAATAAGTGTGAAGTGAAGAAAACTAACTTCTGTTCGAAGAAGAGTTTTCCAAGAGAAATGAAAGGGAAGATGGCGACATAGTAGGTAACACAGATAGCAAATATCAGCCAGGTTGCAGTAGAGAACCGGGTTATGTCACTCAGTTTTATCGACTCTCCTGAAGATCACAGGAGTAGGGAGTTATATATCACATGTTTAGATAATCTTGCGGGCAAATCAATCTTTTTTGATTTTACAATTCTTTGAACAATTCAAACGCTGGCCGCTGGCCATTGGTTACAAATTAACAAATGAGTTGAAAAATGAAATTTATTACGGAATGATTAATAAAAGAATCGTAAATACACAAAATATCAATTTCAAGATAAAAATCTCAACAATTTCGGACCACCACATTTTTGAGTGTACACGAGATACATTCAACACGTCATTATTGAATATGTGTAATATCTGACCTGTTCCAGAAGCTTCCTTTTTGAGGATCTTGCTAGCTCTTCTGTCGAGTAATGCTAAAACCACGGAGGCAAGCAAGCTCAGAACACACAAACCAGCACCTGGAATGGAGCAAGTCAGTTTGTTGATATTATCTGAACTCAGTGTACATTTTCTTTTAAGAAGTTATACACTAACAATTAATTTCGCGGAGCGCCATGGCGCGCAGTAAGTGCTATGATTATTATGAACATATAAATATGCTCGTTAATTAGAAAAAAAAGTTCTCACATTATGTTGAATGCCTATCTAGAACTTAGCCCATATATTCGATGCACACGAACTTTTAAAATCTAAAGGATGCTTCGTTTCAGATTTGATACGTGAAATCACATTTTTACATTTTTACTGTCTCATTGAATGAGTTAGCAGAGGAGAGACCCGATAAATACTGACTTTATTACTCGCTGCAGGTGACACCGTTCAATGGGGCCACCAATAAAAGTATTCACTATATAGCTGGCCCTAACAATGTGAGCACCCGACTGAATCGCATAATGTCCGAACAAGTGCAAAAGGGCGCCTTATTCTAGCATCCGCACCTGTGCAAATGTTAATTTACTACAGGTACCGCTCCTAGCACTCTCCTACCATATCTTGAGATATTAGAAAGGATCGATTGTTATGAACCTCGCCCCCAGTTATGGTATACATTGACAATTTCTAGGGGCAGCTTGGATCATCATTGAAGAATTGCTTGGTATCGGAACAGCAGACACCTTACAGTCAATGGAGGAGGCAACATGTCACATGTAATTTACATGTGTTGTGAATATGATGGGAACTGCTGGCCCAGATAGAAGCTTTATTTCATCATCGACCAGGTGTTGACTCTTCACTCGCTGTGCTTCGTATTTCCATCTAATTCCCCCTATTTAGAAACTACGTAAAGGATTCAAGTACCAATAAAATATCGGTTGCCGACCAGGACCGATCAGCGCGGCATTTGGTCGACTTCTGGAGCAGGTGACAGGTATTTTGTAGGCAGCTCTAACTTCAACTTGTATCTTGGCGATTGTTACTGTTATAACTTATAACGTGCTGGATGGTTTATTATATGTGTACGCAGTGTGATATAACTGTAGGTGGTACCCGCCGTATGTGACTGTGTACTGTAGCATGTACTATGTAGTTAATGAAACATGAGGGATTAATTGATTTTTCATTTCCATATCTATAAATTTTACAGCTGTGGTTTTTTCCTTAGGGTTAAATCAAATCAAATGCTACAATATAATATATTATATCGTTGAGCAGGTGTTCAATTTCCCCAATATAAAGGTCACCTCCAGTTTTTAGTTTCAATTACAACCCAACTGTAAGAGCATTTTACCGTGAACTATTGACAAAGATTGAGGCACAAAATTAGCACCTTTTAATGATTGTCAAATGTCTTGATAAGGAACAAAGGCTTCCATTTCACAATAGTTAATTGGTTTTCTTTTGTTCTTGACCGTGTCCGCCAATTTGCAGGCGTTAGTTTGTAGCAACCTTTACGCTACTATTTCAGGATTTGTGCAGTTCCCATACCACATGTTGTTGGTCTTGGACTAAATAAAATAGGGAACTTATAAAACAGCTGGTATTTTCTGGTTCAGAGAAAAGCAACTATGAAGTCTTTAGTTCTAGTTATCATTTATCAGGTTATTCGTCCTCATGCTCATAGGACGAATAACCTGCTAAATGTTACTAGATAAAAAAGATAGCGGTGTTCATAAAGCACCCTTATCGTTTTAACTAAGAACGGGTGGGCTGTTTATCCCAGATTGGAATCAGATCATGGCCTCAGGCCTTGCTGTATCTGATTTTTGCTCTATCAATTTTCCCGACAGACTGCAAATGTAATTTAAAATTATCTGCCCTTAGATTTTCCATTCCCAAGTTTTTCATTAAAATGAAAATAACGAAAATAAGTTGACCTAAGGTATGCAATGACCGCAGCCGGCAGCAATAACTGATAACATGATTTCATTGGAATTTTAAAACTTTAATTCATATCGGTTCCTGTGATGTCACAAATCTTACATATTACCAAAAACTATTTTAGGAAATGGCACAATACGAACTACCTCTGGTGACAACCGTTCTTAAGTGTGTAATAGACGTTGTTGGGATCACTGCGAACAGTCTGTCACTCTCCTACTTCATCAATAGACAGAACAAAGGACTGGGAAACAGATTGCTAATGTTACTAAACGTGTGCGACTTATTTGTGTGCGTTACCAACTTTATGACAGCGATAATATATCAGATGTGCTTATCACAAAATTGTTTGAGAAAAGAAGACAATTGGGTTGAAACCAGTTACAACATCTGTAGGTTCTTCTACGCTATGTCTTTTGACTGCACAGGATTCTCAACCAGTCTTCTCAGTGTCACTAGATCAATCAAAGTTTGTCGACCTTTCTATCGTATCAAGGGAATATGGACTGCAGCGAGTTTTGTTTTCTATTTTATTTGCTCATCTATCAAGGAATTTATTTGCTACGTTGGGGGAGATTCGAAAATAAGATTGATACTTCAGATATACTATCCATTGGTATATTCATCAGGGACTATTTTATCTGTTATATCTGTTTTTGTCTCTAGCGTGGTGACGGCAAATTGGTTGATGAAAAAGAGAATGGCCAGAGGCAATAGTTTGGAGACTAATCGACATGCAACAATAACGATTCTCATTCTTTCAACTGTCTTCTGCCTTCTGAACGCCATATTCATTTCTGCAGCTGTGCTGGAATTTTGTGTCAAATTCAAAGTAGTGAATGAAACTTACACACTTTTCCTGTACAGGGACGCGGATTTCTCAATAGCAGTCAACGTCAACTCGACAATAAACCCGATAATATATCTGACCAGAAAGAAAGAGATGAGACAATTTGTTCTGGAAGTTTGGAGGAAAGTGAAAGATAAGCTATCTAGATCCCAGGCTAAACCAGAAGTCAACGTTTCAGGGTTGACAATGAGGAGTCTAGTAATAATCAACAATCCACCTATGCCACTTAACAATTATCCTAATATGATAATAGATACTGAGATGGTTTGAGGGTGTCGCATTACTTTCATAAAAAGGTTTACGCAATAAATAAATTGCTAGTATAGTTTATCACGGCACCACTTGAGTCTTGAAATAAAATTCGATTTGACATCAAAATAAGTGTATCTTTCCTCAAAATTCTTTGATATGATAATAACATAACTTCGCATTTTCAGTTTCTGCATGTTAAGGGGAATAATGACAAACCATCCGTGTATTAAGCTGAATCCCCAAAATCTTGTCAGTAAATTCAATGTACTATCAATATTTTCAGAGTAATAGAATCCTATAAAAAGAAACCATTGACAGTTCTCATCAGACATTCGTCTCTTAAAAGATAATTGATCTTTGATTTTGTGAGATATATTTAGCACTTATTTAACATAAAATGATCCCATATTATTTGTTGTTCATGTTCTAGTCAGTGGCAGACATGGGGGAACTATGGGGTGTTCTCATACTAAAGGTTGTAGTTATGGGACTTATAAAGCACCTGGCTCTAGCACTACTGGTTCAGAGTAAAACAATTACTAAGTTATTATTCCTATCTAGAAACCGAGAAACGGGGGAGTACTTGTACCAGCTTCTTTTTAAATTATGCCACCTGCTACACCCTGAGGTAACAGGCATACCTCGCATGCCTAGTGAGGGACTTAATCATCAGATTCCTGAGTTACAAATAAGGCTATATAATCGGGGGAACAGAGAACACTTGTCTGCATGTCTGCTGAATGGCAGAAGTAACCACGTGGAGCTCTTGTAGATGAAGTAAAGTCTCCCAACTGAATGTTATGAGTTGCACTAGTTCGACAGTAGGATCAGCTACTAAAATATGGTGCCCCAGAAATTGAACCTTGCCACTTTTGTTTGTGGCTCCTGACGGGCAAGACTTGTATTCCAACTTATGGCAACTTAATTCAGAGGCCCTTCTTCCCTATACGTAACTATATGTTTTACATGCTGTCTTAAGACGATTATGTCGTTCCACTTTAGTCTATACGACATACGTTTTCAGGTATTTCAGGATCCTTCTTGTTTTTTACTCTCTCAATTTTCTCTCAGCCGGTGAAGTCGCTTTAGTAGCCAGGACCTCTTTTGTCTGAGGGCACCATTTAATGAGTAATGCATCACTTTCTGTATCGTACGTGCTGTTCCCGTTGACAGATCAAATTATTATCGAATCCGTCTTGAAATGAATTATTAAATTTTGGCCAGATAAACATTGCGCGCAAATATGCGCGTTCTTTCGCGCACAGGAAGTAATGCTTATGTCATGGCGCGTTACACAAAAAACAATAAATCCGCAAAAGTGTGACCGAATTTACCAAACATCAAGAGCGTTCCCATCAGGTGAGCTTTATTGTCTCCGAAACTGGAGGCAATAGCCTTGTAGAACGGTAATAACGTTACCATACCAACTGTGCTTCCCTGAAGTATAACTTAAGATTATATTCATGAACAAAAGTCTCTCTTCGGCAAGAAAAATCAGTCACAAAGAGTTCAGTGATTTAGATTTAGACAAATCGTCTTTAAAAGTTCTAGTGAGCGATCCTTACGATTCTAGAGAAACTGAGCTGGATACCAAAGACTGTGTTGATTTCCCTGCCCCCGAACCACGCTACCACATACGTGTTACCGGCTACTGCTAAATTCTCACCTCCCAACCTGATATAAAGATATAACTATTATTAAACGAAATGTATAAAGTTATAACTATTATTAAACGAAATGTAAGACAAGAATAATCGTAGATACTAGACTCTCAAATTACCATAAAAACTTCAGTGAAATACAATACAATGACACAGCACAATTGTCTACTCACCCGAACACAAATCTACCGGCATACATGACATAACGGTTATTAAGATAAGCTCCAGCAGCGAATATTATCTGTCCGATTAGGATTACCAGTCCGAATAGAAAAGCTCCCAATCTGAAAAAACAAACAATCTTAATCTTCGGAATATGACGATTCGTTTTATACAGATTATCGATTTAAGAGCATCACGAATGATAACCATAGTACATAAATAGTAATCTCGGAGTATTGATAAGTTACCTGATACCGAAGACTCTATCAATAAGGTAACCCCCAATAAAGCAGAGAAATACATTAGGCCAACTGTACAGTGAGTAGAGCAACATAAAATCACTGCCCTGAAACAAAAATGTATCATTGAGATAATAGGCATTAGATTCCTTGACTTATTGCTTTATCAATACATTTCGATTGACCTGCCCACAGTTGAGATAACTTTAAAGCTAAAACACTACACGGATTCTACACTCACATACCATGATCACACGATAACATACCTCTAAACCTAGGTCTGATTTGAACTGGGGAGCCAGCGCGGCGGGGTTATCATAGCAAAAGTAACTCCCAAACGACAGGAAACATATAAAGGCAAGCACAATAAACCGATGAGGTCGTCTCAGAGGATTGCACAGTATACCATCCCCTAAACAACCAAAGTCAGCTGGGTCTGGTTCGATTGGGTCGGTTAGGCTGGCATCTACTAAAGGCTCATCATCATCAGCACTCATACTAAAGTATTGGAGTGATTGTTAAAAGGAATTCAAAATATGCGTGGTCTACTGTTAGCAGTAAGAATATTTGTTGCACAAAATACTACATTTTTGTATGTACAAGTTTTGATTATTAACGCCCATCAAGGGAATAAATATTAGCCAAAACTCCAAAAGCAACTGACAGTTTAAGTATTGTTGACAATCATGAAAACGCTTCAGTTTAATAAAATACTGTCACATTTATAGTTTATGCATCTAAAATAATATAATGATTATTAAATTCTACATTTCACACTATTGTCAATAATTTTAGCTCTGAAATATTTACAATATTTACACGTAAAATTAATAAAATATTTGATAAAGTCAGTCATAAGTCATTATAACATTAGATAAGTTAAAACAATTTATAAATCACACAACTGTCTGTACAGCTAAAGATCTGATAAGGGTGATAACACCAATAACACAATAAACATCAAGTCATTAGTCAAGATAGAACTTAGAAATGCTGCATGAATCTAGAGAGTTGTGACTCAGCTTTTGTGACCCTCGTTTGCAGTTTTGCAATTGTTAACTGATATTTTCCTTGTTGCCTCTGTAATAGCTCTTCAACCTGAGAAAGTAAAGCGTTTTAAAATTAAGTATGGATGTTTAACATGGAACTGTAACATAAAAAAGTGATAATATGAGATAGTGATAAAAACGTTTCTAATAGCACTTAGCAAGATAAGGAAAACCTAAATCAGATAATATTCTTATCTTACTTTATCAATCTCAAGCAATTTCCCATCTTTGATAGCGTCACATTTAGCATTATTATCCCTCCTCAGCCGAGTTAACTCAGCTTGTATCACCTTGACATTAGAAACCTGAGAATACTCATACTCTAGTTTATGGTATTTTTCCAGTGTCTCCAGTAGATCCGACTTTGCACTGTTCACTTCTTCAAGCAGTTCCGCCTCTTTTCCAGCATGAGATTTCTTGAAGTCGTCCACCATCTTAGTCACATGGGATTGTAGTTGAGCGGTTGGGTTTTTCCGATTTAAGAACTTTTCTGTGTCCTTAATGTAGCAGTCCAGCCTAACACGATACTCCTCGACAGCGTTCCTAAGTTTCAGTCTAAGGGCAACATTTTCTGCTTCAAGTTTGGTGTTCACGATCGATGTAGCATTATTGCAAGCTTTCAGCCTATCCAATTCTTCCACCGTGTCCTCCTTTGATTGAACAGTAACAAAAAGTCTATTCTCAAGAGCTTCTATCTTCTTCTTATGAGTTTCATTGACTTGCTGTAATGTCAGAGAGCGTTGTAACAACTCCCGTTGTTGCTCCTTTTTCACTCTCATCTCCTCCATGCCACTCAGCTCAGATTTTAGGTTCATAATCTCCTGCAACAGTTTATTTCTCTCAGAATTGGCTGCCTGTTTTTGCTCCTCAAGAGCCACTCTCATTCCTTCCATCGAGTTGAAGTTACTCTCAACCCGGCTCAGATTTGAGGGAGTTTTTTTGATTTCCGGAAGTGACGATAAAGATGTAAACGACCCTTTCCCTCGCAAATTGGCGAGTTCCTCATGCTCCATATGGAGTTGAACTAGTTCCAAACTCAACTGCTCGCACTGTCGCTCCAGACCAGTCTGTTTGCTGACCGACGTGTGATGGTTTGTCTTCAGAGTAATATACTCCGCTTGTAAATCATTTTTTAAGGCTTCCAACTGACTTTTATCATTGCTCGTCTCCTCGTACTTTGATTTCCATTCCTCCGCGTGTATTTGCGCGTTTAACAAGTCATTTTCCAGGCTGAAGATCTTGTTCATTAGTTCATATCTCTTCGTTTCGGACATATCCTTGAGCTTCACTTTCTCGACTGCCATCTCCGTAAGCTTGTTGTAGATCTCCTGCTCGTTTGTTAACTTTTGACGAACTTCATCTGATAATACTTGTTTACTGCCCAACAAATTGTTCAACTCGATGGCGACAGTGTCAATTCTCTTGTGCAAACCTTCGTTCTCTCCGATCAACCGGACGTTGTCTTTCGCCATTATTTGTAGATCGCTTTTCAAGGTTTTCACGATGGACGCATCTAAAGGTTCATCCTGTTTTTGGGATGACATTATCTGTCGGAGAAGACTCTTACTGTACACATCATTAACCATGGGATAGGATTTAATCTGTTTCATGGATTTAGCGAGGGAAAGTTGGGATTTAAAGTTTACTAACGACTTGATGTTGAAAGTAGCTGAACAGTGGAAATTGTTACCAAGATAAAACCCGACACTGTTTGCTGATAGGGAAGATGAAATGATCTTACCAGAAAACTGGTCTGATAACTTAGAAACATCTGTTATCATCTTGGTTATGTACATGTGATCAGAATGTATCATGACAACAGATAGTTCTGGAAACAGCTTGGTGATATTAGCACCACCAGATGGTGGAATAATCTCGAAACCAATCGTAAGACATAGTGTTTCAAACGAACTTGGAACATTTTCCTGAACCAAAGAAGTGACCTTAGCATCAAACTCACCGGCAGATTTAACTTCTTGCACGGCTTGTCTCTGAAATGGGTTGGCACCCCAGTCCGCTTGAAAAGCTAACGGTTGTGAAGATCCAGACAGCAAGCATCTCGCATCACTCTGGACATAATACCCAGAAACTTTGCACTTGCTGCATTCCTCCAACGAAGTGGACACTATCTCTTTACACAAACTCAGGAAGTGGTCCAGGGAACTATCTACCAGGAAGTGGGTAACATTCCGACCCACTAGCACTTGAGACAAACATCGCTCAGTCAGGTAGCTGGAGAATCTGGAGGTCTGTTCCGGGTGAAATACGCCGTTGAACTCTAGTTTGACATCTTTGTGCTCGACTGTGTTGCCGTTGACGTTCACATCTTTGGGAAGGATGGCAAATATTTCACATTCCATAAAAACCGGACATAAAATCACCTTGACGGAAAATATTAGTGATGTTAGCAATTCAGTTAAAGACAGAGTGTGATATACATATCATTACAAAGAATCCTATCGATATCTTGCTATTATTTATTAAAACAAGCGATTGCGTATTGCATATTATACGACATACGTACTGCATATTATACAAGTACATTTGAATTATTAGTCAGCAAAACAATGTTATCTGATATTATTAAGTTCAAATACCCTCAACACATTACAATATAGTTCAACCAACAAAATAAAAGAGCCCCAGATATATAACAAATTGATAACAAAGGTCACCGTTTAAACTTGTTAAGGTCGAATAACACAATTATATACATCGACTATTCAATTATTTCAATGTAAGAAAAACTCACGCGAAGGAGTAACATTACACAAAACTCGTCACTATCGTCATATTATCCAAGACAAGGTTGGGGCGCGGTTGGAGTATCAAGTTACTGTTTTAATGTGACAGAATTCGTAGTACGATAATAGAGAGTCAATAATCAATTCAATAGAAATATATTATTTAGATAAAAACACACAAAATCTAATTTAACAAAACTCTGGGATAAACTAAAAAAAGATTAAACACGATCAAATTTCTAAAGTTACATCAAGATCGAAGAAAATATGAAGATTTAACAACATTTTAGTAAAGACACTCTTTATTCTTAAACTTCTTGATCCTCTTTTGTGCACCTCTTGAAAAGAGAAAAGATTGATAAACCGAGGGTAAATACTGTGCAATATAAGTCAACAAAAGATAAGGCTGAATACTAATCCAACTCTCAGGAACACGTGCCGCCAGCGCTACAGACATCAGATACGCGAACCTGTCTGTCTCCTGCTTCCTCCCTACATCCTGGACATCCTGGTTATACTCCTTCGTCACATCCTCCGTGAAGGAGTGTAAGGAGATATTGCTCCTCACTGGTCCCGGACACACTGTGCACACGTTTATTCCGTGCGAGTACAGCTCCATTCTCAGCGAGGAGAAGAAGCCCATGACGGCGTGTTTACTAGCGGCGTACGCTGTACTACAGGGTGTTCCCATTTTACCTGTTAAACTACTGAGCGCCACTACAGTCCCAGTTTTATTAGCGATCATGGTGGGTAACACTGCTTTAGTGTGAGCTACATACCCGAAATAGTTGAGCTCCATGATACCTTTATCTACAGCTAGTTCTGTATCTTCTGCTAAGGAGCGCTGGGACCTGCCTGCATTGTTAACCAGGATATCAATCGTACCAAACCTCTCCAACACTTCACTCACCAAACCTGGCAACTTGCCAAATTCCAGAGAATCCATCGGCAACACCATGACGCTCTCAGGGTCTGCTCCATTATCTTCACACTCGGCTTTAACTTTAGTCAGCTCAGCAGCCCGTCTAGCTGACAACACTATCTTACAGGGATAGTTTGAGAGCTGCAGAGCTAGTGCTCTCCCCAAACCGGAGGAGGCACCAGTTATCCAGATAACTTTACCAGAGAAATACCGTTGTAGTCTCCAAGAAGGGTAGGTTAGAGTGGCCCATAATACAGATAGGTCGTGGTCAAGGTGGGCTAGTTTCCAGATTAGTAGTGAGAGGGAGATGATGTAGAGGTGGTTGGAGACGCAGCAGGGGAGGTAGGAGGACAGGATGGAGGCTAGACCCGACATTTCCTATGGTTATGTGACAGGGTTAGTAAGTTGTGATGTTGGGAGTTTACTGTTATTTAGGGGGGGGGGGTGTCATGTCCGTCTATGTCCGCCTATGTCCTGTCCTTTTTGGATTCTATGAGACAACGGACGTCTTTTTTGGGACATTGGCGGACACGGACGGACATTGGCGGACTCGGACGGACATTGGCGGACTAGGACGGACATTGGCGGACTCGGACGGACATTGGCGGACCCGGACGGACATTGGCGGACTTGGATGGACATTGGTGGACATTAGCGGACATTGGTGGACATTAGCGGACAAACATTTTGAGGACTGAAGAGTACTGAAGAGTACTGAAGAGTACTGAGGAGGATGGCTGAGAAGGATGGCTGAGGAGGATGGCTGAGGAGGATGACTGAGGAGGATGACTGAGGAGGATGACTGAGAGGGAGGAGGAGGAGGACTCAGGAGGAGGACTCAGAAGGAAGAGGAGGAGGACTCAGGAGGAGGACTCAGGAGGAGGACTTAGGAGAAATGAGAAGGAGGACTGAGGAGAACTGAGGAGAACTGAGGAGGAGGAGGAGGACATGAAGAAGGGCAACCTAACCACCCACACAAAACTTAATGAACAGTTACTAAAGGCTATCAGTCTCAACTCTGAAGGACAAGATCAACAGACAACATCACTGAATGTTGACATTGGCTTCAACACAGAAATTCCCCGACTCTCTGAGTATGAGGTAATCGAGAATGATACCAATACTATACAATGTTACACAGACGGCTCCAAAATGAATGAAAAAGTTGGAGCAGGAGTGTACATTGTGGACAACGACAACCCCACATGTGAGGAGTCATACCACCTAGGAATCAACTCAACCGTCTTACAGGCCGTGCCTACGGCAAAAATATTACGGGAATCTGGGACCAAAACTAGAAAAATAATCATAAACTGCGATAGCCAGGCGACAATAATGGCAATGAGCAACATCAAAGTCAAATCTAAAAGCACCAGCACGGCTATAAGTGAGCTTAACCAACTAGCAATGGACAATCAAGTCCTACTACGATGGATACCAGCTCACAAAGGCTACGATGGCAACGAAAAGGCAGACTCTCTTGCCAAAAAAGGCTCCGACAATCTGGACTTCGTTCAAGTGCAACTACCAATACCAAAAGTATTATGGAAGGGAGCACTGCGGAGTATAAGTCATCGGAAGATGAGGGAAAGATGGAGAACTTTACCCAAAACTCACTTTAAACGAGTATGGAGACAAAAGTTCGCCAGATCAATCCCGAAACTTGGCAAAGAGAGCACAAGAACAGCAACACAATTCCTCACGGGACATTGTGAATTAAACTATCACATCAATAAGTACAAGCCGACAACTGTCCCTAAAACCTGTCCACACAGTCTCATGGAAGAGGAGACAATGAACCACTTTATTGGTCAGTGCCCGAAATGGTCTTACCAGCGAGGAGGATACTTTGACTCCTTCTACCTTAGTGTGACAGATATAGTGGACAAGTTCTCATTACCAAGGATCATCGGCTTTATACAAGCAACAAAACGTTTTACCAAATGTGGAGAGGACAAGGCTTAACCTTGCTTTCTTCACAGATTAACTTTACCGGGGTAAGCACAGGGCTTCAATGCTCTTATAGTGGTTTTGATCTATTCCTTAGTAGTAAAGACCACTGCCCCCTACAAAGAAGAAGAATAGGAGGAGGAGAAGGAGGGGGACTGGGAGAGGACTGGGGAGGAGGAGGACTGATGAGAAGGATGAGGAGGAGGACCCAGGAGGAGGAGGACTGAGGACCGAGGAGGAAGAGGAGGAGGATGAAGAGGAGGAGGAGGACCCAGGAGGAGGAGGACTGAGGAGGAGGACTGAGGAGGACTGAGGAGGATGACTGAGAGGGAAGAGGAGGAGGAGGAGGACTGAGGAGGACTGAGAAGGAGGAGGAGGAGGAGGAGGACTGAATAGGAGGAGGAGGGGGACTGGGGGAGGACTGAGGAGGAGGATGGAGTACTGAGGAGAAGGATGAGGAGGACTGAGGAGGACTGAGGGCTGAGGTGGAAGAGGAGGAGGATGAAGAGGAGGAGGAGGACCCAGGAGGAGGACTCAGGAGGAGGAGGAGGACTGGGGAGGAGGAGGACTGTTGAGGACTGATGAGGAGGACTGAGGACGAGGAGGAGGAGTAAGAGGAGGACTGAGGAGGGGAGGAGGAAGAGGACTGAGGAAGATCAGGAAGACCCAGGGGGAGGAGGAGGAAGAGTAGGAGGAGGAAGCATCTAAATGTTATTTCCATTTTTGTCCGTTTTTGTCCATTTTTGTCCGTTTTTGTCCGCTCTATTTTTTGTCCGTTTTGAAAATATAGGGTACCGAACGGACAAAAAACATGATCCCCCTATAACAGCAAAAATTGAACATTTTATTTAGCAATTTAGGTGTCCATTAATGTCCGCCTATGTCCGTCTATGTCCGCCTATGTCCGCCTATGTCCGTCTATGTCCGCCTATGTCCGCCTATGTCCGCCTATGTCCTGTCCTTTTTGGATTCTATGAGACAAGCGGACATAGACGGACGTGACACCCCCCCCCCCCCCCCTATTTAAGATGATTCATGTTATGTTCCTTGACATGACAATCTTACATTTAATTGTTCAGACGTTGGACAATTATATACGTATTTGTTATTACTAGATTTCTAGATCAGAACTTAATTTTCTAGTAATGTTTGCCTTCAAATAATAGCACTATGCCGAAAATGAAGTAATTTAAAAGTCAACAAATTTTGGACGCAAAATTAGTAAAATTGAAAATAATCATTGGGTCAAATATTCGATGATAAAACTTCAATTTGCGAAATATGTACAAACTTTCATAAATTTTCAAACAAAAAACATTTCATCATATCAAATCTGATAAATCTTGTAAATCTTTCACGGAGTGAAATATAGCACGCGGTCATTTTGAGAAAAAGGTGACATAACCCTTCACACAGCAGCCTGTTTATCTAGCAACTCAGTTATATTTTCAGGTAGTCCCAACTCTTCAATAATCCACTTCATCACTACATCGTCCGGGAAGTCGTCTCCTAATTTGATGTACGGCTCGTCAGCAGAGTCGTCCGGGCGGAAGTGTACTTGAGAGGGAGATACAGGAGCGGGGGAATGTGGAGGTAAGGGAGAGGAGAGGGAGAGGGGGGATCCAGTGTGGGTTAGAGTTAGTGGTGGCATCTGAAAGGGTTGAGAGTTAGGTGCTAGCAGCAGATAGGGAACATTTTATTGTTAAATAATCGTCTAAAGTCCCTTTTATACAGTTAAATGATAATTTCATTTTGAGAAATAGAGTGCATTATATTTAGTTTAGTAGAAAATGGCGCAATTGGCACACAAAGACTAACAGAGAATTTCCCAGATGATCCAGTAGATTGGACAGAGCTGATCATATCAACGAGGTCGTTAGTTCGAGGTTGAGGAGTGGTTGTGTCTCCAGAAGATGTTGAGCAGAACGAGAATGAGGATCGGAATATCGTTCCTGTTATGGAATGTTTTCTTCAGAAATAGTTTTGTCTTCAGAAATAGTTATATCTTCAGAAATAGTTATATCTTCAGAAATAGTTATATCTTCAGAAATAGTTAAATCTTCAGAAATAGGTATACCTTCAGAAATAGTTATACCTTCAGAAATAGTTATCTTCAGAATAGTTGACGAAATGTCCATGAATATCGTCTTTAAAGTTTGACGTGGTGCAATTTGCAAATGTAAAATAATTGAAGATCTACACAAAGTTAACACTAAATTTCCAATTGGACGTAAAGGATTAGACTAACCAGAGTGGTTGCGTTTGTGACCATACAGCTTATTAGGGTTATTGAATAGCCGTACTGTGAGCGTCATATCGTCCCTTCGACAGCAGTTATTACATCCAAAACTGTACGAGTCGAAGTGACTCTTGCAAATCTGAAGATTTTAATTTGTTTAAGGCGATGTTCTCAGTTAATTTTTAAATTTGAGCCTCACTCGAATGTATTTATCGGTTGAAAGTTAGTGTCTAGTACTCAATTCTGAGGGTATTAGACACTAACTTTTTGTAAGTAGGCAATGAAAACAACATAAATTATTTCTGTTTAACTTGTTGTTGAATGAGATAAACATGAGGTTTTTTAATTTAAACCCACGTATTCCAGAACATTGTCAGCAGCTTTCTGGCAATCTCTGTGCTGCTTCAGTTCGTCATGTAGAAGATAGGCTATCCTAATGTTAGGGTCCGGCGAGAGATTCTTCACTTCGGGAGAACAATCTGACATTTCTTCAACCGCATGGTACACACCTGTGGAGTGTGGATGGACAGCTGATAATTTGGTCGGAACAGCTCTACCTATACTAATGTTAAGATTAACGTAGAATTGCAGGAATCCAGTTGCAGTCTAAAAGAACATACTTAATCCCTAGACAGTAAGCACGGCAATTAGTAAGTTGCATTGAGAACCGATAATAAAGTTTTGACCGCTAAAAACTTAAGTGAAAATGTCATTAATCTAAAAAAGACTATATGACTTACCGTCACTCATAAGGAAGAGAAAATAGAAGGATTTGTCAATTTGAAGACCAGTTGTAACATGAGGTTTGGAGATGACTGGCGGACCTGTTGCTCCACTGAAATGAGTTTATATCTCACTTGAAAGCAAACGGGGTTTAAAATCATGTCATTTTATCTTTAGAGCTCAACTTTGGTCATAACCTACTCAGTACTCAGTTTGATTCGGATTTTCTATTGAAAATATAACACATATTTTTTCCTGCATTCGTTTCCTAATCAACTTTAACATCGAATCTTATTTTGTAATATCTTTTGTAATCTATTTATCAGGCGACAGTCTGTTCGACCCTTGGTTGAATCAGAACGTAATTTGCAGCTCATCTTAAATTTCTATTTTCAGCATATCGTGCAAAACATATTGATATTCAAGCTGGTTCAGAGAAATTCTGAGTGGTTTTAAATGAAGTAAGAGCTGATAAAGTTAAATCAAGTCCAATGGGATCAGTCAGCATGACGCACAGAAAATTATACAGTGACCTAGGTCTTACAGCGAGGACGGGATTGAATTATCATCGCTCTGATAATACGGTTTGCAAATTGGAGAACGTGGTTTCGTGAGGTAGATTGGCTGTTGTAATTTTGTGAGAACCGGTCAGCACTGAAGTAATCATCCGGTTTGAATGTTAAGTCACGCCACCGCCAGCTATTTAATACAGTGTTCACTCAGTGAGATGCTCATTCAGTGGCCCTCTCTTCGCATTCATTGCAGAGTCAGGGAGAGGGGTTTTTTCGCTTTTACTTCAGTTCATTTTATTTTGTATGATTCCTTTGCGTTCATTTCTTTTTGGAGGCATTATGTTATGAGTCGTGGTAAAAATGTTGTGTAAAAATGTTCGTGATCATGTTCCATTCTCATGACACTTTTTTGTTCTTACTCAGATTGGACAATATTGTTAAACCATCGTGATTCTGATTACATAATTAATATAATTGTACTTAATAACCTCCACCTTTAGCAAGTTCGGTTGAAGATGAAAACAACCCTGATGCTATTAGCAGGCTTACTACTCCTAACTCTAGGACAAGCTAAACCTGCTGCTGACAGTGAACCTCATCCACCTATCTGCTTCTACAAAGGTGCTCTGTACAATCTAGGAGATTCCTTCAAAGATAGCTGCAACGACTGCAGATGTGGTCTGAACGGACAAGTTGCCTGCACCAAGATGCTCTGTGCACCTTGTCTTTATGCTGGACCAGATGGACGCACCATGCGGGCTTATGGAGGAAGCTTCAATGACGGTTGCAACAATTGTGGGTGCGACAGTGGAGATGTTACTTTCTGCACATTCATGTTCTGCCCTCACAAGTGTCAAATCACAAACGACGAGGGACACAGCGGGTGGGTAGACCTTGGCACAACCATTATCCAGATACAGGAGGGGGTACCAAAAGTTTGTGTCTGCAAGAGCTCTGGTGACTTCATTGGTTACTCTGGTATGCAGTGTGAATAAGTTTGCAGAAACATTTCGGGCAGTTAATTTATTTAAGCTGATCTAGGCTTTTTAATGAACTTGATTAAGTTAATCAGTTATGGCTTGATTTTTTTAGAGGGAGAAAAATGCGTGTTTATATAATATGATTATACTTATTATTTTATTAGTTATTTTGAATTAAGCCAAACATTTTATACTTTTTTTTCTTTTTTTTTTACAATCAAATTTGATGAGTTATGGAGTAACCCCCACCTCAAAATATCGAAGTCCTTGTAGCCCCATTTAACAGCAAAATCTCCGATAGACCGTGTGGTCTCCATGGAACCCACACGACGCTTGGTTTGTATCTGCTGTCTGTTGAGTCCCAGCTGGGAGAGACGGTCTAGTTCGTTATCGTTAGCTGTCGTGTGGTCTTCTGTCAGCTGATCAATCTGCGAATCACGTGGTCAAGAAGTTTAAATTATAGCCTATTTTAGTGTAAATTTAAGTAACGTACGTTCAAATTAAATTGTTCCAATCAATCTCACTCAAATAATAAGAACGTATTATACAAACCTTAAACTCAACATTAGAATCAGTTCCAGGAACGTAGGTACAGAGGATTACACGAGAGTCTCCAACGTTAGCTACATACAGCGTGTTCTCATGTATAACTGCTACTGCAACCGTTGTTCCGCCCTGAGGATATTAAACTTTATCTCAGCTACAACTTACTGTGTGTACTGTGGAAACGGTGTGAAGTGAATTTTGTAAAAGAATTACCGTGAAGAGGATTTTAAGAATTTATAAGGGGGGGGGGATCATGTTATTTTTTGTCCGTTTTTGTCCGTTTTTGTCCGTTAATTTTTGTCCGTTTTGAAAATATAGCTGCCAAACGGACAAAAACGGACAAAAACGGACAAAAATTGTAACTTTTGATTTAAATTTTCTCCACAATTTGTAACAGGCTATCTGCAGAAATGAGTAGCCCGGTTAATGACCATGGTCCTTTCTCAAACTTTTAATCTTCAATTAGGCACAAAGAATAGTCTACACATTTTTTAATAACATAAAAAGGGATGAAAAGTTTTATTACTGGAGAGTAAAACTTTGTTAAACACAAAGATTCTTGAGCACATTTTGAGTCAGACTCAAATGCGCTTAAAAACATTTTAGTATATATAACAATAAATTATGTTAACAATAATACCAACAATAATTATAAATTGAACAAATTATTGAGAGATGAAAGAGAGGAAAAGGAGGAGGGGGGACTGAGTAGGGGGACTGAGGAGGGAGAGGAGGGGGGCTGAGGAGGAGTGAGACTGAGAAGGAGAACTGAGGAGGAGGAATGAATAGGAGGAGGAGAAGAAGGACTCAAGAGGAGGAGGACCCAAGAGGAGGAGGACCCAGGAAAAGGCCCCATGAGGAGGACTGGGGAGGAGGAGGACCGATGAGGACTGATGAGGACTGATAAAGAGGACTAAGGACGAGGAGGAGGAGGAGAAGGAGTGAGCAGTGAGGAGGAGGACTGATGAGGAGAAGGAGGTGTATGATCTGAGGAGGATGAGGAGGAGAAAGGAGATAAAGGATGAGGATAAGGAGGACTGAGGAGGAGGACTGGTGAAGAGGACTGATGAGGAGGAGGACTGAGAAGGGGAGGACTTAGGAGGACTGAGGAGGGGAGGACTTAGGAGGAAGAGGAGGATTGAGCAGGAGGAGGACTGAGGAGTAGAAGGAGGAAGAAGACTGAGGAGGATCAGGAGGACCCAGGAAGAGGAGGAAGAGGAGGAGGACTGAGGAGGAGAAGGAGGACCCAAGAGGAGGAACCAGGAAGAAGAGGAGGAGGAGGACTGAGAAGGAGGAGTGAGACTGAGAAGGAGAACTGAGGAGGAGGAATGAATAGGAGGAGGAGGAGAAGAAGGACTCAAGAGGAGGACTGAGGAGGAGGAGGACTAAGGAGAAGGATGAGGAGGAGGACCCAAGAGGAGGAGGACCCAAGAGGAGGAGGACCCAGGAGGAGGACCCAGGAAAAGGCACCAAAAGGAGGACTGGGGAGGAGGAGGACTGATGAGTGATGAGGACTGATGAGGACTGATAAAGAGGACTAAGGACGAGGAGGAGGAGGAGGAGGAGGAGGAGAAGGAGTGAGCAGTGAGGAGGAGGACTGATGAGGAGGAGGTGTATGAGGAGGATGAGGAGGAGAAAGGAGATGAAGGAAGGAGATGAAGGATGAGGATAAGGAGGACTGAGGAGGAGGACTGGTGAAGAGGACTGATGAGGAGGAGGACTGAGAATGGGAGGACTTAGGAGGACTGAGGAGGGGAGGACTTAGGAGGAAGAGGAGGATTGAGGAGGAGGAGGACTGAGGAGTAGAAGGAGAAAGAAGACTGAGGAGGATCAGGAGGACCCAGGAGGAGGAGGAAGAGGAGGAGGACTGAGGAGGAGAAGGAGGACCCAGGAGGAGGAACCAGGAAGAAGAGGAGGAGGAGGACTGAGAAGGAGGACTGAGAAGGAGAAGGAGGACTGATGAGGAGGATGAGGATGAGGAGGAGGGTGACTGGGGAAAGGATTGAGGAGGAGGAAGACTGAGGAGGAGGAAGAGGAGAAGGACTGAGGAGGAGAAGGACTGAGGAGAAGGAAGAGGAGGAGGACTGAGGAGGAGGACCCAGGAGGAGGAGGACACAGGAAAAGGCCCCAGGAGGAGGAGGATGACTTGGGAGGAGGAGGACTGATGAGGACTGATGAGAAGGAGAAGTAAGTGGATGAAGAGGATGAGGAGGACTGAGGAGGAGGACTGGTGAGCAGGAGGAGGAGGACCCAGGAGGAGAAGGAGGAGGAGGTGGATAACTGCGGAGGAGGAGAAGGACTGAGGAGGAGAAGAGGGATCCAGGAGGAGGAGGAGGAGGACTGAGGAGGAGGACTAAGGAGAAGGAGGACTGATGAGGAGGATGAGGAGGAGGGTGACTGGGGAAAGGACTGAGAAGGACTGAGGAGGAGAATGCGGACTGAGGAGGAGGAACCAGGAAAAGGAGGAGGAGGACTGAAGAGGAGGACTGAGAAGGCGAAGGAGGACTGATGAGGAGGATGAGGATGAGGAGGAGGGTGACTGGGGGAGGACTGAGGAGGAGGGTGACTGGGTGAGGACTGAGGAATATGAGGAAGACTGAGGAGGAGGAGGAAGAGGAGAAGGACTGAGGAGGAGAAGGACTGAGGAGGATGACTGAGGAGGAGGAGGACTGAGGAGGAGGAGGAGGACTGAGAAGGAGGAGGACTGAGGAGGAGGAGGACTGAGGAGGAGGAGGAGGAGGAGGAGGAGGAGGAGGAGGAGGAGGAGGAGGAGTGAATAGGAGGAGGAGGGGGACTGGGCAGGACTGAGGAGGAGGACTGAGGAAAAGGATGAGGAGGAGGACTGAGAAGGAGGACTGAGCTGAGGAGGAGAACTGAGGACTGAGGAGGAAGAGGAGGAGGATGAAGAGGAGGTGGACCCAAGAGGAGGAGGTCCCAGGAGGAGGACCCAGGAGGAGGACTCAGGAGGAGGAGGAGGATGACTGAGGAAGACTGAGGAGGAGGAGGAAGCATCTAAATATTATTTCCATTTTTGTTATTTTTTGTCCGTTTTTGTCCGTTTTTGTCCGCTCTATTTTTTGTCCGTTTTGATAATATAGGGTTCCGAACGGAAAATAAATGCTATTATAGTTTGTGCCTGAGGAGATGCATACTGTACCACTGTTATGTAGCTTTTTTCAGAATATTCCTAAGTTAGCTACACACACCTTTATTTGGTCCTCTATTTCCCCGAGCCGATGAATCTCGTCAGGGTAAGCTTGGTATGCTTCGTACGAGTTATTTGTCTGAAACAGGATAAATTGTCAGTTTTAGTTTTTTTAATTACATAAATTTCCGACAATTAACCAAATTTTCAACTTTGGCACCTCAAACAATAAATTCTCTGCCAAGTCATAATTAAATGATCAACGACTTTCCAGTTAAACTAAACTTACTCCTGCAATTTTAACTTTGATATCAGCCCGCTCCTCCAAAAGTGGCATTATACGTTCGTGCAGATGCTTGTCTACATTACTTATACAGTGCTCCAGTACTTCTGCTATGTTCTGTTTTCCTGTTCGAAGTTATTTCTAGTTAAGAAATTGAAACTGGATTTGGCCGGTCTCACAAAAAATAGTTTTTAATCTGCTGTTTGCGAGATTCAACTACATACTACATAGTACAGTGTGGAAGTGTGATGTTAAAACTCTTGTTTTGATAGTTCTACAAATACAAATGAGGCCTCTCACCTAACATAATGCTCCGACAGAACTCTTTAACAAGAGTATCACGTGAGAAGTGGGCCACCTCAGAACCGTCATGTCCGTCCAGCACCGCGTAGAAGTAGTCATTTCCTGAAAACTTCATGTTTGGAATTTTATGTGATATAAGTTCTTCTGAATAACTCTTAGCTAAACAAAACAGTCAGTCGGATGATCGTGGTATTGCAATCGCATTACTGATTACACAGAGAAAAAAATCAAGAATTTAAAACATGCTCGGACTTGTTGTAGCAGATAATATTACGAACAGGTAAATCCTTATTATCTTACCTAAGCTGTATCTAAAGAACGTATCCTCATAACCATGACTCTTGCTGTTTGTTTTGTATGTCTGGTTAACTTGATTACTTGTTCCACTAAGCAAACACGTCTTTAAGAGCTCCTGAATATTAAAAATATCAGATTGGAAATATCAGATTGGAAATATCAGATTGAAAATATCAGATTGTTGTCTTAATTCCTTTTCGGATAATAAGACGAATAAGAATTATCTGGAAACAAAATCTAAATCTGCAGTCTGACTCCATACAGGTAAGAAGTCAAACCGAATACACGTCTTGTAAATAAAAGGGAGGTTTTATACCATAATATTACAACTTCATGTTTAAACAGAAAGATAACTCACAAGAGGATCTACATTTTCGTACGAATGATGAGCGGGCTCTTCTTCTGAAGGATACGTCTACATTAATTAATGCGGTTCAACACCATAATGTAAATTTAAGCTCGCTGATGTTTGTTAAAAGGTGCACCGGAATTTTACAGTATCAGACTGTTTGTCTTAATGTATGTTTGATCAAGTTTAGGATTTAATGAGATTATGCCTGGTCAGAAAATTCAGTGGATGTGTGAAATAAACCTGAACTAATCCGGTCATTAGAAGTCTGAGTTTTCTGTGAAAACAACAATGTTGAACACCGTCTCTGAAGACACTCAGACAAACTCCTGTCAGTCAAGTCATCTTCACTGTCACTTAAATCAGTCTGAGTCTGCTGGGTGAACTTCAGTTGCAGTCTGTTTGGTTTGTCGGGAATGATCTGTGTTATTTCACAGTCTGAACTGTCCACCTGGTCTGTTTGGGTGTTGGTGGTCTGGCATGTTGGACTTGTTACTCTGTCCACTTGGGTGTGTCTGCTTTTGAGCGTCTTTCCTTTATGGACACGTTCATATGAGTTTGAGGATATTGGTAAATAAAAATAATAGCGTTTTTGACGATAGTGGCTTAATTTTGACACCTATTAACCTAACACGTTCATAAGTTCTGAACATTAGCCACATAACCCATACTCCCATATGCACTGCTCAGAAAGAAAATCTATTGTTGTTAGGCACTAAAATGTATCAAATGTCACATTTTGTGTGACTTAATTAACTGCAGTTGTCTAATTACCATTCCTTGGCCTGAAACATAGTAGATTAGGTCAATCTAACAATTATGATACAACATTGGTTAAAGGGCACGGATTGAACGGTTACAAGGCAATATTTAGGTAACTTTGTCACACTCAGAATACCATACCTCTATTCTACTGTGATGTGTCCTCAAAACCCTTTTTACTCAGTATTTGATGGTTGATCTACCAAGTACGGAGTACCAATCATAGCCCTTAAATATGTTGCTTTGAAAAGTTAGCTAATACAGGCACTTGGTTATTGGGAAATGAGGTTAATTCTGTCACAATATATGGAATTTAAAATTTTGGGCGAATTATTTATATCTGATTTTGGTTTGAAAGGCGGGAAAACTTTACATGATGACAATGTAGTTGATGCAAGTTAAGATCAGTTGATGTTTACATTGTCACAAAAAATTATACGAAATCGCAAATAGGTTAAAAACAATGATTATATAATGAAATAGTCTCCTTTAATAACTCTTATAATAACTGATGTGACAAAGTAAACATGTCTTGCCCCTATTTTGAAGATCTATATATTCTATAACTTTATTAGAATTCAACATTCTTTCAGAAAAAATTGGTAGAATATTGTCCAGAACATCAAAGCTCAAGTTTAACAATTTTAGGTTAAATTTGTCAAAGTCACTAAAAATGTGACAAAATTACCTTTTCCTGCCCAAAAATTTCAAGATAGTGTGTAAAAATTAGCATATGCTGCCTTATTACCTAAATAAATCAATCCACACTACAAAAAATATATGTTAATGTGATGACGATTACCTAACTCTAATAATTTATTATTAGAGTTAGGTAATCGTCATCACATTAACAATTCTAATAGAGTTATAGATCTTCAAAATAGGGGCAAGACATGTTTACTTTGTCACATCAGTTATAACTGATGTGACAAAGTAAACATGTCTTGCCCCTATTTTGAAGATCTATAACTCTATTAGAATTCAATACTCTTTCAGAAACGATTGGTAGAATATTGTCCAGAACATCAGAGCTCAAGTTTAGCAATTTTAGGTTAAATTTGTCTAAGTCACTAAAAATGTGACAAAATTACCTTTTCCTGCCCCAACAATTTCAAGATAGTGTGTAAAAATTAGCATAGGCTGCTTTATTACCTAAATAAATCAATCCAAACTACAAAAGAATACATGTTAATGTGATGACGATTACCTAATTCTAATAATAACTGATGTGACAAAGTAAACATGTCTTGCCCCTATTTTGAAGATCTATTTATCTATAACTGTATTAGAATTCAACATTCTTTCAGAAACGATTGGTAGAATATTGTCCAGAACATCAGAGCTCAAGTTTAACAATTTCAGGTTAAATTTGTCTAAGTCACTAAAAATGTGACAAAATTAACTTTTCCTGCCCCAACAATATCAAGATAGTGTGTTAAAATTGGCATAGGAATTAGGATGCTTTATTGCCTATATTAATCGATCCATACTACGAAAAAGATCGGTTAATCTGATGACGATTACCTAACTCTTATAATAACTGATGTGACAAAGTAAACATGTCTTTGAAGAACTATACCTCTATTAGAATACTATGTAACTTTATCATCAACAAAATTTCGATAAACTAGTTATTTTGCCAGCAAGGAGCTGACAGAGTTATAATAATTTTTTTGTGACGAAATTACCCTATTTTTGACCATGTTGCGGTAGTTTAATTGTGACACTGTTAACATATTACCACCCGATAATGATTTATGTGACTGGTGCATGGTACTAGCAGTGTTTTTCGATCCATAGTACGGCCAGGTAGCGCAGTTGGTTAGAACGCCTGTCTTACAATCGTTAGGTTACGAGTTCGAAACCCACTGACTGCCTGGTCGTGGGGTGAGCGTCGTCGACGTTCAGCTAAGGATCATGAGTGGTCTATGCAGCCCCCCGGTCTACTCAGCCGAATACTCGAGAAATCGGGTGTGAGGGTTAAATGAGGAGCTGCACATTGCAGCAAAGTCTCGGACGAAGAAAGTATGGTACACACTACCTTAACCGTCACTGGCCAAAAAGATCCTTCGGCTTCCTGTAATTGGCTGGTTGCACTTGTGTAACATTGTGGCTGTTGGAATACACCGAAGTAAAATAAGTGTATAGATAAAAAAAAAATACAAAGGGTTTAAGCTGGTATATCATTATTTGTTCAATCTCACACATGTTCAGATATCATCAAGATTATGTGACAAAGTAAACTTGTCTGTGCCTTCTGTGTTTTAATTCCTTGCGACTATATGATATAATAACAATTCCTAGCACTTCCAGGCCATTAAATAAACCTACACTACTCAGCATTGCTTATCAGGGTTCCCTAAACATTCTTCACATATTTTCTTAAATGTGTGACACAGTAAACCTGAGTGCACCATCTAACGAAAAAAGTCGTCAAATATGTAGGTAATGGTCATATGTACCCATCCAATCAACTGGACACTCAAAATTTTGGTCAAAAACGGCAGCAAGGGGTCCATATTTACTCTGTCACATGTTTATAGTGTGACAATGTAACCATTTCCGTGCCGGCCGTATTTAAGCGATATCTTATCACCTGATTAAGATATCGTTATGTGACAAAGTTAGCCTAGAGGATGAGACGATTATCCTAACCATTTCATAGTGTGACCAAGTCAACTACACTGTGCCTTTTAATAGGGTCACTTATATTTACCAATATCCTCAAACTCAAATGAACGTGTCCTTATACATTGTAATATTAATTTAAAGTAGTGCTGCTGATCTGGATACTAGGAGGGTGGTGAGCTTTGTTTCCAACCTTGATGCGGTAACTTTTGTGTGGGGTTTTACTGGAGCTGATTGTTAATCGCTATTATGTGGCATGCAATTATGGTTCACCTCCCCACTAGTATCACCACTAACCAGATGGAAGGAATATTTAGGGTAAATTACCATGAAATTAAAACATCATCTTACGTTTCTGACTATAAAATCTTACGAAGTTGACATAGATAATCTTAACAAAATCAAGAGTAATAAACTTACGTGTACTCATATTGCGTTAGAATATTACATCAGACAACCAAAATATGTAGCAGCGCAACTAAGTGTGTATACCAACTTTGGTCTGACTTGTCATCTGTGAACCGTGAAATATATTATATATGTGATTTTTATTTTAGCTTAAATCTGTTTCAGTACTCATTGCATTCATTGATCAAAAATCAAATGTTTGCTTATTATGCTATGTATTATGTGCTTGAGCAACGAAACAAACTGGATACGACAAATCTAGAAAATAACATGATGATTAAACAGTAGAGCTGATTACAGGTACAGGTTAAAGAAACCTAGATCGGAATTCAGAATAGGTGTTCTTACTGCAGTGTACTAATAATTAATTAGCAAGACAAGTAAGGCATAGTCGTTTTTAGGAATCTTTGATTTCATTTAAATGTACGTACATATAATATTGTATAATTTAAAACTCCAATTTGAAGTATCTCAGCAAAAACATCCCTGCAAATTTTCAAGATTTGTAAGGGTCACTCACAGAAATTTACAGTATCACAAAAATTAGTGATGTAAAATAACCTAGTTAAACAATAAACATCATCCAAAAAAGTATCATGTCCAATTCAAACTCAGTTTTTAAAATTAGTTCCTAGCACCAAATATCTTGCTGCCAACTCTCACATTGGTACTACCCATCTCGATTGCTTTACCGAAGTCGTCAGACATGCCCATGGAGATTTCAAGATCCTGACCAAAATGTTCACACAGTTCTTTGTGACACTTGAGAAGCTCTATGAAATCAGGATTATCACCTTGACTCCAGTCATACCCAAATGCTCCAATCGTCATAACTCCTTTTAAACTCAATACATCACATTCTGATTTGACAAAGTTAGCTAAGCTTATAGTTTCTTCAGGCATACAGCCACTTTTTTGTTCTTCTCGACTTGTATTAATTTGAATGAAAATGTCCAGGGTACTACCATCGCCATTTTTCTTCCACCCATTGTTCAAAGCTCTTGCTACTTTTTCTGAGCCAACTGTTTCCACAATAGACAGATTTTTACAAGTAGTTAACTTTGGACAGTTCTTTTTTTGTAAGTTACCGATAAAATGGAATTTGATGTCACCAAGATGGGCTAGAGTATGACTTTTCTCTACCAGCTCATTAATGTAATTCTCACCAAACACCCTCTGTCCAGCCTCATAGGCGACCTCTAAGTCAGCAGCAGGTTTCGTTTTACTTACAGCCACTAACCGCACACGTTCACAATTTCCACTTTTAGCTATCTCTTCTTTTATAGATGACAGATTTGATCGAATAGATGCCATGAGAGAGTAGCCTCGAACAATTTTTAACATGAAAATATTATCCCTATTGACATTCGCCAGTCTATATGAAGTACAGGTCACGATTAGTTTACACAGTATAAGATTGAAGCTTTTACAAATCAAGTCAGTGATAAATCAGAATTTAGATTTAAAGAATTGGAGAATTTACTAATTATCATTGAGACACAGTAACGACGACTTAAAGTTTTGCTGAAAGAAACCTATTAAATTTGAAAAGTATAATTTCCAACTAACTTATAAAACCATCAAGGAGCAGCTACAATTATAGTTGAACATACTAAAAATATACAAATTCCAACTTTATTTAAACAATGTAACAAATTTAAAGTCATGGGAGAAAATATATTCTTCTGCCATCTAAGTCATTGAACCAAGCAAATTGATTTCAAAAAAAGGAAATAGTCTATTATAGAAAGAAGTCATTTCTATCAACTGAATATCAAAGATATATCATAACAATTGTTCTAACCAATCTTTCCCCTTTAGCAAGATCACCCTGAACTCTACTGTGGTGAGTAGAGTGTTACACTTTGTAACTGTGCTTAGCTTTTCCTAGTATAGTTTTCAGTTAATCTTTCTAGTAAGATAGGAACTGTTATTGATATTTCTAATTGCATTTATTCTATAATGTATTGCATTACAAATTATATACGTTTTCAGATAGATAACAACCATCGTGATTTCATTGCATACATCAGAGCAATAAACAGTGGTAGCAGCAAGCGCAAGCTCAAACTACAACGACGTCAACTAAAACTCAAACTACATCAACTACAACTACGTCAACTACTGTGAAGATGTCAAAGGACACACCATCATTTAATGGGACTGGTTATAAACGGTACCGCCAGCTTGCTAAGATATGGGCAACTGTATCAACGGTATCAGAGGAACACAAAGCAATGACGCTGATCATGTTTCTCAAAGACAAAGCATTAGACATTGCTCTAACCATAGATGAAGCACTTCTTAAGACCAAGAAGGCTGATGCTGAGACAACTGAGACTAAAGTCGGTGTTGAGCTACTTATAGCCAAGTTAGATGAGATTTACCTAGAGAGTGATGATACTCTTGGAAAATATGAAAGATTTGAAAATTTAAGAAGAAACTCAGAACAGAGAATGACTGAGTTTATCCTGATATTCGAGAGTCTAGAACGAGAACTGAAGACAGAAGGAGTGACACTTCCTGAACTAGTGCTGGCCTATAAATTACTAAAAGCTGCCAATCTGTCCAATGCAGATGAGAAGTTAGCTAGAGCCACCTGCACAGCTATGACAATGGAAGATATGAAGAAATCACTCATGAGATTGGCTGATTCCCAACTCAATAAGTCCAAATCAGAAGAATCTGATAGTCTTCCTATTAAAGTGAAAGCAGAGCCATGCTATCTAGCTTTAGACGATGGACAACTTCCAACAGAAGCTGGTAAAAAAGAGACAACAGACTCAAATACTCTCCCAGAAGAGCAAATAATGTTCAATAGGAACAGACCTGGAAACAATGTTAGAGGAAAACAGAGAGCTTTCGGCCAGAGAAATGACAACAGACAGGTTTGCTACGGATGCTACTCTCCAGGACACTGGATCAGAGACTGCCCTCTTAGAGCTCCTTTCAGACAGCCAATGAACTTCCAAAGGCCGCCTTACCAACAACACACCATGCCTTATGACCAACACTCAGGCTACAGACAAGGATCGCCCAACCCAGCCTATTACAACCAGCAGACTCCTTATTATCTATCAGACATGATTCCCAACAATGAAGAGTTTTACGGATACAACCAAGAATACTATGAAAAACCTATGCCTACAGCGAAACCCATATTCTTCCAATGGAACGTCCGTCAAGAAGAAGAAGCTGTTTTTCTAGTTGGAGAAACTGTCAATAAAGCTTTGTTAGACTCAGGAGCAAGTAGAACAGTAGCCGGGGAAAACTGGTATTCGTGCTTTCTAGATTCTCTAGATGACGAGACAAGAAGCACTGTTAAAGAATTCCCAGCAGAAATCATCTTTAGATTTGGAGTAGGAACCCTAGAATCTTCTAAGAAAGTGATTATCCCAGTCACAATTTGTACCCACAAAATTCGGCTTGAAGTACACATCGTTAACAGTGACATACCTCTTCTATTATCTTTGAAATCAATGAAGTACATGGGAGTGCAACTTAATTTCGAGACAGACACCATTACCATCCGTGGAGAAGATTACAAGCTAGAGTTGACTCAATCAGGTCACTATACGATCCCAATCCAGGAAGAAAACATGATGGTTCCAAAACAAGAAGCAGATGAGCAGATGAATAGTAAAGAGAGATCTCACGCCAGAGCTCAAGAAACAAACTTTGATCATAATTCTACTTTAAGAGACTTCAACATTCCAAATCTTGATCCTGAAGAGATAAGTGCTCAAGTAAAACCTGAGATCCAAACCATTACTAGAACGACAGATCAAGAAAAACCACAGGAAACAACAAACAACCTACCTGGTGGAACTGCAGAGCCTACAATAGTTGAAGTTAAAGACACTCCAGAAACAACTATTGAGAGAACTACCGAAGAAGTGGATCAAACAAAGAAACCTCCAAAGGCAAGGAAACCTATGAAGAAAAATGAAGGCTTGATAACTGCAGTAAGTGAAGGAGACACAGTGGTATTCCAAGAACCTGATTCGGATACATGGCACAAAGTTCAGCTTAAGTCTAGAGGATACACTGTCAACAGCATGAACAAGAACTACTGGAATGTCATTTCAGAAGACGGAAGTTTTTCCGGGGTCAATTTAGACAAAGTAGACTGGCTACTTGAGAAAGACCCTCCTGAACCTCCTCCCATAGCTGAACCCAATGGAAATGAAGAGAGTATCAAGTTTGCCGAGATGATGTCTGAAGAAGTTTTTGTCCTGAGAACAGTGCCAAGCACATACTACAACTAGACTGGTATTTCTGAATGTGTTAAGTTCTACCTATCTTGAGTGTTTCTCTATATTTTTGTCTGGGCAGTCTGTTTAGAGAGAAGTATAGGATTAAGGATGAAAGCATCCTTTGTAAGGACTGAGGATTGAGAAATTAGGCTACAGATATTAAAGGTTTGCAGTTTACTACAAACTGACCTGGACCCAACGGAGTAGGCTCTTGAGACTTGAGAACTCACCATACTTCAGAATGCCTTTTAACATTGTAATGAACAAAATTTTATAACATTTTAATGGACATTGTTAAATTATTAATTTATTCAATATTTAGCTTATTCTTCTAAGTTGTTATTTTTAACAAGCCTTTTATACTTTTGAATCGATGTTGTTGTTGTTTTAGACTTTTGAATTGATTTATCTATCACAGTTAGTAGTTCCATACCTCTGCGGTTTTAACTTTTATATTTTAGACTTAGATAGGGTGGAGATTGTTCTAACCAATCTTTCCCCTTTAGCAAGATCACCCTGAACTCTACTGTGGTGAGTAGAGTGTTACACTTTGTAACTGTGCTTAGCTTTTCCTAGTATAGTTTTCAGTTAATCTTTCTAGTAAGATAGGAACTGTTATTGATATTTCTAATTGCATTTATTCTATAATGTATTGCATTACAAATTATATACGTTTTCAGATAGATAACAACCATCGTGATTTCATTGCATACATCAGAGCAATAAACAACAATTTTTAATTCCGAATGTAAATAATTATTACTAAAAACCATAGTTCTTGTTCTCTAGTAGTCATATAACTAAAAGTGTCATGTTGCTAAGATATCATCCAAAATGAGATTAAAATGGCATAACTTCCATCTTGTTGCGTAGCATTACACCACTATGCTCCACTGTGGCTTTCTGGATCACCTCCATGAGATCATCGACACAGGTTGAAGTTGAGATCAGGGCATTGGGTCCACCCATGTTTGTTTGCACCCATCCTGGATGAACTGAGCAAACCAGAACTTTCTTTTCTAAGAATTCAAGTGCAGTAGTGCGTGTCAGCATGTTCAATGCAGCTTTGCTTATTCTGTAAGCAGTGTGCCAAGGAGAGGTAGTATTTGCAATGCTTCCAACTGCAGAAGAGACATTAAGACAAAAGGCCCTTTTGCCCCCAATTTCAGCATCAGCATTCTGCTCTGCAGCTTTGAACAAGAATGGTGCGAATTTGAGAGTCACTCTGTGAGTCCCAACAACGTTTACTTCAAAATTCTTAGAGATATCCTCGGTACTTGTAGTTGTAGGCGACTCAGATTTAATCAAAATTGCTGCATTGTTGACAAGCAAATTAATACCCCTATCTCCCAGTATAGATGATATTTTCTCATGAGCTTCATCAACTGATTCTTGGCTTGTGATATCCAAACTTACATGATGAACAGATGGACTCTTCACAAGCTCCTCCAACTCCTCACTCATAGAGCGCGAACATGCAATTACAGTACTCTCTGCTTCTAATGCAAGTCTTCTTACAAGCTCTAGTCCAATGCCACGATTGGCGCCAGTGACCATAGATACTTTCATTTTACAAGATGGTCTGTATAGAAGTGATTTGTTAGAGTTGATATAATATATAGTCTACAAGAAACTAACAGGATCTTAACAGAGAAATTATGAAGGAATCTTAAAATAATCGATATTTCAATTTATATTGGTGACATAGAACCACTGGTTTACACATAGTATAAGATCAAAGCTTTCACAAATCAAGCCAGGGATAAGTCATAATTTAGAAACGAGATTGAAGAATTAACACTGAGAGACAGTAACGACGACTTATACAGTTTTGTTGAAATAAATCATTAAATTTGTAAAAATGTAATTTTTAATTATCTCATAAAAACATCTAGAATCAGCTACAATAATAGTTTCTATACTACTAATAATACAAATTCCAAATTCATTAAAACAATGTTACAAATTTAAAATCATGAAAGAAAATATATTCTTCTGCCATAAAATTCATTAAACCAGACAGATTGATTTTAGTAAAACAAAGTATTTAGTAAAACAAAGTATTTTATTTATTAGCAGTGCAATCAATTCATATGGACACGTTCATAAAAAGGTGGCACTAGAGATTGATTTTTCACTGCCAAAATTGTGTGAAGCATTTTAAAATACTTGTATCTCAAGGAGTATGCTATGAAAGTTAACCAAATTTTAATATGTGGTCCAAAAAGAGTCAAATGTCACATAATTAAGTCATTCATCTCTTTAAATCTGTTAATTGTGCAGATATGAGCCAGAAATCACAAAATATTCATTTCTTGCACCTCTAATGATGAATTTACATTCTGTGAGTGTGTCCTGCTTCTCAATGTGATTATTGAACCTTTCTGAGATAGTTGAGTGTTAAAAGTGCAAAGAGTCACCGGTTAAATGTGGAGTTATGATGCAATTATCACACATAGGGTTAATTCTGACTAAGTATTTTAGAATGATGAATGTGATATGAATATCAACGGAATGATTGTAACAATGAACTCTATCAATCACAATTATATCATGCTAACTAATATTTAGAGAATTTAGATGATTAAAAGTGCCATAATGAGTCAAAAATCACATAAATGAGCATGTATTGAAATTATGCTGTATCAGGGGAATGTATCACTTTTTGGCTCTATATCAGGTTGGTATTCATAGTAAATATGCAGTAATTTGTTGTGACACTTGTTTATGGTCATGGAGAAGTTCGTTATTAGAGTAATAGTGGAATCAATATTCACAAAACACTAATTTTAAACTGAGTAAACTAGGCAAGTACTTTTACTACTCAAGCCATGATAATTTTGTCTCCATAATGTGACAAATGAATCAATCAGTAACGTATAATACTTAATTGAATTTTTGAAATGTGATTATCGATTCATTACCTTACCTTTCAAAATTTCATTACAACTTGAACATTACATATGATTCAATTGTCACACTTTAAAGAAAATTACATATTTGGTAGCTAGATTTAAGTGATTTTTGAATCATTTAAGCACCCAGATCAAAAATTATCGCTCAAAGGCCTTCAATATGGTATAAGCTTAGACATGGATTCAAAAATCACATAATAATAATCATAGAATGGATATAAATTGTCATATCGTTCACTTAATTTAAGGATAACTATAGTGTGACTTAATAGCGCACCTTTAACGAAAATGTGACTTTTGAATCATATTAATTGGTTTTAATACTATTTAATACTATTTTGTACCCTAAAAAATGATAGAAAGCCAATAAAAACGTTAGATGATTCAATAATCACTGCTCAAAATAGGCTCATTTCCAACGTTTAAGTTGTGATTTTTGACTCATTTTGGCACCAATAACAATTTCAGATAAGACATTCCATTCCTTACATGCATTATAGTCACCATATCAATTTTGGCTTCTTTGTGAATATTACTTTTCAGATTATCTAGTGTTGATTCATCTTGCATTTCTAATTGTGTGACTTTTGACTCATTGGCACACAAATAACGATAACTCCTGTGATATAAGCACTAGAGACTCCGTGATTTCAGGATCATGAAATTTAATCGAATTTCTAAAGGTATAGATAGATATATCAACCAACAAAGAGTAATGACTATTTTTAAAACGCATTTTAAAAAATCAATCTCTAGTGCCACCTTTTTTTGAACGTGTCCATATGATATAATTATAAGAATATATATGTATGTCACACCTATTTAACTGTTACGTTTGAGTAGTCGTGCCATGGCTAAATCTAGCTGGGACCAGTGGTGTCGATTAACATTTAATAGGTGAGTCTAAGTGACACAAATAATAATAATAAATAAATAAATACAACATTTATAAACCGCCTTATAGCTAAATCATATAACTCGATATAATTTAATCCTGGAGATAAACTCCAGTGCTTTCTAAAGCGGCTCTTACATTAACTGAGCTTAGTTTAATTGAAAATTAGACATGACAAGTTCAAATGAAAAATTTTATGAAAAGACGGATCAAAACACAGATCCAAGGACAAGGAGACCCCACTGCAGGACCGACCATACATGCTTTTTCCTTTTTTTTTGTACGTAGCTGGTCAAATAGTTTTGAATTCAGACTAAGCTTGATAAGTTCTGGGGTTCCTATAGGTAAGATTTGATGGTGCCAGGTTTGTTCAGGCGGACATGGAAATTATGCGAGGAATATATAGGTATATAAAAATCATATCAATATAAAAATGAACATAATCTAGTTCTAGAAAGAACTAAAAAGTCATTTAAATATCAACTGAATATCAAAGATATCATAAAAATTTTTAATTCCAAACCTAAATAACTTCTCTAAAAAACCATATAACTCCTTTTCTAGTATATATCTAAACATATAACTAACGAATTTTTGTAGTTAAGATATCATCCGAAATGAAATTAGAATGGTATGACTTCCATTTTATTGCGTAGCATTACATAACACCACTATGCTCCTCTTTGGCTTTCTGAATCACCTCCATGAGATCATCGACACAGGTTGAAGTTGAGATAGATAGCTTTTGCTTAAATTTTAAATTTCAAGTCATAGAGCAATCTTTTCAGGAAAAAATCAAAATATTTTGTTATATTAATTTAAAATTACATGTCACATTTATTAATTACTAGAGTCACAATTATAATTGTCCATTGTTAATGAACTAGCCCGGCGCGCGGTATTTTGTAGTATGAGCTTGCTTCGGGCCACATTTCAAAAAGAAATCGGCGCGCTATTTTTTTTAATGTAAAGGAGTAACATCAAACAACTTCAACAAAATTTCAGAAGCAGAATAATCTTAAAAAAAGGTTCCGACTTAATTATGGGGTTGGATTATTTTTTCTTTGATAGTGTAAATAGGAGTGAAAAGGGTTTTGTTTCAGTGATTATAGTCTGGAAGCCTTTTATTTTCTGGACCTTGTCTGAGTAATAGCTTCAAGGTTACTGGGCCGCGCTCAGCCTGTCATTCCGCCTAATCTCTATGATCATTATTATTTGTTAATGAACGTGAACATAATAGCCTAGGGTCCCCAGGTAACTTCAAGGTTGTCAACTTGTTACTTCTTGACGGATGTTACTTTTCTAAATTTCTTCGAAGTAGCGCGATGGCAAGTGCTACGAAGTAGCGCGCGCCGGGCCAGACCATTGACAATAGTAAAGGCTCTTACGGGCATTGTCTGCTCGATACGTTAGGGACATCAGATACACCTTACTAGACGTATTTTTGACCGTAGAATCGATTAAAAGTGGTTTTAAGATGATTGTACTGACTTTTTGGGGGTAAAATTGCAAAAAACCGATTTTTGGGCCAAAAATAGGCCAAAAAACCATGTTTTTTGATATTTTTAACATGTTAATTTTGTTGGCATGTCGGCAAAACTTGTATAGAGATAGGTAAAACACAGCCGCATAAGATGGTATAAAAATTTTAAAAATCCCTCTATTTTTTTGGGGGTAAAAATCCAAAAAAGTGGTAAAAATTTTGACTTTTTTGCGCGCAATTTATTTTTGGTACTTATATGCTATATTTTGAAATTTTTTTAAAGATTTATTTTGTAATAACAACTAATTTAAATATATTAAATATAATTGTGACCAAAAAATTCATTTTTTATGGAATCAAAATTGTAGGCGCGCCGCGCATATTTTCGAAAATTTACACCGTGGTACGAAAATCGAGCGCTAAAGCAAATACTGTCATATTTTCACAAGAACACCTAGGTTGTTTTTCAGTATTATTGTCGCATTACGAAACTCCTTTTCAACCTATTTGGTTATCTTTTTGATGTGTAATTTGATTACTAACTATGTTTTCATGTATTCTCTTTGATGTGGAGTACCCATTCATACTATTTCCTATCGTTTTTATCATATGCTTCTTCCTCTAGAGTCGGCTCTATTTGTGACATACCTCTTATCTTATACATAGTTTATCGTGGTTTGTTGATACTGAATTGGTTTAATTGATACTATACGATTACTCTGTTAGAAATGTATTGTAAGATGTGACGGAATAAGAGAAACCAAAATATTTAAATAAGTTGTAGCCATTTCAAAATATTCAATGAGGTTATATTTTTTAAATTGAAGGTCTTTCACCAAATATGACTTGAATAGTTTTTCGACAAAGTTTTTAGAAGAGCTTTAACAATTTCAAAGAATTAGAAAATTTATTGTACATCTTAGAAGCTACTACAGAGAGGCTACCCTTGTGAGTTATGACGGACTTAACTGTATGGGTCAACTACTGAAACTATATTGTTTACTATCTTATTCATTATACTGGACATGAGATGACGAAGTATCTTAAGCAGCACTTTATACCCCCACTTAGAACTTGATTAGTCACGAACAATAGAATCATCAAAAACCAATACAATAAAACATCTTGATCAATAAATGCCTAGCAGCACCAGACAGCAGCCGTGTACCTTTTTCGACTCCGTGGAGTCCCTGATGGACTTTTGTTTACTTTTGTTAATAATCGGACCAACCTTTCTTTCTCGAAACATGTATCCTATTGTATTTCATTATAGTATTAAGATGTGAAGATATACTAGATATTACAACGAAATAGAGGTATACCAAATTGGCCCTTGATATGAACTATAACCGTGTTGATGGTTTTAAATTTTGTATGTTGTAAGCACTTTAGTTTGTGAAGCGTTTACTCCTCCCCCTCAGCAAGACAGCTAGATTATAGATTAATGATAATAATTGTCAAATGTCGTTATATATTATATAACAGTTATAAATGTTCAATAGTTGTAGAGCGACTTCAAGAGTAGTGGTCCACAGGGGTCCGAAAAAGCCGTACAGGCACTTGGGTCCTTATCCTTGTCACTAATCTCAATTGGATTCGGTTTACACAAAGCATGAACATTTAGACGTACACATTGACATGATATTTATTAGAAAGCAAAAAGTATAAAATAATACGTGCGTGCGCGGCTTGAGTCGCGCCGCATAAGAACGGATGCGTGCAGGGGCTGGACTACGCTTGTATGTAAATTAATGAAATGTTGCATTGTAAATATTTAGAATTGACGATATATTTTGATCTAAAAGTAAATTTTACAAAGCTGGCTTTGGATTTAGGTAAGATTATAATTTATTTTTTTAAAAAAACCACGGATAATTTTAAATTTATTTCTATTTGTCGTATAATCATAAACAATTTAATCATGTTTTTAAGAATGCGCGGCTTTGGCGGCCAGTTATTGACTTATACATTAAATTGAATTTTAAATAGAAATGTGAATATATTAAAATTTAAAACTTTCAAAACGGAGGCTTATAAATATTATTATATTATGATTGTAAAATAAAGGATAAAATTTTAAATTTGTTTCACTAAAAAAAAAAATTTGTTTCACTACCCACACCAAACATAAATCCGAACATATCTTGCAGATAAGTTGGAGCCAATCCTAGTATAGATTTGTGAGATTTTGCAGTAAGATTTTGAATTCAATCCTCTTCTCTATATATCCATTATCAAACCAGTAAAGATTGATCAGTTCATCCTCAAGATGGTAATGTTTATATTGCCCATCAACAGCTTTGGCTGCGGCATTTTGTAGTAACTGGACCTGATACAAGGATACATTTATTGAGTTCCTTCCAAAAGTGGTAATCCTGAAATAAACATTGAATTGGTCCCTTCAAGATCAAAATCAACAATAATGTTTAAATTTAGATAAGTAGGAATAATAATTTTAGCCAGTCTCGCCTCTAGTTATATACTCTCTACAAAGCTGACTATCTTATTGTTCCTAATACTATGAAACTTGTCAGGCTCTGTAGTTCGTTTCAGTCTCAGTTCTTCTACAAGCTTTTTATAAGCTTTTTGTTCCGTGGCAGTCCTATCAGGACAGATGTAAACTGAGCTGTTCCCCTCCTTTGAGCGTAGTGTACTGGTTTTTCTGATCACTTGTGTTGCATGGTCAGAACTGCTCAATGTGAACTTTACTGGTCTGGATACATTTTCTTTCGGAGCTCCAATACGGCAGCAGTCCCTGACTAAAGGCTTCTCACTAATTTCATTCAGAACCTCCTCAACGTTACTCAGCAGTTGCTCATTCTCTGATTCTGATAGACCATAAATGATTACGTTCTTGCTTCACTCAATCTGGTTTTCTACTTTTTTAACTGCAGCGTGGATCCTCTTCGGGCGCAAGCAGCTTTTCCTAACGACTGAAGAGTAGCTTTTCATCTCCGTTTGCACGGTATTCTGCATTGATTTGAGCTGTTTGTTGCTTTTTTCAATAGCCTTATTCTGAAGATCTATGATAGTACTCTGATATGAAATCTTCTCACTTTTCAGCTTGTCAATTTCTTCTGCAAGAGGTATCGCCTTCCTTAGCCAGGGGATACTGAACTGGTCCAATATACAACAAACAGTTTCCAACCATTCGCATGGTTTCTCTTTCGTTACTGATCTCTTGTTCATCAAATTGCAAGATTGAATTTCCTCGTACATTTTCCTGTTGATTTCACTACAAATCTCGTCTAAAACACTCCCTGGCTTTTAATAGTAGGCACAAACATTACTAATGTCTTATGAGCGATTTCCACACCATCTCATTGAGCAATACTATATTAGACTGAAAAAATATCTTTTAGTAGTAAGTTTTATTGTTGAGGCTGTAGGGCCTGTCGTGATATCATGGATCGCTTAGGTTCCACCAGGATCTGGTAGTCCTCATAATTCTGCGGCCTCTATGTGTCGTCATCTTGCACAACTCCGAAAAACCGTTGTGAGTTTGGCATGTGAAAATTTGCAGCCCTCCAGACATCGATTGGGTTAACGAGTTGTCGTACGTCACCTCAAGATCGGGTGACAGGGGGCTGAACAGGCCAGAACCCAATTGATTGGGTCTGAGGTCACGTGATTATGAGCCTGAGGTCACGTGACTATGACGTCACCAGAGCTCGTTCTCCGTTTCCCGCTCTTTGGACCAGGTGAGCTTGCATGCTTGTGAAAGTGGGTGTAAGTACAGCTGTACTGTAGTTACATCCAATTACCCCTAATAGAATGAAGATTTATTTTCTGACAGAAAGCTATATAGAAATTTACCAAAATATCGACTTAGTTCAAAATTTATTTTGATGACCACTCCTGACCTAAAATTGCACGAGAAATCGATTAAACTTGGTTTCAGAACTCAACAATGCTCCCTTATGCCTTAAAATCCATTTTTATCGATACAATAAACATTTTGATCCTGTGGATTAATTAGTAACAGGTAACAAATGCACAAAAAAAACCATCGCACTTACATTGCATTCTTAACGGGTCGATTTCGAGTGACCAATAATCGTCGTGATGATATTTATACGTCATGCGTTCCTGATCATCATCAGCAATCAAGAGACAGGAGCGGCGATTGCTTTAAATCAACGGTTTACGTTATTTTTGTGAATTCGACCCCTGTTTTAACGGTTATCACACTTTGTCATTGAATGTATTGAGGATAGCTTTACAAATAAGAGGACCAGTAAATAGAATTGTCACAAATGTTTCTCTCATTCACTTTCGATAAGACACAATGAAAATTCTTACTTAACCATAAGATTCGGAATTTTTCAACCTTTGAAGAATATCGGAATTTTATAAAATGTAAGGAATATAAGGAATATAATTTCTTGCGGGAATAATTCCTGAAATATTGTCGACAGGTTCAAGTCTACTAGCAGGAACCCGTCTAACCCATTTTGACAGGTCACGGGACCACCACGAATTGAATTATAAAGATCTATCTAAATTCCACGAAGACTACGGACCAAGTTTAAATACTTCATTATAGTTGGATTCGGGAAGCAGTTCAATTGTGCTTTGCACGGAACAACTTATATCACGAGACCGCCATTTCTGTTGAACCGAGAGATTGCAAATCAAACTAGTTTCAATTTCAGATCACCTTTTATATGTTCATTTGTGGTGGACTGGTCAGTATACAAACGTGGCACGTGCGGGCATATTTCTCAGTTTGAGTTACGAATTGCTTCATGCATGAGTTAAGTAATTCTTTGTGGTCGACTTGCTTTCGATCAAAACTTCATTAAATGAAATCGCTTTAGGGACATGTGTCAAAACTTCATTACTACCAACGCGCACCAATTAGACACCACCCTTGCAGTTGCTCTATGTAGTCGAGTTTTTCTCAGTCAGATTTGGTTGACTGTTATTTCTTTTTGAGGTCTCGACAAACAGCTGATCATACGGTAGGCATATGCGCGCTATATCTACGCCTTTGGCAAGATCATAGGACATAGAAGTTCAAGGAAATTTAACAACCATAACTTTAAACTTACTTGCTGGACAACAAACGCAGCCACGTCGTAATTCTCCCAATAACTGCTGTGTAGAAGAGCTGGCAGGATGAGAGAAGGAAAAGAGCGCAGAGCTTCAGGATAGCTTTACAAATAAGAGGACCAGTAAATAAAATTGTCACAAGTGTTTCTCTCATTCACTTTCGATAAGACACAATGAAAATTCTTACTTAACCATAAGATTCGGAATTTTTCAACCGTTGAAGAATATCGGGCATTTTTCAGAATTTGGCCGCCAAATTTTTTTAAAGGCCTAACTCAAAATTCTAATACAAAACTTAAGGTCATGAGGCGATTCTACGTCGATTCTGAAAATTGAAAAAATATTGAAACCCTATTGAGTTCTATTGTTTTGAGCGAAATCAGTTTTGCAAATATCGCGAACTGATATATGGGCGATTTTGTTCATTTTTTGCAACTATTTGAACACAGAATCCACAGTTAGGTAGATATTGAGCTGATAATCATAGAGAATGTGTAGTATAAGCTTACCTTCCATATAAAGTTGGTTTCATTCAAAAATATTGATATTGGACCAATTTATGAGCCAAAATCGATCAAATTTGGTGCGTATGCCCAAATATGGTCATATGGTTTTTGGCTCATAACTCAGTCATTTTTTGTCCAATCTTGATGAAAATTCATATACGAGTTCAGGGGACCACTAGCTACAAAAAAAGGGTTTTGGGCATGTTCAGGGTATTTGGCTAAATTGGGCCTGATTTGGACCAAATATGGGCGTGGCTGCCCCGCGGGCACCGTTTGGCGGTTGGGGTCCGGGACCCCTCAAAAGTTCGGTTGACACCGGTCCTAGTTTGTTGGTTAACTGCTATCCCCCCCCCCTTAAGGCATAAGGAAGCATTGTTGAGTTCTGAAACCAAGTTTAATCGATTTCTCGTGCAATTTTAGGTTAAGAGTGATCATCAAAATACATTTTGAACAAAGTCGATATTTTGGTAAATTTCTAGCTTTCTGTCAGAAAATAAATCTTCATTCTATTAGGGGTAATTGGATGTAACTACAGTACAGCTGTACTTAACCCACTTTCACAAGCATGCAAGCTCACCTGCTCCAAAGAGCGGGAAACGGAGAACGAGCTCAGGTGACGTCATAGTCACGTGACCTCAGGCTCATAATCACGTGGCCTCAGACCCAATCAATTGGGTTCTGGCCTGTTCAGCCCCCTGTCACCCGATCTTGAGGTGACGTACGACAACTCGTTAACCCAATCGATGTCTGGAGGGCTGCAAATTTTCACATGCCAAACTCACAACGGTTTTTCGGAGTTGTGCGAGATGACAACACATAGAGGCCGCAGAATTATGAGGACTACCAGATCCTGGTGGAACCTAAGCGATCCATGATATCACGACAGGCCCTATTGAGGCTGTAATAAACTTGCTAGACTTAATTTATTACTTGAATTTTGTATTCGATTTTGAAAATCTTGGACCTGAAAAAATCGTCAAAAAACGAGGTTCAAGATTTTCAAAATCGAATACAAAATTTTTTCTAATATTTTTTTCAATATTTTTTTCAATATTTTTCCATGAGACTAAAAACAGCTGATAGATATCACTCCCTTCTATCAGAAGCAACTATAAAGTCAATTTCAAGAGAATTTTGATGAAGACCCCCGCCCCCTTGAACAGTACAGACTGCAGTCATAAGCACAGCCCACTGCCCAGTTACCATGGGAACTAGGGGGCTTATTTTTTTTTTCTTGAGTTCAATTTTTTCCGGGGTAGGGGGACTGCAGCTCCCCTGCCCCCCCCCCCCCCCTGCACTGGCTACGTGCTTGACTAAAATGAGTCATCATAAGATGATAATGGTGATAAGCATTGCCTGTTTTGAGCTATGAAGTGTTGAAAGCTTGCATTGCTGTAGGTTAATCATGATGAATAGTTGAAGAATCAATATTATATTAGTATGGCTACAGCTGTCTGTCACCGACAAGAAGTTGGAACTTGGCAATCAATATTTCCTGCTGATCAGTTGACAGGACAAAAATCTGCATTCTTTGTGAAGAAGTTGCTTGCTGTATCCGTGTCTTACTTGACTTATCTACGCAACATATTTCCAGGTTAATGACGCCTTGTAAAAAATTGTTTAATCTACCTAATAAAGTGTTCAAATGGTGCATCTAAGTAAAGGGTGGACAATTTTTTATTGAACAATATTACTGCCAAGTAATTTCTTTGATTATTATATCTAATACCTTTGCTAAGTTACTTGACTTTCATCCCTCAGAAAATGCGTATAGTAATAGAAATATGGAGGACTTAGAGTTGAAGATTCTCTCTGACAGTAGCTCCTGTCCTGGGGCGAATAAAGTAAGTGAAATTAAAGCCCTATTATAGAAACGTAAAAACTTAATTGGCTGCACTAAACAGTATAATATATATACACATGGTGGAGTTCCAAATTCCAAGGCAACAAATTGTTTTGACTCACATACTTACCAATCACTGATCACCTTGGGCATATTGTGTATGTTAATAAAGTAACAGTTTAATCCCAGGTATGCCACTGGATAAGAAGCTGCTTTGAAGCACTTGACAAGAAGTTCTTAAATTCGCTTGTTCTTGGCCTATATGTCGATCCAGCTGATTCTAACACACTTTTGGAGTCCTACAGGTTTGTTAATTATATTCATAATACAATTCAATAATCAATGATACTGTTTACATTTTTTTAATCAAACCCTCTAGTGTGCAGTAAGTACTTCCGTATTAGTCGACTACCGATTGGTCACTAGTCAAAAATTCAGCTAAAACCGCGAAATTTCGGTCAAGGAGACGGCAGAAAAGGTATTCTCTTTAAAACCTTGCAAAATCTCTTTCTATTCTGATGATTTTCGTCTATCAAAGTTTTCTTTGGGAATAGAACTTTCAGTACCTCAATTGTGTCTTGTGACATCCTGAGTAAGCTTGCTAGATGGTCATTCAAGAAAAATTCAGTCAAACAGTGAAATTTGGGTCGCGGAAAACTAAAATCTGAAAAATAGGACCAAATTTCCATTCCATCAACGTTTTCTCCGGATATACTGGTTCCAATACCTTTTATATAATATATTATATCGTCTCGCTTTATATTATATTATAGTGATATATCACAATTTCAGCTTTAAGTTCAACTACGAGGATGGGGTGGACATTTACCATAACGACAAGAAAATACTGAGTAGTGACACTGAAAATACCAAGAAAACTACAACTACACTTCTGAGAACAATATTAGTTCTGACACAGGTATGTCTTAGCTTTTTACTGTATTGGCAAAGGAAATATTGTAAAATCAAGAAAATTGAGAATTCGATTTCACTTAGATTTAATTTCGATAAGCCCCAACTTTATTTATAATTCCACAATTCTGACAGTAGGTTTACTTCAGGGGTTAAAACCGCTTCCGGATAATGTTATGTTGACAATGAAGTTATATTTCAACGACGAGGTGACCCCTCCTGATTATCATCCCGCTGGGTTCATGGAGGCAAAGTCTGACGATTTTATGTATGAAGATGAAACAATCAATATAAAAGTAAGAAAAATCGTTTAGCTGCCATGATAACTCAGTGCAACCTAATGCAATCGCTTCTTGCAATTAATCTTACGTAATATGTTGTCTGTTTCATTGCTTGGTAAATTGGCAGTTTCAGCTTTAGCAGATCAGGTGAACCGTTTCATTATTATAATCCGTATCAAGACATTATTATACTCCATAAATTGTAGGTTGGTGAGGTCAGCACAAAGTTTCATTCTGTAAAGATGCGGATTCGAACAAAATGCCACAACTTTGACCTGAGTCCAGACGCGAAGGACATAGTGGCTGAGTTAACGGACGGCAGCCAGGAGGAGAAACCTATGGAGTCTACGTCTCCTGCTGATACGGTGATGACGACCACCACTCCCAAAACTGATGGTGGATCATATGATGTAGGTGGTAGATTTCCACCACATTTTTAACGGTGTCAGTTTGTTATTTAGAACAAGATATGTTGGAATGTTTTAGTTCGCTTTATTGTGAATATCACTAATCACGATATTATATGAATGATATTTCGAAATTTGAAGCAAAATAACAAAAGATATTAATTTACTAATTTGGCAGGTCGATTGTGTGTGTGGAAGTTCTATCGAAGATGGAATGTTAATTATGTGTGTGTCATGTGAGAAGTGGTCACATGGTCTATGTTACAGAATTCTTGACAGTGTCGCGGTACCAGATACGCATACTTGTGCTAAATGCCCAGGTTAAAGTTTATTTTGTCTGCAGATCAAATTGTTTAATTTTAATAGCATTTATTTTGAAATCGATTATTATGCTCCATTCTATCGGAGATACATGTGACCTATAAGCAAATATACTCGATTAATCATTGCTTATATTAATAGTTGGCTATTCATTATTCAATAAAAATTGTATAATTAAATTTTCAAACTTTGACTGGACGTTCGAACTGGATTCTGCTTGATGTTCATATAAAAACTAATCATTTTGAGTAACATTAACAATATATTAGGTGAGTGTACGGATACAAGTTTTAAGAAGTTAGATAAGATAACAGTTCAAGCTACTGCCCTATGGAGGCGGGCTTTATTCACACTCACCGAGGTAAATTTTTATCAGGTTTTAGCTCTTATCAGTTATACTCTTAAAACCAAATTAATTCGTGATAACTTTTCGCTTGTTGGGTCTTGTAATATGGAATTATTAATCAACTGTTTTTTACCGAACCTTGCTAGGTAAAACGAGTGAAAGAGGCTGAGTTGGCACAGAGACTTGACATAGACATTGAGGTGGCGAAAAAACTTATTACCAGACTTATAAGTGAGAGGTCTGTACAATGTACATCTTAATAATCGCGACATTATACAGTATTTTTTCACTTTTACATTTTCAGAAACTTTATTTAAGTTGTGTAATATATCCAATATCTCAATATCCATACATCAAAAGATAAGTAAAGATTTCAACTCTTCAGATTTATCAGAGTGCCAGCAAAGAACACCTCCAAATTCGGTTACATCGTCAACAAAACTGAGATAACAAAACGGGGCTTCAGGACCTATTTCACATCCCCCAGCTCTCAATCCCAGAGTCTGAGTCTGTACGACAGTCTCAACGACAGTGGACTTGTCCAGGATACTGAAAGTCTTAAATTAACCGGCGAAAAGAGGAAACGTGTGGCCGACGAAAATGGAGACTCGTTCGAGTTGTCTTCCAGTCAGAGCTGGACCAAGGGTAAGAGGTTGAGGTCATCTGAGATAAGAACACCTGTCCGATTATAAACAGTGGTGACTCGTGAGGTTGGTTGCGTTACAAATTACAGGAGTAAAAACAATATAGTTTAACTAAATGATGGTTGGGAGACAGTCGAGGGTCAATTAGCATCCATCTATTTATCTATTACTTAATTTTTTATATTTAAGGTTTGTTTCTATAATGCTTGATTTTGTACAGAAGTTATTTAAATTGTTAAAAAATGTTTAATTTTTCACAAATTTGTTAATTTTGTGATATGTTTTGTAATTTATTTTGTCACTGACTCTGTATAACTTAATTTTTCACCAATAATCTGTTCAGACTTCAGTTTCCGTTATATCAATTATTTAATTTGTTAATTTATTCATACTGTTTTGCATTTCAGTTCAACAATCTATTGTTTCGTTAGAATTCTTGTATTTATTTGTTTCGTATGATCGGTTATATAATATGTACTTTTAAGTTGGTACAGTTAAGGGGGCAGGGGGGGGGGGTGGGGTCTTCATGGAAATGTTGTCGAAATCGACTCAATTTTATTCAGGTGGCATTATAATGTGGGGCGAATCAGTGTTTCAGGGTCATCAGACCTTGATTTATTGAAATAATTTTACCAAAAATTGTTGTACAATCAAAACGTTGTCTAGTAATCAGTAATCAGATTCTAAAATTAACTTGAAACTTTAAATCACTACTTAGTATAATGTATAATATGTATATATCACATGATCAAATTCTGAATTATTAACATGATGTCTTTTATTGGCGACTAATAGGTCATTTTTGGTTATGCTATTTCCTCCAAATTGTTTGTTTCTCCTGAATCGTCTTGTCTTGCATTGGTGCAACTTAATCCATGACATTGATCACAGGCAGGGAGACATACTTCCGTCAGCCAAAGGAAATACTGACAAGGGTTTTCAGCCTCTACAGAGCAATTGCAACAAATGAGGTTGAGCATCCCCACCGGGGCAATCGCAGCTTTAGTCGGGATTGGCTGGCAGTATCTTTAGAACTCATTTCTCATCCATAATGTAGTGGATTTAGACTTGCAGTGTCGAGTGTCACGGAATGGAGAAGGCACTGCTTTGTCATCGAAAAGGTAATCTGAGACCCTTCACTAGAATTACATATAATACTGTTTAACCAGCGTAACGATTTTGTAAAGGCATGAAATGATAAAATGCAACTTTGGCCCAGCTTAGTAGCTACACGCTATACATGAACGTACACTTTACCATCCAGAGGTTTTTTAAACACTAAAACCTCAAAACTAGCCGCTCCACCCGGAGCTATCTTCTTTCTCACCACTGAATCGACCTCATTCTCATCTTCTATCACTACGATGTCAATTGGATCTGAGTGTTCGTTTTTGCAATTCACCGTGTATCTCAACATCACCACCTTGTCTGCATGTCCGGTTCCTTGTTCGGAGGACATATTATGGAAATTGTGATCTGATTTAGTATCATTTTCAGAGGAGTATGATTTAGGTGACACATCACCGTTATTTTTTACAAATCCAGTTAGTAAGTTAATGTTATCGAGCGTAGGTTTCTTTGTATGGCTGCGTGAAGAAAGAGTCCGCCTCAAAGATCTTTGTTTGGATGGGGTTGAGCCCATCTGGTCAACTTGTTAGCAAGATAAAATAGGATAAATAAACTAAATTGAATTTAAAACACAGTTCTAGTAGTAAGTAGTAACATGAAGACTGAAGAGTCAGTCTGACTGAAGGCACAAAATACACTGCGGCCGATTACTAACGGGGAGAAAAATATTAACTTGCAGGTTGAAAATGATGTTTATGTAACTTGTACGTTTGTACATTGCAGACAAACTTCCTTTTAGATTGAATGGTCCAATGACCAATGCTGTTTTAGATACAACATTATGACGGTCATACAGCAGTCTAGATATAACAGATATTAGCTCAAAACCATTCAGGTTTTAAATACAAATTCATGAGGAAGAAGTACTCAATCATGTAACTGCAGCTCTACAAAGTATAAATAGCGTAACTTCTACTCAGTTGATCTGATCTACTATTGGGACGGGTCGTCGAATAAAGTCATCTCAGTATAGTATTTAAAATCACACATTTCACGTGAACCTTACATTCCATTGACACCTCACAGAATATCCACGTCAATTCTCCCGTCATGAGGAGCCCCAAAGTCCATCCCCTCGAACACAACTTTCTTGACAGAACCCCGCTGGAAGTAGCACACTCTCTCAGTGATAATGTCACGTGCTATAAAAGGGTGTGTCAGGTAGGAACACTCCGAGTGTGATTGTCCGGGGGATATCCCCTGTCGTACTTGTACTTCCTCTGTGGGGTGGTTGTTATTTGAAGACGGATAATATCAATCACTTGCTACAGTCGCGCTGGTCTTCTACTTTAAGCAGTGTCTTTATTTTTGTAAAGAATTTCGCTAGGAAAATTATTTAAACTCCACATTTAAATATCATGGTCAAAATTAAACATACATATGTATCTATGTATAAATGTATATTTGATTTTACCTCCTTTGTAATTTTTCCAGATAAGATCTACTTCCTCGTCATGTTTGTTAGTAAATGTTACTGTATACTTTATCTGTCCACGGGAAGACTTTGCACGCTTTGCTTTGATCTCGTTTGCTGCGAGAGAGAAAACTTTAATATCAACAAACCCGTGAGTGGATTGTTATTCTGAATGTAAACTCATTTCAGATCCTTTTTCAGATTCTCATTATAATTATATCCGAAATCTAGCGGCCCTTAGATCTCAGATATCGTCAATTTTTATGTACTTAGATACTAAGAAAACGAGAATAATACTTTTCTGTTCCTTGTCGAGTTCTTCTTCAGCTTGATCGTCAGCAGCGGTTGCCTCTTGCAGTTTCTTACTTGCTCCACCCATGTTGGGATAGGTTTTTACTATGTCCAGAAGCTCCTGTATCTGGAATGGAACTTGTCAGTACTCAATAGTATACGCTACTCCAGACCTGGTAAGTAACATCATAGTAGTTACACCTTAGGACTGAGTACTGCCATACCCAGCAAGTGGGCGCCGCGTGGTTGTAGACTTACCTTCTCTTCCAAATAAACTGGATCGTTGACATTCCCAGTCATGTTAACGTAGAGTTTATTTCCTAGTTGAATCCCAATAGATCCCTTCCAGTCAGATGTGTTGGTCATACTACTTTCCATTACTACTGGTAACAGATTCGCACTTGTCAGAACTCTTGCTGAAACAACTCCCGGGTTATAATGCAGAAGGTGTGCACTAGGGCCAAGGAGAATTGTTTTACTGCAATATATTGTATAGCTTTCAGTCATCAGTGCACGGTTAATTCTCTTCTAGATACAAGATCTTTGAATTGATCTTGGTTAGGAATTATATTTTAGTAATAAATATATTGATACATAGAGAAGTGAAGCTGGTGTTATTCAATGCTAATATTAGAATATTACCTGCGTGATTGAACTCTAACTTGCAGTTGTCAGAAGCATTGTCTCCAGTCACCTTGCTTACGTAGTTTCGAGTTAAGAACACCAGAACAACCTGATATGATATAATACAGAACGTTAAATGTATCGTTTAATTTAATTTCTCAACAAAGTTTTCGACTCACAAATTATTGGCAATCTTATCTTACTGCTGAGTTGAAGTTCGACTTTGAATTATTCAAATCTAAGTTATGCACAAAATTTTGTTAAATCAGTCATCCTTCCTAACTCGTTCCCAAATCCCATGAATCAAAACTAACTTTGGAGGTCTCTATTCCCTTTGCCATCTGGTCCATTATATTCCCCGACAACTTATCCTGATCAAACCACGTCTCAAATTCCATCTCCTTGAGTTTGTCGTTAACTTTTCCTACTCTGTCGTGGTTGTTCCTTCCCACCTCATCTGTGCCCCAGTCGTGAGACAGGAAGAAATCTGTCATCTTTTCTGAACACTCGAATTACTGACTGAGTATTTAAACAGGTAAATCTCAGGCATCTGGCCGGCGGGATTCAAAAGATTCCTCAGTCCCAATTAGGAACCGACCGGAAATCCGGCTGAATCCGGATCCGGCCGGATATCTGGCTTCAAAATCCGGTTCCGGCTCCGGCTCCGGCTGGAAAAAATTAGCCGGATTTTTGCCGGATTTCAGTTTTTTTACCGAAAAAAAATCAAAAAAAAATTTCGGCTAATAATAAACAGGGTAGCCTGAATCGTGGAAAAAAGTGGTTTTCAGAAAAACATAGAAAAAATTTCGACTTAGATAATTTCGGTCCGTGACGTACCTCCTGTATCGGGAGCTCCTGCTTCCGAGCTCGTGTTGCAAAGGGGAGGCCTGCCTTCCGAGATCACATTACTGGGGGGAAACCTCGAGTCCAGAATTGTGTATCGAGGGGTAAGTGCGGACTTCGAAAAACCGAAAAAAAAATTTTCGGCTAATAATGAACAGGGTAGCCTGAATCATGGAAAAAAGTGGTTTCAGAAAATCTTAGAAAAAATTTTGAGTTAGAAAATTTCGGTCCGAGTCGTTCTCGAGACGTACCTCCTGTATCGGGAGCTCCCGCTTCCGAGCTCGTGTTGCAAAGGGGAGGCCTGCTTTGCGAGATCACATTACCGGGGGAAACCTCGAGTCCAGAATTGTGTATCGAGGGGTAGGTGCGGACTTCGAAAAACCGAAAAAATATTTTCGGCTAATAATGAACAGGGTAGCCTGAATCATGGAAAAAAGTGGTTTCAGAAAAACTTAGAAAAAATTTTGAGTTAGAAAATTTCGGTCCGAGTCGTTTAGTTCTCGAGACGTACCTCCTGTATCGGGAGCTCCCGCTTCCGAGCTCGTGTTGCAAAGGGGAGGCCTGCCTTCCGAGATCACATTACCGGGGGAAACCTCGAGTCCAGAATTGTGTATCGAGGGGTAGGTGCGGACTTCGAAAATCCGAAAAAATATTTTCGGCTAATAATGAACAGGGTAGCCTGAATCATGGAAAAAAGTGGTTTTCAGAAAAACTAAGAAAAATTTTGACTTAGAAAATTTTCGGTCCGAGTCGTTCTTGAGACGTACCTCCTGTATCGAGAGCTCCCGCTTCCGAGCTCATGTTGCTTAGCTTAGGGGAGGCCTGCCTTCCGAGATCGAATTACCGGGGGAAACCTCGAGTCCAGAATTATGTATCGAGGGGTAGGTGCGGACTAAGAAAAAACCGAAAAAATATTTTCGGCCCCACCTCCCTGGGCTAGCCCCCGGCTATAATCGCAACCTTGGCAGTATTAAATTAGAGGAAAAGTGAACCTTATTACGAACAGTAGCTCTAGTATTTATCTTTATCACGTTTTATGATTAATATTATGATCCAGTTTTGTGCAGACAGCAAACTCCTGTCTTGCAAAAAAATCCAGTGTTATATATATATAATATATTATATTATATTATATTATAATATGCTCGCATGCTAATCAGGGTACAGTTGTGCTTCTGATTGTGACGAAATATGAAGGTCACGTGTTCAGGGTAGCTACGTAATTAGCTCATTACTGCAATCACGTGACTCAGCTCTAGACGCCAGACGGTGATTAGTACTGTACTAGACAGTACCTGCCTGCGAACAACCCTATTAAGCACCGCTCGTTGTAAGTCACGTGACACAATGATACTCATACCTGCATGACAAAAAGGGAATTCGCACAAACGCGCTCAATCAGGGGTCTGGCAATTGGCATATGCCAATTAGATATCATTTCTGATAATTACTCGTCTAGTGTCGTGACTCGTGTCTACTATTGTTACATTTTGTCTGCTACGTACTCGGTACTGCTTGTTTAAACAATGTCTAGTAGTAAATCTAAAACATCGTCCGTCTGGTTGTTCTTCTCAGAAGAAAATGGGACCCCTTATGCAAGCTGAAAGAAGTGCTCGATGAAGATTAAGCGTGGAAATACTATTACAATTGTGAAATTATCATACTATTAAGAAATTTTAATGAACTTGCTACATGCCTATCATAATTATGACTTTTATTTGGTTGAAAATTGAACTTAGCTAAAAATTAATCGAAAATATAGGTCGAGCGCGAAAACTGTTAGTTAGACACTATTTTATTGTGTAATTCCACATGATAATGACAAAAGTATAAAAATAAGAATATAAATTTAAATTTTCCGGCAAAATCCGGCTGCCTTATATTTCACTCTGAAACCACCGGTTCCGGTCCGGCAAAATCCGGCAAGATCCGGTCCGGCAGCCAAAACCCCAATCCGGTCGGTTCCTAGTCCCAATATAATATGAAAAACCTTCAAAGATCTTCAGTAGAAAATGATAGAACAGATCAAAATTCAAAAAGTATATATTTTTTGAATTTCAAATATTTGGATGAACCATCAAATTTAGTGTCGTAAAGAGAAGAATATTACAAATAAACTGATTAGATGTAAGATGATAACGTCATAACAAAATTCGTTTTGAAATAAATCTCTGAACTGTTGCTCAGCAGCAATCCATTTTAAAACACATCATTATTAGCAAGCTATGCCTATAGCGATAAATACGAAGGGCCGGGTCAAAATGGCTCTTTCGACTTTCGTACGATAACGCATATAATAAGACAACACACGAGGATTTTAAAAAGCAACAAAAAGTCTTGGATATGCATCTTACTAACGCAGAGATATTGTGATGACAACATTTGCTTGCCTACAGCACGGATATAGATCTAGACAGAGCGAGTGAGTTGGCTAGGAGCCACAAGCACTGGAGCTGGAGGGAGGTGATACGACACAAACGGGAGTTCATCGGTGCAGGCCACCGATTGAGGAGACCTAATCAAGTGCAACTACAAGTAAGTACACTGTACACTGTACAGCACAAAACAGTTAAACGGTATTTGCGTCGGAGGAGTGTTTAATCATGGGAAGGAGATAGCTCACAGCATAGGATCATTGGACTGTGACAAAGTCACATCCGGTCTAGGAGAGCTACATTTTATGGGTTAAGTAAATACCAGCGTAGACTGGTCAAATACCAGTGCAGACTGGTCAATTACCAGTGCAGACTGGTCAAATACCAGTGCAGACTGGTCAAATACCAGTGCAGACTGGTCAAATAACAGTGCAGACTGGTCAAATACCAGCGCAGACTGGTCAAATACCAGTGCAGACTGTTCAAATACCAGTGCAGACTGGTCAAATACCAGTCTAGTGCATACTGTAAAGGTCATATTCGTGTGATGAAAAGATGTAAATTGTGACTGGGCCGCTGAAGTTGATAGAGCTAAAGCAAGTTGATTGAATTTTTTTAAAGTACTGTAGATGAAGCTTAAATAATGTTTCAAGCTTAAATAATGTCACAAGCCGAACGTAACAAAATGAAGATCAGATGCTTTCAATGTTACCTTATTATTTTTATTTATTAAATATAAAGACGTATCCGAGCAGCTTAAATGTCAGAATAAAGAAAGAACTAGCCACAAGCCAGTAATACGAAGATTGAAGGTGCAGCTATAGTAACCACCAGATATGGTTAAATTGCTTGCGATGTGGCTATACTCCCGCATAGCCATTGTGCTACATGTAAAAGAGGCAGTAAGAGGACTGTGTAATTACTTTACACACTAAGACAGCTGTACAGGGATAATCTGCAGTTAACACACAGACCAGTGACTAATACTCTTGCGTGTCTAGGTAGCAGGATACAATTAGATGTGGCTCTTTGGACAGGCTCAGAACGGGCAGATAGGTATGGTGAGATCATACACTTTATACCGGCATGGCTCGATTCAAACTCACCAAGTCCGCAAAATAATGATAGTGGGTCTTAAATTTCTATGTTTAGGAATGCTTTTATATAATTCATCGCCATAGCGACCGATTCACCGAAGCTGCTGTATTCTGATATATAAGGCATTGATCTAATAAGCTAATAGTTCTCACTGTCCTACACGGTAATGTGGTAATGGTTGCAGCGGCAGACCATTTACAAACCATTATTGCCACCTGGGTAAGATACTGTATCGCGGATATCTTTTAATTATAAACCAAAGATAAAACAATGGACATCACTGGAAATATGTATTGTTCATATTGTAATGCTAATGGAGTGGTATTATAGGAATTAGGATTTATGTATGTTGGGAAATTTACTTTTAGTTTTACACGGAAGCAGACTTTATTCTTCTCGGACTGTCCATTTTATTTAGGGGTCGTTCACATATTACGTAATCAGCCGAGGGGGGAGGGGGTTTCCAAATGATTTGACACAATAGCTATGTGTAAAACTGATTACGGAGGGGGGAGGGCCAGGGTGGGGGTAAAAATTGTCCAAAACGTGATTACGTAATAATATGTGAACGACCCCTTACAGTTAGTGGAGAGTGGAGACCCTCATTTTATTCCCAGTAATCTATTAATCTGGAAAGACTAGAACTTGGCAAATTAATGAACTTTCTACTGAGCAGTGAGCATGTGCGTTATGATTACTATGGATACTGTGGCAGTAATTTGTGTTCAAACGTAACAAATGTTATACTAACTCAGGATGTCAATCTCCAGTTCAGTTTTTCCAGGTTCATCGAAAATTATTTATCTAAACGAATGTCTCTGCTCTATCGGCTTGCTCTCGTGCCTAATGATGCGTTTAAGGGCGTCGAGCAATAACAATCCTCTTGCAGGGGATCTGCGTGACATAAGGCTCAAAATAATACAATATGCATAATCTCCAAAATAAGGTCAGTTCTTTTAACGCAGTGGTCACTGGTCACGGTCAGTGGTCACTAGTGCTCTAGAATCTAGATGGTCTAATAGTCTTTACTCGTTACTAGTCTTGTAGAGTTGTTTAAGGCTCGTGAGTTTATAGAAGGACTTGTATTGTGAGTTGTGGGTTGATAACGGTACTACGTCTTGTAGACATAGCTTCATTGTGCCTACTTTTCAAACTAACGATTCATATAAGATGTAAAGGTAAAGAGGTCTACTCGAAGCTAAAGAGGTCTACTCGAGGGTAAAGAGGTCTACTCGAAGGTAGAGCGTTGTAATGATATATTTTAAGAGAAGCTGGATCTTTAGGCCCGCGACGGTATAGTATAGCGCTTTGCCTGGCCCTGGTTAGTCACATGTTGTCTAATACTGGAAATATAGCGGGGGATTACTTCTCACATAACAAGCTTGAAACTTGTAAGTAAAACGGTGTTAAATGAGTTATGGGCAGTATCCAAGAATCCCGTCCCAGTCCGCGGACTAGTTCGTGCAACCACTTGCACTCTGCGGACTACTTATGTACAATATATGGACTGTGTATATATTTTATATACACAGTCCATATATTGTATATGCAGGTCATATGGTTGGTACAGTGGTCCGACGGAAGTGTGGGCTTAATGAAGGGGCTGGTACTGACAGTGGTGATGTTGACGATTATATTGATCGAAAAATATTAGTTATTTGTTAAATTCATTGGAAATACACAAAAGTATTCCACTCTAATCAGAGAACTATTCAACCCTATTAACTATTCAACCCTGGTTACTGGTAACTAAGAAGGTACTTTTAAGATATTACGTCAAGTCATACTAGTTAGTAATTAATGAAGCTATACCTGAACAATGAACATCACATCTTATTATATGAGTGGTAACAAAGTTCCCAATTTATCATCACCATATAAGATGCTATTTCAGAATTACAATTGATTAGGTATTTTGGTGTACAATTAAATGTAATCTTGCCTCACCTATCTTCCTCATCTGTGCTGCAGTCTTGAAGGTGAAGCTGGGAGAACTAATTATCATCAATGTCTTTATCTTGAAGTACTCCACATTTTCCCTGCTATTTATCATGGACTCTGTGGACTTTACTCCGTTGATTGTGACCTCATACGTATCTTGTGTTACTTCAAGTATGATTTCAATCTCTATTCCATCTACCAAGTTCATCGGTAACTTATACCGCTTACTGTACGTTCTGGCGTATATGCTTCCATACCTGCTGGAGACTACCAAGTAGTTCAAGTCACCCCCCAAAGCTTCCGCTGCGTAGTTCATCCGTAGTTGCAATATCAATGGTACGATGTCATCATCGTATAGGAGAACTTGTGCCTTGCTGTTAGTGTTACTTGGAGTTGAGGGCGCAGCCTTATAAACTCCAGTAAACTCAAATCTTGAGCCTACAGTGACAGGGAATATTGGTTGTTTAACTTTTTCAGTCTGCAACGGGATCTCTAGAAAGTTCTTTGAGCTTCCAAAGCCAATAAATGCAGTTAATCCAAGTATTACTATTAGTACTAGCATAGCGTCCTCCAGTTTCTGCTTGCAGGAAAAGAAGCAGACGAAGAGGAAAAGTAAACGAATCTATCTGCTCTCTCACGAAGGGTGCGTTACTGAGCTCAGAGTCTTAACAATACTATTAAGGATCAGTAAACACATGACTCGTTACTCCCTGACACGAGGTGTTTTAATCTTTGTCAATAATATTGGTAGAGCTCATGACCATGACGTGACCAGTGAGTAGCTGCTAGATGCTAAATACTTGGTTCCAGTTCAGAAACTACAAATCCCTCGTCTTACAGGTTTGTTAAAGAGCTAGTGAGAGTGAATATAACGGGACCATATTATATATTATTATATAATATACTAGAAAGGCCGTCGTAGGTATAGACTGCGTTGAATTCACGTTTCAGGAAAAGTAAAAGATTTTCTTTGTGGTTCAAATCGGAATATGTACATTTTCAACCAAAATATCAAACGGCTATAAGTATAATACAGAAGTCATAATCTAATTTATCATGCCAGTAACTGAAAAACAGCAAAACATTTATGATAAAAACAAAAATTTGTCAAGTTGCAAGATTTCAGAAAAGTTTTAATTTGACAAGAATTTAAGTGAAAAAGTTGTTTCTTACGCTACATAATTTTATAAGAATAAGTCTAACAGTTCGTTGAGCACTTTACACAGCTTGCTACTTTTAAACTGGGTGTTCCAAGCTGAGAGCTTCTACCTGTCTTACCAGATCATCTTCTTTTGAACCATCTATAAACTGCAGATACCAGCTAGGCATGAACTTCTGTCCCTGAATCTCCAATGTAATAATTTGTCTGCCTCTACCTCCGGGGTATTCAAGTATCCAAGTTTCATCACCATCTGGAATAGCGGTATGCATCCAGTCGATGACATCCCCTATGAAACCAATCATGGCATTTGCTTCATGTGCCTTCACATACCTCCCTGGAACTTGGGCCATGGAAATCTCAGTTGGCTTGCTATATACCATACCTTGCTTATCCTTCAACCCATAGTACAGGACATCAACCTTTCCTAAGTGGGACTGTAGCCAAGCCAAAGGGATCTTCACATTGAGCTTGTTAGCAAAACATGTCTTGATCTCCATATGCTTTCCGTCGGGTGTGACAGCATCAACTTCGGCACTCAGCAAGAAATTTCTATTGCCTATCTTTCCTTTCAGCATGTTGTAGGTCGCCTTCGTTCCAGCCTGTTGTTCCATAACAAACTCCTCAAATTTTTTGCCCCAGTATGAATTCTGCATTCCCCAGGCATCCCACTTTTCTTCCTGTTCCAATTTTCTGATGTACAATTTCCCTTTGTATTTACATGCTTCAAACTTCCAAGGGTTTTTGTATCTGTTATGATTAGTGTATCCTATATCTTTCAGTACTCCTCTTTGAGTTATAACATCAACATCGGATAAGGATTTCTTGCCGTCTTTGCTGCCATGGATCCACTTTAAGCCTTTCTCCCATTGGGGAAAACTCGTTTCCCTGGAAACATCTACCGCTTTTGGACTGTAACCTTCATTCAAATTAAGAGGAAGTTTGTATGTTTTTAGAGTTGGGATCTTTGCCTTGTTGCAGTTGATGAAGTCCCCATCTTCACCGATAGAGAAAGTGCCAACTTCAGTTGGTTGGTAGGAGGTGTAGTTCTGTAATCTTGAATACTCAGAAGTTGCCTTGATGTCGTAACGTTTAGTTACTCCGGCCATACCTGATAAGGTTATGTGGTCACGTTTTATAAAATCGTATTGAATGAAGTAAAAAATAAGACGTATCAATGTCAATTTATAGTTTTACCAATGATAATAAAGTTTTGACTCCGGTTAATAAAGAGTTTATGGTGGCAAGACTGCAAGAGTTACCCGATATAATATAATATCGAGTGTTCTCAGCGACAAAACATTTCATACCTATTCAATCCCGGGATTCGGAAATCCCGACCAAAAATAATCCCGGGATTCCCGAAAATCTGGGGAAAAAATCGGGATCGCCGAAAGCAAATGCCGCCCATCTTTAGGTCCCATTTTGTGTAATAAAGGCACGTCCATGCCATGACCCAACTTTTAATTTTATGGTTGTAGTTGTACTTATTGACTGCTTAAGTTCAATAGTACAATTAAAGCTGCCTCATCAAGTCACTAGAAGATATCAATGTCGTCTATATTTCAGATAGAGATATCAAATTAAACACTTCTTGTCTGATAAAACTTTTGTTAGCGTCCGACCAGCTGTTGAGAAGGTCCAATCAACGAGAGATCAGACCAAATCAACTGAACAAAATCGCGCGTAACTAATCAAACACGAAACATACATACAACCAGCGCAATCAATAAAACTGGTTGTGCGCGCAATTAGCACTGAGCATGATCAAGCAGCACGTGCACGTGCGGCGTTAAATCTCAACTTTGACGATACGTCATGCTAACAGTCTAGTCATCAACGTCCGAAAACCCGATTAACACTACCGTGTAATTAAATTATATTGAACAGTCAATTCATCGAAAATTTGCAACTATAACACAAATATTTAAAATTCCCGAAAACCGGGAATTGACAAAATTTCCGATATTGGTCGGGAATTTTTGACTGAAAATCGTCGGAAAATTCCGGGATTCGGGAATCCCGATGTTGGGATTGACTTCACTAACTTGTATAGCAATATGTGCGGTGCCACACTTTATGAGCATTTAGCAGGTACGCACAATGCGATGTGGAACAAACATTAGCAGCCTTTTGAGGAGACTCAAACTAAAAACGAACAACAGAGAAATGAGCATAATGTGCATAGCGAGCATTATATATGGATAACAACGTCAGCATGGAAATATTGAGTCGTTTGCAAAGCAACTCCGTTTGGCTGGCAAAACGGCTGTCATTTATTTTAGGCTCTTAGAACAGCTGTGAAATAATTATAATAACATAACCATACATTTTGTGATAAAGACCGATAACTGATAAGGGAGTCTAATTATACCGTCAGACTGGTCAACTTCATGTCAAAACTATGCGTGCTGTAATGAAATATTTATAGTCAAGGTACGCACAGTTGTTGCAACTATTCGGGGATTCTAAAAATAGAGATAGCGTATTGCAAATACAATAAATTTACAAAGTACGGAATCAGTATTCAGTATTGAGTGCTACTGATAATTTGCGTTTATACTACTTCTGTACTGAGAAAGGTTACTGCAGAGCTCGGTACATGCCCTCCTACAAGGTTTCAGATTATGCTACTTGCACTGTGCGGGTTATATTACCATATTTTGTGCAATGTGTATTCTGCTGTTCAAAATGTAACATACATAATGTACACATATTGTATCCGAAAAAACTTATCCATATCATCAATATAAATACTCAATAGCAACTTTCTCGGAAATTGTAGCGAAAATAAGAAGAAAAAACACACGTTAATTAAAGGCTTGAAAGGCTTGATAAAGAATTAACACAAGCTTAAACTTAAAGCAAACGACATTTACATTATAATGTCCAAACGAGGATTGGACACCCTACATTCTACAACATGATTTCACATTTCACAAAGATCATACGTGCGCTTACATTCGAATGTTTGAGTAAAAAAAGCTTTATAAGTAGGTCGTGTCAGGTATCACAAAGGAAAACATGTCCTCCCTCATAATTATTCATGGTAAAAAAGTAAACAAATCAAACAAATAAAAGTATCCAACTCTTACAAAAAGTCATGTGTTGTAATACTAATACGGCAGTATATTCTAAATTATCAGTATTTATTATTTATCGTTCTTTAGACCGTTTTTTGTTAATCTTTGTTCGCTTTTCTGAGCAGATATATTTTTCAAAGAAACAAGAAAGAGTGAAGAATAGTTTTAAGAATCAAGACTATCCGTATCATTTTTTTAAAGGACCTTTCTCTTTTTTGATGTTTATTTACATTTTCTTACATAATCAGTCACTAAGAAGTATCGCTAGTCGCGACGTTACAGTTACGTCAAATCATATTGTTTTTATCTATATTTTCAAAATAAAAAGTCAAATCGAGGGTCCAACAAAAAAAGGTTCTGGTGTATGTCCCCTAAACATTTAGTGACGTCATCAGCTTAACTCTTCTCTCCCACCATCTGCAGTTCAGTATCCTGATCCATCTCGGCGAGCTCTTTTGAGCACATTGACTGTACGACAGCACAACCCAGCGCATCTCCCATAACGTTCGTCATGGTACGGAATCTGTCCAAAAACCTGGAAAATGGAGCTTTTATGTGAAACTGAACATTTAGCGTTTTTACTGTGTTTACGCTGTTAATTGACCATAAAAAGGTTATAACATCGGATGTACAAACTTACCAATCAACAGTTAAGATCACAGCCAACATATCAACAGGTAGTCCGACAGCGTTGAGCACCATCACCATGGTAACGAGACCAGCAGAGGGAATACCAGCAGCTCCAACAGCAGCTAGAGTCGCTGTTAGTCCAGTCACGATAACTTGACCAAAGTTCAGGGATATGCCTTTTACTTGAGCGATGAAAAGGCAGGCAACCTGGTAGATAAACACATGGAGTTCAAGAAACTTTTACATAAATTCAAATATGTATAAGGGATTCAATAAAGAGTGTTCTTAGTTTTTGATGGATCCAATTAAATCATAGCAATTACAGGTCGTCGTACTATGTCAAGACGATATTTTGTTCAAGAACAAAGCAGGTAAGCTATGAAAACCAGTGTTGAATATTAATATTACGAAAGCAGCTGAACTAAGCTGACACCCACCGCTTCATAGAGCGCAGTACCGTCCATGTTGATGGTTGCTCCGACTGGGATGACGAACCGAGAAATTCTCCAAGAAATTCCATTTTTCTCCTCCACACACTTTAGAGTAACTGGCATTGTGGCGCTGCTGGAAGCTGTTCCGAATGCTGTTGCTAACGCTGCGAGTGGGGTTTATTTCAAAACACAAAACTGGAACACGGTGCGAATGCACGATAATATTTTTAAAGTATGAGAAAACTTATCAGTTTCGGTTAAAAGCTTTAAAAATTCAAATGAAATAAACTTTCTTCCCAATTACCAATAATTCAGTTTATTGGCAATGTTATTAAAGCGAATTATAATTGACTTGAAAAATGAAAAGAACTCTGTCAAGTTGTTGACATGGATTTGTACACGTCATAAATTAGTTAAAGAATTGTTGGGGCGCTACACCAACCCTGGAAAGATAATATTTATCGATGATACGAAATGGCATGGGGGTTTCAACTGAACTGTTTGTGCTCTTTCACAAAAGTTTGCACTTTTCATGACCCCAGAAAATTTGAAAAAAATTTGAAAATATTAAACTGCGGTATAAAAACTAACCTGGTAACATGTTGTAGTAATATGGGATCGGATTGCTGCGGGTAAAAGCGAAGAAAATACTAGGAAGAATAATGAAGAAGTGAATAGCGATTCCAACGAGCACTGTCACAACATACAATCCCAATTGTGCAACCATCTCTCCAAAGTTTTCAACCTAAATTTGATTAAAATTAGTCTGGATTCACGACCCCATCGTAGAAAGATTGACTCAAAACTAACCATACTGTTCACTGTAATAAAGTTGAATGATGGGCAAATGTTTACCATTCAGAGATATCTTTAAAGTACTTACCCCAGCAAACTGTCCAGCGATAAGAAAGAATATACCAATGGGAGAATACCACAGTATAAGAGTGACTAGTCTCATTGTCACGTCATTAACTGCCTGGACCACCTGGGCAATTAGTTGGTAATTAATCACTTTTTGCATTTAAAGAATAAAAATGGTTCAATACTGGGGTGGTTAACCTTATAAATAAGGTCAATAACCCCAGAATTAAACTAATGTTTAAAACAATAATGAACCGTTAAATTTGTATTGCAACAAGTTATATCTTCAAAACATACCCAGGAATTATGAAATGCCCGCCACGTGCCTAACAACTAACCTTCATAAGCGGGGCAGATTCCTCGGGGTACAGAGACATAATCACCCCGACTACAATTGCGAACACTATCACTCCTATCATGTTTATTCCGGATTTGAACTGTGTGCAAACAAATTGCTGTTAGAAAAGTAGAAAGATCATCTCGTTCTTAAGATGATTTACTATTCAAAGAGTAATCGAAATAGGATTCTATTTGAATAGTAAATTCGGGATTTTGGCAGAAAACAGACCACAACTAAAATTTTACTAAGATCACTAACTATTATAATATTGTATTATTAAGGGGGCCGGGGGGGGGGGGGGGGGGTCTTCATCAAAATTCTCTCGAAATCGACTTTATAGTTGTTTCTGATAGAGGGGAGTGATATCTACCAGCTGCTTTTGGTCCCATAGAAAAATATTGTTCCTAGCCGAAATTATCGCTGGTCAAAGGTCAGCGCTTATGTGTAATTGTATTGCGCGAGCGATTTTCAATCGCGCGTTCTGAAAATCGAGTCTAAAAATCTATCTTCTCCTACATTTTTTGAGCAATCACCCTCAAACTTTCAGGATATGTTCTTAGGATCAGTTAGAAGAGAACTCTAGAGCCAGAATTTTGAGATAGGCCTTTAAAGATTTTTAATTCGATTTTGAAAATTTTTGACCTCTAAAAATCAAGGTCCAAGAATTTCAAAATCAAATTAAAAATCTTTAAAGGCCTATCTCAAAATTCTGGCTCTAGAGTTCTCTTCTAACTGATCCTAAGAACATATCCTGAAAGTTTGAGGGTGATTGCTCAAAAAATGTAGGAGAAGATAGATTTTTAGACTCGATTTTCAGAACGCGCGATTGAAAATCGCTCGCGCAATACAATTACACATAAGCGCTGACCTTTGACCAGCGATAATTTCGGCTAGGAACAATATTTTTCTATGGGACCAAAAGCAGCTGGTAGATATCACTCCCCTCTATCAGAAAGAACTATAAAGTCGATTTCGAGAGAATTTTGATGAAGACCCCCCCCCCCCCGGCCCCCTTAAAATCGAATGACTTGTGCTGTTGTTAAAAAAGACGGACCTGTAAGTTTCGCTTTAGATATTTTGATCCATCGTCCCTGGTTATCTCAGTGAGTTCAGTCGCGTCCTTACCGAATGTAGCCTCAACTATGTTATCTGGAAAAGCAGCTCGCAGCAAGTCCATGATTGTGTCGAGTGTGTTAGTGTTCTCGTTTATTGTCACTGAAAAGTAAGAGGATCTTATGAAGAGCTGGTTCAAGGACCAAGGTTCAGCGAAACTTAGCTTTTGTGTACTGGATTATATGTTACAAAAACGTTTCTGGAGCGTGTGAGATCCAGTCATTCGATTCTTAGTTCTTACTATATCTATCGTTTCAGTTACATCTATCATACACTATCCAGTCATATTTATCATTCTTGGTGTCTGAACCCCTCCCCGCCCATCGAGCTAACCTCCGTCTTTGCTGATGAAGTCGCTCTGATCTCCTGATCCTGGCCTTATTATGGAAACCAAGCAGAGTCCTAGGATTGCAGCGATTACTGTAGTGGAGATGTAGTAGGCCACAGCAACACCGCCGATCTTTCCTGAATGAACATTCGATTCCACAATAAGATGACACAATATATCAATAATATTATATTACATAATATGCATATTGCATATGCATATTGCATATGATATTATGCAATATAATATATCGTATAATATGACGATTACCGAAGGAATACATGCACGTCGGAAGATCTTTCCACAAGAATAGCTTACCACAAGATTTAGCATTTATATCTCCTAGTCCCGTTATGACACTGGCAACAACCAGAGGGAGTATTATACATTTTAACATGCGGAGGAGAATTTCGCCCGGGAACTTGAGAAGTACCACAAGTAAGTCAGTTGAGTAAGGAGTATGATCCTGCTGTATGATCACACCTGCGGGGTTTGTGTTAAATTCCGGCATATTACCTTCTATAATTCTACATTCCAGCATATTACGTTTTACAACCATTTCACAAAGTCATTACTGGACATTACCTTATAAACTTATGTACAGTACATACAATTAATAGTAATACTGTATTATACTATTATTACTAAGATTAATTCTCGGCTGATTGCAAAATGGTATGGTGTGTATGTATTATAGTATTGTATACACCATGGTTTGGCAATCAGTGCGGAGAATGAAGCTCTACCCAACATTAAAATCAGTCAGACCTACCCAAAATCAACCCGAGGATAACGGCAACTACAGTAAACACGAAGAGCTTATCCTTCAGGATAACTTTCCATGTTTTGTCGCAGATACTTTTGAACGTAATATTCATGATCCTGAGACTGAAAAGTGAAAGATTGTGTAAAGGGAGATTCGAGGTTTCCCAAATGCTTATTGTTGGTTTCCGTATCTAATCACGAGAGGGATAATGATATTGATAAGGGATATTGATATCTTGTACTAGAAATATACCAATAACCGCGACCGGTAGTATAGGTACACTCAAATATATATCATTTTGTCAAAAATAATTGTTGAAAATGCTTTGTATTAAATTATTTCCAACAACAACTAATATTTCAACCTATTTAGTAGTAGTATGGGGTGGCATGCATGTGCCTCGATATGATATTAGAAACATTTATCATAACATATTGTAATTCGACAATATCAAACAATTATGGTAAAAAATCTAATCAACTATGTCATCTCTCCACTTAGCTCTTGTTTATTTCGTTTTGAATTCCAAATAATAATAATCATAATAATAATATTTACATATTAGCAAATCGGTACTGTACTCCGGGACTGTTGTTTACTAGTAGTAAAAGACTGACCTAGCAAATACTGTCAACTGAAATGATACAGAGGCTGTTTCACAAACACAGCTTGTTTCATTTGAATAGTATACAAGGTATAAAAAATATTATCACTTCGAGATGGCCATTGGCCAGGCCTACTCTCATGCTGTCTATATGTGATGATTAACTCTGAAAAACTAGGGACAACTGGGGAATGATCCCAGAACCTCGAGATTTCGCGTCTCTTGCTCTACCAACGATATCACGTTGTACGTGTAATGTAAATATAGTGTGGATAAATGCGAATATATATTCTAAATAACTATAAAAAATATGTACAAAGACAAATAATTACGCAACAAATGATTTATATAGCATAATCGCACGCAGCCTAGTTGCTCAGATCTGTTTCACATTGAAAGGTTTATACAATTTGCATTTTAATTTTACACAAGTAGCAGGAGCAGCAAGCATTGAATAAAACAACATGATAGTGATTTAAGTGAATTTGATTGATCCTTAATTAAACTAAAAGCTGATTGGCTGATCACTATCACGTGTCCAATGAAACCTATGTCACCTCCCAGCCAACTGATTTCCTAACCTTGAAAATGTGCAAGGATTCAGAGATGTTCTCCTGAACATAATATAGAGAGTGATCTGATAAGGTTGCAATAAATATCCCAAAACAAGAGAATCGCTTTTGCCTTTCTGTGGCATGACTCCAACAATGAGGTTTGAAAGTTTAAAACATTCTGATCAGTATTCATATTGGTTGCTTATCAAAGAAGTAAACACGTGTTCTACTATATTTTACGATTTTGCACTAAAATGATTCGATTTCTTTGTTGAGAATTACCTACTGCTCTAATGCAATAGAAGCACTAGCGGTGCTAGCTTATAATTGCTGTAGGTGTTCAGTTTGAAAGCATACACAGCGTGGAAAATCGAAAAAAGAAATACCGAAAAAAGCAAGATAGTTTGAACATGATGTACGGTGAGACGAAATAATTCAGACTTAATTACGCTAATTTAGAGTTAATACATTGTACTCAGTGAAGATTTTTCCCCAAGCGCACCGAAGGAAACCCACTGACTACTACTAGACATTTTGCTGAGACGCAAAACAACGCCTGAAAATAATTCAGTTACTGCGGAAGAACGACCTTGGTCTTGGGAGAAATGAACTTCAATCAATGACGATCGAGTTTAAGTTTTCAATTTTCATTCGTCATCCAAGGACACGAGACACAAAAGCAAAAGTACATTTAAAGAGATGTCGTTACAAGGTTCGCCTTGCACTAATAAAAGGTGCTAACAGATTTTAGAAATTCAATATGTCTTAGTCTAACGTGTACGCTCTTTCTTAGAACGTTCAGAATAATGAATATGCGTATATAATAATATACAGCATAATTCAATATAATAGCTTACTTTTAATATTATTAACTTGTAACTCTTGAATTTTTACCTCAATATTGGGATTACAGTCGCTTACAGGAAGCGACTGATTTCGTTCCTTGAAGTCGTGCCAGATATTATGCAATGAACTTTTATGATATTTATATTAGAAATTACGTTAATGTTATATCGTAATTTGTGAGCATCTTTAATTCAAGTTTTAGCAGGGCTGCAATTCCCGGGGGATGGGAGGGGGGATGATCAAGATTTTTGGCCAAAAATTTAAATTTTCTTTGTGGTTTACTACAAATAATAACTTACAAACTATAATTATGATCATTGCATTGGGAAATCCTGCTTACTGTAGAGATCTTTGATGTCTGATCTGTAAGGTGCCGTGAGCCGTCCAATAATTCTAGAAGTGCTTCTATCTTTCTATACATAAGAGAAAGATGATTTCTAATTGCTAAAAATTCATAATTTTAACTTACAAAGTTACAAATTTTCTGACAGGGCTCAGCCCCAGACCCCTGCCTCCAATTGCCAAATCAGATTCCCCCAAGTTCAAATTCGGAATTACGACCCTGAGTTCGAGTAAGTTATCACTTATCATCGACTCATAATCCTTTGTCGAAAATATGAAATGAGATAGTGGTCCCATGTCTTTAATCATACAATTTTATTTTAACGGCAAACAGACTGAAACGCTAACGGACTTAATCCCGAACTATCACGGCCAGGATAGACTTAAAACGGAATTAAGCATATAAGCTCGTGATTTGAGGCGAGTAAATGAATTAAAATCATCCCATGAGTAATTGAGTAATGATGTGCCTATCGGAATGCGGATTAGATCTCCAGTACCACACATGACATGATCACAAGAACCTAATGTGATTTAAAGCAGTAATTGTAGGTATTTCAGATTTTATTTTGAGGCAAACATTTTTATTCTGTAATCTGTTTTCGATTCGTAACCAGATGAACATTTCTTTTTCAGTTTGACGTGCTCTTCCCATTATCTCAATCTAAGATAGATTTAAATAAAAATGTTAAATGGAACTTCGATAGTCACTAAGGCACCTACCATTGCATGTACACATAGTCTAGATTGTATACAAACCATCAGAGGTGATATATGATTGCGGTGGGTGCGGACTGCAAAGTCACACTATTGCCCTATCACCGCACTTTTTTTGGGTAACACAACTCCTGACATCGACTCCTGTCCGATAGCACTATTTACTTGTGTTTGAAGTGATATCTCAAAATTGACACATAGAAATTCACCCAAACTTGCACAGATTATTCGTCTTAAAGCTATCTTACTATCTGGAAAGGTTCAAGAAAATCTTAGCGTTGGATCTCCAGATATATGCCTTGGAACCACTGCAAACCACCGAATTGAAGATATTTTTTGTGTTTAAGGTGATATCTCAAATTTTGCCCATAGAAATTCGCCCAAACTTACACAGATCATCCGTCCGGCGTCCTATAACCATCATACTTTATGGAAAGTTTCAAGAAAATCATATGGTAGGATCTGACATAAACTATTGTCCGAAAAACCTATTTTCGGAGTCGGACAGGGGTCGCCCAAGATATTTTTTGTGTTTAAGGTGATATCTCAAATTTTGCCCATAGAAATTCGCCCAAACTTACACAGATCATCCGTCCGGCGTCCTATAACCATCATACTTTATGGAAAGTTTCAAGAAAATCATATGGTAGGATCTGACATAAACTATTGTCCGAAAAACCTATTTTCGGAGTCGGACAGGGGTCGCCCAATCCTTTTTTTGCACCATCGGCCGTTATTTGTCCTATCAGATTTGTGTACTTCAACTTTAACTTGGTATCGCTCTGTAAAATGAGATAATAATCATAAATATGGCCACACGTTTTTTATGACGTAACATTAACCCATCGGATGGAAAAATAAATCAGGAAAAACATGTACAGAAAGTTCATTATTACTATTATCAGATAGCAACTAGCAAGTTGCATCGACTTTTCATACTATCGATATATTTTGATAAAAAAACAAATGAGGGCGAATCTTGGCAAATGAACAACTTATCAAGCTGGATCCGTAATCCTGAATCCTTTGACAACAGATTGAAATTAAGTCACTTTATTTTAGTCACGTTATATACACAATGTGTTGGAAATTTGAATCTTATATTGTAAAGTTATCAAGTTATAATATTGAATACTCTACTTCAATTTGGCTCATCACCAGCTCAACTAGCCCCAGCCATCCTGCCCATCCAATTGTAAAACCTTCTATGAGGATAATTCTATATATAGGTTTGTAAATCTTGAATTTTCAGAAAACTCAGTTTAAGACATTACGTAAGACACATTGTAAGTTAATTTTGATTTCAACAAAAAACAATCTTGACCGTATAAAGGAATCGAATCACAACGGAACTAGATCGAATTTGGGACTAAACGGAAATAAATGATATTTTTTATTTTACCCTTGCCAGAGAACGGGCAATGATTACATAAGCGTCAGGTATCTTAAATAGATAACCTTTTTTTGGATAATATTCATATGGAAATCCTAGTTTCATAACGATGAGAGTGACCTGAAATGGAATCAATCAGATACTCTGTTAATCTAACAGATCTGATTTGTTTATGGATACAGTCAGTGGCGTAACGTAATTGCCTGTGTTTCTAGAGCAAAACGCGCAGTTGCTAGTACTGTAGTTAAGTTTTTCCAAAGTACCATGTTTTCTCGGATAGGCTATAATTTCAACAGCTGGTTATAAGTCGGCCTTTTGCAAGTCATTGATGAAACAAAATCCTACTTTTAGAAATTTCTTACTTAAACATTTTGTTGGATTATATCTATCAAAAGTAAAGCTGATCATAATAAAAATTGTTTGTTCACAAAAATAGTGCGTTTACTAACAAAAAGAATAGCGTAAAAACGAAGTTAAAACTGCTGACGCGGGGGGGGGGGGGGGGGGCGGGGGGGTTTATATTAATCTGTAAGCTCGCAGTAAACATGTTAGCTTCAGGTGACTGTATTCCGAGTTTCGTATTGATGTGATACGGGCAACTATCTACTCACAGATAAGTTTCAACCTACCATACAATATTGTTCCCTTATTTGGAATTAAACAAACCGATACAATCGAGCATTCCGTCTCCATTGTTAGATCAGCTTCATTTTTACTTCTTGGCTACAGTCTGCACGTGTCCCAACAAGATATTGTGTGGAATTTTGTTGTTATTATTTCTATATTTCACCTATGTAGAAGCTTAATGCCATGCTGACAATTGCTGACGGAGTGGGGGAGGGGGTAAAAATTGCCAAAAACTCGCTAACGTAATATGTGAACGTTCCCATACCAATTTAAAATGGGCTATTTGCTGACACTAACTTGTAGCCAACATTTGCAAATTGCGTACAATTTAGTTTTCTTAAACCTCCTCTCCTCGTTACTGGGAGTCCCAATACTGTCGCTTAAGTAACACGTAAACCAAGATAGCCTGTAGCTTGATGACAGTTTAGAAGCACTCACGGTATTCTTGCGCGCTAAATCCGAGCAACTTTTTTATGGTAAAAGTGTGCTTCGGGACAGCTTCTGTGACAGAAATTTGCGCGCGCTTCATTGGATCGTTGTGCGTGGATGCAAGCACAAAGAGCTTAAAATCAGCCCACGAAGTCTGTTTTCGTTTAGAACAAAATTCAAAGGACTGTAGAAGTCTCTAGAGGGCAAATTTAAATGACTTCTTTTACACTGCTCAGGTGATGGGACGGAAGCTAGGGTATATAATAGCAGCGTGGTATATTGTAATATTGCGCAGACGCGTGGAATCCAAAATCAGCTTCCCGCGCCTTCCTTCAAATCCAATTCGTACTTCGGGTGGCAGAAAGTATTTTCTCTCAAGTCTCAACATATTACATGATCGACTGAGGAGTTGAGTTTCGACAAAAATTTGATTTCGAGATAGCAATTGACCAACAAACTAGGGCCTGTGTCCTGTGACCAAACGTTTGAGGGGGTTCCGGGCACCGGTGGGCACCCGGAGTCCGCAACCCCCTCAAGAGTTCGGTCACAGGCCCTAGTTTGTTGGTCAATTGCTATCTCGAAATCAAATTCCACAAAATAATCAGGGTGAACCCCCCTCAATCAGAGTATCAGTAGACTCGACTTACTCGACTTAGGGCGCCTTCAACGTCCTAACAGAGATAGTTTTTTTTTCCAAATCTGTCTATCCAGCATGAGTTTGTTAATCTCCTTGCTGTCGTCAAGCCCTGTGTCCTTCCGAAGGATGTCAATATATGTGAGGTGTGGTCTTCCCCTTCGACGATGTCCTTGAAGGGGTTCCTAGAAGAGAAGTTGATGACTCAGAAGTTCTTCATGTCTGGCTAAATGACCTACGAGTCTCATCCTCCGTGCAGTTATCTTATCAGATGCTCTGATGAGGTGTCCATACACCTTGGCGTTAGTCTGCCGCTCTTTCCAGTCAATGTTAAGTGCCATCCTCAGCATTCTCGTATAACATCCATCAATACGTTTTGCGAGGGTCTGGCTGACAGTCCATGTTTCAGAGCCATATAGAAGGATGGACTCGACTGTAGCCAGGAACAGTCGTAACTTGAGATCTTTACGCATATCCGACTTCCATACAAGCTTCATCTGTTGACACGCTCCCCATACCTTAGCTTTCCTCACTTCGAAGTCCTTCTCCGAACTCTTCATTCTACTACCCAAATATACAAAGTCATCGAATTTCTCAATCTTCTTCCCACTCCCAGCAACCAGAGTCGGGTTATGATCATATCTTATGTTGATTCCTGTATGTATCAGTAGAAACTGCTTTCATTAAATAACTTATAGCCCGCTATGGATAGTAGTTCATTTACTTGAAATCAACCCACCATCTTTAATATTAATTAGTATTCCGACTATTTCTATGAGCTGATTTACAACTGTCCTCGACTGCACAAGTTAAAATTTCAGTGTTAACTAGTGGAATGCAGTTGTAATGAAGTTTTTCAAAGTCGGGGAGAGAAGGAAAACTATTCAATTTGCTAATAACATATTCATAAATTAATTCAAATTCTATAATTTCAATGACATGAATATTACCCAATTGACTGTATAGAACAGTCTTAATAAAAACAACTTGAAATAAACCTATGAAATTCAATTTTCAACAGCTAACAATATCCCCTTGATAATAAGTAAAGATGCTGTTCATGTTATACATAATTCACTCCTTTTGGTTCAACGACCAAATACGATTCACAGTTCCAAATACACTCAGTTCGTTATATTAAGAGGGTTAACTTTGGCCAAGGCTTCAGCGTCTTTAATTTTTACCATTTTAAAGGCGTCTTTATAAAAACAAGCTGAGTGTAGTGCAACTATGATCTGAATTCTGAACGAACTTTCAATCATACTATAATTTCCGACGCCCGTCCTACCATATTATAAGTTTTTTATTTGAAGGTCAGTGTAAGATTCAGTAACCATAATCACCGACATGACTATTTTACAATGATAAAATACATAAATAGCACATATTATTTATACAATATACATTATACAATTATCAACCATACATTTTAGGCATTAGTATGAGGCTGGTGTCATCCGTTATAGGTATCCGTATCGTGAGGTCTACCATGTACCCTGAATCTGTACAAACATGTATAGTCTTTGTTGCCGTGATTACTTAGAATTTCTACTTTAACAAAACGAAAGTACTTTTCGTACGGGTTTTGCTGGACTGCAAAAGTTTGGATGGGGAATTCGGTGAATTCATAGTTTCCTAAAACGTGACCTGAAAATTGAGAATGTTTTAAAACTACAGAACTTTAATGTATTCAGGGGGGGGGGGGGGGGGGGGGGGGGCCAACGTAGAATAAAGTAGAGTAGAATTCGCAAAAAAAATGGATGACATTCTACTTTTATCTACCTTAATCTACAAAACGTTGGGGGCCAACATAGAATAAAGTAGAATAAAGTAGAATAAAGTAGAGTAGAATTCGCAAAAAAATGGATGAAATTCTACTTTAATCTACCTTAATCTACAAAACGTTGCCCCCCCCCCCCCCCCCCTATTCATCTCCTTTAAAATTCGATTAAAAGAAAGATAATCAAGTGAGCAATTCTAATGTACAGCGGTCACGCGCGGGATCGAGAAAAAAGGATAAAGAAACTCAGATACCTTTGGGGGCGTTTCCATAGTCGAGTCCCAAAACTCTGAAATAGTATGGGGCACTCGAGGCATTACCATTTGGCGCCAATTCTAACGGTATGTGGTCTACCGTGAAGTGTTCTGGAAACACCTGGGTGTTTTAAGGATTAGCCGTATTTCGGATAATTTTAATTAACTTTATGTTTATGTCGTCAGCGCGAATGAAATAGAACTTAGTGTACAAATTAAACGAAATAAATGCAAATAAAAATATAAACCTGGGCTGATAGTTGAATGGTCAGAGAACCCTTGTCTCCAGTAAAACTCCAGCAGTTTCCTGGACTGTTATCTTTCTGAAGATAATTTAAATTCCAGACTTAATTTCAACGAATAGATCTTGCAAGTTATTGCAATCTAATATGAGAAGTTGATTGGGCGACAGTATTTACAGATTAAGATCTGAAATTCAAATCTTAAAATCCTAAAATCTGCATGTGTGGAAATTCAAACCTGGATTGCTAGTCGGGGAGTTTTGCAACTTCTCCAAATAGATATCCCGAACACACCCATCCATGGTGTATCTCGGGTGTAGGGCTCAGTTTCTCCAATAGTGAACACTACAGCACCTAAATATAACCAAATAATTTTCCACATGGATGTTTGGCGAAATTGTGTATGCATTCATACTTCATAGGCTAGCTTAATCGGCTTCGCTGGGAAAGGTTCACAAATTTATTAGCTCTTAGCTAAAAGCATCTGCGAGCAATATTACGATTCTAACCTGAACTTTCCAGAGCAAAGTCTGGCATGCCGACCTCGTCAGCGGCATACAACTTGAGAGATTTGCTGATAAGGTCCTGTACTTCCTGCAGGTTAGTCCCTGAAGTAGTCCCGTCCGTTTCGGGTTCTTCTTCTACCTGCAAGTAAAGACCTATAATGATACGTGAGATTTCTTGTAACTGCGAGAATTCCACATGAATGGCGGCCTGGTATAAAATAACAATCCTATAAAGACAGGGCAGTGTCCTACAAACTGTATCGCCCTTTCACGACTCCTTCCCAACGGTATCATGATTTAAAGGTCTGAAGTTAAATTTCAAATGAAGTCCGATATATAATAATATTAATAAGCGATATAACACCGAACTAACCTGTTTCTTGAGCTCTGCTAGTTCAGAGGTGATAGTATCTAGTTTATCTGTTAGACCAGTTTCTAGTGAGGATATTCTTTCCTTTAATGCACTGTTTTCCTCCTTTAACTCTGAAAACTTTGCTAACATTTCCTCCGAAAGAGCTTTCACTAGTTCGGACCTGAAAACAGTGGGATTATTATCTAGTAGGGTTTCAACTAATTCCTTGACAAAACCTCGGTAGTTTGGAAATACTGACAAAATGTGTGCGTTGAAAGTTTCAAATCTGATAATTTCTCACACAAGATCACAAGCAATAACGTGGGGAAACACAAAAAATCAAGCACACATGAGGCACAGAGCTCTGAAACTGTATTAATATAACTTACTCTGCGGCAGCTTTTTGCTCAATTTCGCTGGCTAGATCCTGAAAAAATGAATCGATTACAATAGGCACAACATTTATAATACTGGCTCACTGGTACCTAAATTGCAGCCTCAGATATATAAAAGAACCAATTAATCAATAATCAATATATTTTAATCCTTATTAACAGTTCTGACACAATAGTAATACAAATATACACAGACTACTGCAGCTATGATTTCACACGATATAAAGCTCTTACATTATCTTTAGTTTTCTGAAACATTTCTTGTTCTTGCTTTAGAAACGACTGAATGTGTGTTGCATCTTCTGCGACATTGTCTAACATATCTTCCCCGTTCCCATCTGGCCTGCTAACAGCTACATCTTCTCCATCATCAACATTTTCCGGTTCTTCTTCATCCTCAGCGACTGGTCCTTCTTCGCCCTCAGCAACTGGTTCTTCTTCCAGTTCAATTTCTTCTGCTCCACCCTCTGCTCCACCCGCCTCGTCCTTAACCTCTGCCACGTGGTCCTCGCTCTCCTCAACAATCTGCACCTCATCCTGACCACTTTCCTGCGTCCCATCCTCCTTCACCTGAGTGTAAAACTCTCTAAACTTTTCCAGAACCACGTCCACCTTTTCCTCTTCCGACAACCCTCCCACCTCCTCTCCCACTTTCTCAAACTCTTGCCACGCTTCCTCTATCTTCTGTTCAGACGTGTCCTGCCCTGCTGTGTCCTCAGTCGATTTTAGTTGTTCTAGAATAAGCGAGTCTTTGAAAATTTTAAAGTCCTTCCATGGCTGTTCGACGTGCTGGATGTTTCCGTTGTTTTTAAACCACAGTTTTAATTTCTCCCATGCCAGCTCAGGATTTTCTGTCTCCAAAGCTTTGAAGCTTTCCCATTTTTGAGCTGGCGGAACTTCATTCTCTCCTTTCACATCATCAGCTGTCTCGTCACCAGCAGATTCTTCCACGGGAGCAACTCCGAACAACACACAGCAACCAACACCGAACAACAAGTAAAGTTTCATCGTTAAAAGCGACTCACAAAGTTAACAACATAGCACAGCTGCCGGGGAGGAGGGTGTAATCAATTCAAGTGACCGTGTTCGAGCAGTAAAATGTGTGACGTGAACTGGATACATTATACAAATTATAAGACATTGTACAGAGGGAGGTTAGTACAAAGGGTTTCCTACTCAGCAACCTCGCCTGCTTGGAGAGGGAGGGACATTGTCATGGAAATGAGCCTAATTACACCAACCACTCGGTAATTAAGTAATTTTGACCGAATATGGTAGGGCGGGTAATGAGTTAAGATGTATAATGTATATACCACCAGACAATAACAGGTGGCCTCATTAGGCTTAGACCACTATTTCAGATCTCTACAATTCCTAACCGTATCACAAAGATCGAATTCAGAAATTTGCAACAGTTTGAGTTACAGTTTTTAGCTGCAATTGTGATGGAGAGATTGAGTTTCATTTAAACCAACTTGCCGATAAATTAGCATATGTAATTAATAATTATAGCGGGGAAGTGTCAAAAGTTAGTTTTTACAATGCCAAAATTTGACACCGGAAAGCGTTACTGGGATTGCATTGGTCGGTGCTGCAATCTGATTGGTTAATCAATTCCACGTACTTTGCCTTCGGCAAGAGTAGGAAAAAAATTGCACAACCTCCACCTCGTGATAAACTCCGTTTATTAAAACGGATAATCACAATATAAAGATAAGAGCAATTATTATTCAAAATGAGTAACAATTAAAAACTGGCTAATTAAGAGCATTGATTACGTGCTCTAATTTTCGGCTGCCAGATCACGAAGAACTAATTAATAATGGACAACTCATTACCACCGGAGAAGTATAACCATTAAATTTAAACCGGTTGAAATATGGAAATATGGATCGGAAAGGTTACTGAAAAGTTCCATCACTCTACCGCTCAATAATTGATCTACCGATGATATAACATATGGTAAGAAGTATGTGTTAAAAGTAAATGAGGGGTAAACAATGACACAAGTTGTAGAAGGTAGAATGGATCAGATATATTGATATGTACAAAGGCCCACTCCCCACGGCTACAAAACATTCAGATGTATAGCAGACGGCTGAGATACAACTGGTATTATGTAACTGTTGTAACACATAACACATTCCCTGTGTAAAGATTGGGAACACAATACAGTTCAAATAAAAACAGAGGACAGTACCAATCATATAATATGAAGTTCACAGTATGGACATGTCTTGTACTGAATACAAACTGTGACCGATTCAACTTCAAGCCTCGGACAGATGATATAAGGTATTATTAGAGATGAACTTGGCGGTTTTGTCAAGATCTGCGTAATGTAAGCGATTAGAAGGTTTTAAATCGTATTCTTAGTGACTTTCAAATTTCAAATAAAAGAGTCTGCCTTGAATTTTTCGAGAAAACGATGTCTTACTCTGCACTCGTCATATAAAAAATAAAGGAGCAATATCGAAAAAATGTATCAAGAAATCTACAGCAACTATCTTCCAATTATGGAAAGCTATTGTTCTTAAAGTTGAAAACTGTTGGCATCACAGGAAGTTTTCTTAACACTGTTGTCCCTAGCACAGTAAAACCCCGATTCACTGAGGACTTTGGTGGAAGCAAACAGGCGCGGTAAATTAAGATTTTACTGAAATATAAATTTAGTTTATATATATAAAATTAATTTATACATTCTTACTTAATACACAACGTTATAAGTTAATCATTTGAATTCCGTGGATCACAACGTCAATAAATTGTCGATGATTGAATGACAAGATCTGATCTCTGTTTGAGCCAGATTACTGAAAATACTTGAAAATAGGATAGCCAGAAAAAGTTACTATTTCTGGCTGTGATATTTTCAGATATTTACAGGCGTTCAGAGTAACATAGCTACTACTTACCAGACGTTGCAGAACCTCGCTACTCCGTTGCTGGGAAAGTTTAACCTCATTCTCCCTGTAATCTTCCCAACTATTTATTTCAGCTTTAAGTCTGACTTTTTCCTCCTCCAATTCCCGGATCAACTCATCCCACTCTTCCTGGAAATAACTTTTGACAATGGCGAAAGTAAAATTTTAACTTAGTTACTACACTAGCTATTCGAAGCTTTCGTTCCTGTATCGTCCCAAAAACTGTAACCGTGTGAAATATCGTGTGAAATATCGCAGAATTTTACAGAGCATTCAAAATGCCTCTACCAATAATAACACGGGTAAAAAATGCTTTTCATTATTTCAAAATTCGAAAATCCTGACCTTAGCCTTAGCTACAGCGATGGAATCTTCCACAGTGTCCTCAATAACAGAACTCAGTGTCTCAGCCTGACATACGTCATCATTTTCAACACTACAAACATTCCCCGACTCCGTCTCTGGTGCTGCTTGTTCAGCTGTTTCTATCTCTGCTGCTTCTTTTTCTTCTTTCTTCCTCTCCTCTTCTTCTGCATTCATTCGTGCTTCTTCTTCATCCCGTTTAGTCTTCTCTTCTTCTCTCCGCTTCACTTCTTCCCGCCACTGCTTTCGCTTTTCTTCCTCCTGAGAATAGAGCCATCATCAGTACGTATATCGAGCAGACTTTTGTGTGATTATAGATTTAAAGTGTTTGGACAACTTTTTATACTTAGATATCTGACTCAAGCTTTTATTATTATTACATAATCAGAGGGAATAATTAATCATTGGCCACCCATACAAAGCCATGAATAGACTTATAAAGGTCAAACTGGTTTAAAGTAGTAATGGAATTGGTTTTCTGATGTACATTTGCTTTAGTCAATTTTTTAACTGCTATGCTAGTCATACAAAAACTAGGCAATGATAGTCTGCCAGGTTACGGGTTACCGTGGACAGAATCCAACATCGATAATAGGTTGATGTGATGTTAGATGTTCTAGAATATTTTGTAATATAAATATGTTTATGATCGGAACATGAATTAGTGTCGATTATTCTATGAACTATGAAAATAATTACGATACCGATCGCTCAGATTATTAGAGCTTTGAGCTTTTGAGAGAGATTCCAGCCGAATTGTTATATTATATATTTAAATACATTTTAATGACATTATGGAACCTGTATTTTTGTGTCATATCAGAATAACATCTTTAAAAAGTTGTTTACTATGATGTGTGCAGTACTAGTACAATAAAATAATTAATCATACCTGCTTGATTTTTATCTCCAGCTCTAGCTGCTTCTTTTGCATTTCCAACTGTTGTATCTTCTCCAATTCTAGCGCCCTCTGTATCTCTTCTTCTCTCTTCTTTTCTTCCTCGAGCCTTCTCACTTCTTCCTCTTTTCGTCTCTTCTCTGCTTCTTGCTGCTCGTTATCTCTTTGTTCTTGTTCAAGCTGCTTCTGAAGCAATAACTTAATTGGAAATGTCAGTATTCGGCATGACGAATTATCGAAATATATTATATTCACAAATAGTAAACAACAACGTTTTAAAATAAAGTTGCAGCGTCGTGGCATAATATGTTTTCGGAGACTGAAGTCCAAACCAAGAGCTAATGGTATCTACACCTTTCTAGTGACTGATATAAAGATACATCAGGACTACTGTGTCTGGTGAGCCGCGCACAAAAGTTTAAACCTGTCGCTGCTCATCCTGTTTCTGTTCCAGTAGATCTATCTTCTCCTGCTGCTGTGGTATCAGCATCGTTACCATCTTCTGGAGATCTTCTATCTGTTTGGAGAGGTCGCTGATCTTGGCTTGTAATTCCGGGTCTGCCACCACTCCCTATAATGTGAAACAAGTCACACTGTGATATTAGTTAAATAGTATTAAAGTATTGGATATGTGTTATTTAAGTATAAGGTGAACAACCAGCGCGGCTCTCCCGCACTATCCAGTATCCAAGGAATGTCTACTAAAATTCGACTAAACAACGTACCTTCTTACAATATCATAATATAAAAATATAAGTTATTAAAAGTAACAATTTAAGTAATTAAAAGTTCACCATATAGCTGAGAGCAGACATGACGCCCGCGTGTTGTAAAACCCTCCCATGACCCCTGACAGAGAGACCCACCACACCACACGTTCCCAATACCAGGAACAGGAGCAGTGTCTTTGTGTAGCGGCACTTCATCGTCTTCTCCTGATATTTTAATTAGCTAATTAGCTAATTAGTTAATTATTTGATTGGTTAATTTGTTGATTAGTTAATTTGCTAATTAGTTAATTATTTAAACAGTTTCATCGATTATTTGTTGTGGGTATTTTATCAAGCAGTGGTAAACACAGCAGATTGAAAACAGATTTTAAGATGATCAATATTCTGCGGTATTCAATACATTGTTCGAGAGAGAAATTACTCACTGATTTAGCATCACTCGACGCAGTTTTAGTTGTACTCGGGCCGGGTGTTGTTAGTTTCTCACTGAAATTAAGGGAAGTTTCAAGAAAAGATCACATAGTCACAAAAGACTAAAATCACGTGGTTATAAACACATTTAAACTGATTGCGCGGGCAGTGTGCACGTGCAATGGGCATTGTAAACACCAATTTAGCACGTGCATTGTAAACATATCGATTTAGCATGCGCATTGTAAACATTTCCATTTAGCACGTATGACATGAACAGTGCGTTATTTTACCCTAATAGCGAAAGACTAGGCGGGCGTAGAGCCCTAATCATATTGCTTGCAATCATAGCCACGTTGAAAGTGGTGCTGCTCTTTCGCCGGTTAAGAGCAGGTTTTTTGGGTGGGGAGGTGGTCATATTTTGTTCGACTATCAAAGGGGAGCCTCCTTTAGTGGGGGGATGACTCAGCGAGGAGGACTGCGAATAAAGGACATTCCGAGAGGTGTCCCGTTTGAACACCTTCTTTCCAGGTGTGTACTGCATTGTCATACAAGCAAGATAAAACTGCCGAAAGTCAACTGTTTCCAACAGGTCTCCCTGGCCGGTGACATAAAGACCTCTGGCAACCCGCCAATAAGGAGGCAGTGTGCTGGTCATGTGATGGTTATCAGCCAATGCTCAATCAAGACTGTGCTGTGCGAGGATCTTCTAGGTACAGTCCTTGAATTTAGCAAATCGTTGCTCGTTAGTGGCGGTGATTAGGCTACCGAAACAAAACTGCTGAATTCGAGATTACGATCGGCTGGCAGTATTGACGATTCTCTAACACTAAATCATGTATGAATGCAAATGGTTGACTCGCTGTTATAAATTGTTAAAAATTGAATAGTAACAAGGTAATAGTATAATAGAATGAAAATTGCTAACTATTATCCTTACATTTAGATTTATAAATAAGTACATATTAATGGATTGTCACCAAGCGACGGGAGTCATTACCGCTAAACCCCATAAGGAAGATTACACTAACGTCGGAGACTCAGAGCCTATCTTATTATCAGTCTTACCTCCACTCTTCAGAAGCTTCTAGAGACACTTATCATTTGGTTCTTTGAATCGGATGTTGGTCTCACCACGGACAACCAACACATATTCAAAAGGAACTACTCCGCTTTTTACAAAATCACGAGCAAGATAGAACTCTCTCTCTCACAGCCTTTTCCTGGACACCAAAGAAGCCTTCGATAACATCACCTTCCAAGCCATCAAGAGAAATCTAAAGAACTCTAATATCCCCCGACCATCTCAAATTGGATCTTTTACATGGTCTCCAACAAAACTATCACACTTTCCCTGAACGGCATTTCTATTTCTAGAACTATCTTCCAAGGGTGCCCACACGGAGGGGTCCTCTAACCCCTCCGAGGGTGTCCACAAGGAGGGGTCTTCTAACCCCTCAGAGGGTGTCCACAAGGAGGGGTCCTCTAACCCCTCCGAGGGCGTCCACAAGGAGGGGTCCTCTAACCCCTCCGAGGGTGTCCAGAAGGAGGGGTACTCTAACCCTTCATCTAGAACTTAAGTAACCTATAGTCCGGCTTTGCCTGCTGGCCCTGCCATGGCTCTTTAGCTTGGAGATCAGACTTATATATAAAGATTAAAATGAATTGTAATAAAGGTATATTTAGTTAACTAATTAGTTAATGGTCTGGTAATTACTGATAACTGGGAATTACCAGGGAGGTGACGGAGTAACAAACTGAGGATAGTATTTAGTGTGAGATACAGCAGATGGTACTTTTCTAGTAGATATTTCTCTTCTGAGGGAGTCTTCCTTTCTGGCAGAGGGTTCTCTGCGGGTGGGTGTAGGATCCTTTCTAGCACCGGATTCCGATCTCTGAGGAGACATTATCAAGACATTGTCGAGACATTATCAAGTTCAAATTTTATTAAAATTTGATAACTTAGTCTAGATATTGAAATTTGAATCATACAGAACAAGTATATTGCATTTATGCTATTGAAAGAATGTAGATCAATGTTTTAACATTAATCAAGTTTAATTAATTAATTAAAATAATTTAGTTAAAACTTATGCTAAAGTTCGAATTTTCATGCTTTAAACATGCCACAAAAAAAATCGGTTTCACTGAAAATAAACAGCAGAACAACGCGTTTTTCATCAGCCATAGCGAAAATATCTAAAGTCTCAACAAATCCTGCTTGTTACTGGGCATCAAACAAATATAAAATATTTAAAGATATTTATAAAAATGTTTATCAGCAGACAGCACATGTCACCTACTTGGAAGAACTACAGGACAATACCAGACATTGTCAGGATGATCGCTAGGTGACCTTCTCCTAAAATTCAACTGTGAATTCTCAACAGAAATGGGAATAACATCGGTTTAGTTATTTTGACTATTATCATAGACCAATTTGAATTCTTGGTGGATGAAATTTAAAATGAATCATATCTAAGATGAACACAAATGTAGTACATCAATTGCACGCACACTTCACAGAGGCACAAAGAGATTATGAGCAGAGATGCAAAGACAAAAAAGTATGATGTAGCACGTGACAAAATTGTGACAAAAATCAATTAAAACTGCTCAATCGAAAGCTACCTGCGAGATATTCGGATATTCGCAACATAGTAATAGGTATTGAATAATGAAAAGCTCAACCTAGAAAATGATTTTCTGTTTCCGAATAAGGGATGATATAACCCTTTAAGCCTTTTTAGGCTTAATCTTCTCCCTTTCCCACTTCAAACGTCAGATGTTGTCGTGGTTATTAAAGAAATGTATAGAATTTATGAAATTATCAAAGTTTTGGGTGCCATTTCTAAAAATACGAATAAAGTTCTCATTGTATGACAAAACACGTAATGCCGGATTTTATGTAATGTCTGCTCCATCATTAATTAACGTTTAATTCACAATAAAATGTCATTTTAGAGGACCACAGCTTAGTCGACTGGCTCCAATATTGAAGCTAATAAAATCAGCAAAGCCAAAATAACTAGTTTTCAATATTCAGTGCACTGAATTCAGGTTATGGTACTACAGTGTAGAATAACCCTACAGTTTATAAAGCTTTGTAGTCTTCTCGTGAGGGTAGTGATACGTTTCTGAAGGCTTGTACATGAAAAATAAGGGTATTCGAGCTTTTCATTTAGGATTAAAACAATTCCTTCATTTCATGAAGCCAGGGTGTGGACTGGCTACACCTGGTATATCTTCAGGTGTGGGGTAGTTAATACTGAATACATAAGATTTTAACAGGTTCAACTGTGGATAGATTTTGCCATTTTGAACAGATCAGGTAACCATCTAATGTAGATCAGCAACCCCTGGATCGCTTATTTATATAAAATTCTGCGAGAGCTAATTTTTCACAGCTTTAATATGTTACGTCATCAAACAATGCGCGCATTTGAATTCAGTCTCACAGTCTATAACATGTCCAAACGGTGCATCGCTCAGATTACAAATCATGACAAAAACAAGCGATTATTCGTTGTCGAACAAAACAAATAGCTGCAGTGCAGGGGGGTATATTATACTGCAGTAAGTGCTCATTGTCAGACATATTATCAATACCAAATAAGGTATAATTAACTCACAGTTTGATCCCTGGTCACTGGGGAGCTACAACTAATCATGTGATTACGGCCCAATCAGCAGCTAAGTGTTATATTCAAACGGTACTATAGATAATATAATAACGGCAAACTATTATTTTGAGTTTGTGTTAAAATTAAAATGTCTTGTGAAAATGTGCGATTTATGGCGAATGGGGTTGCAGATAGGAGGGTACATTCAGGTTTTCATTTAAAATATTATAGAAATAGATAATTATAACTTGAGACTAGTTATAAGTCCCGTCCCATCTTGATCATTAATAGCACAAAAGTAGCTGATAGCTCGACAATATTGATCATTGTAAGATAAATACATCAATTATTGCCAATGATACGATGGAAAATGGAGAAATAACAGTTTTTGTCCTAGGTCGTTCTCTATTTTACATTGGGTCAACGGGGTGAATTCAGGCGAATCATAAATTATAAAATTAACCACTTTAATAAAAATTTCAGCAACATTCCGTAACAGATGCACGATTAAAAACACGAGTTAACTGCTCGGTCACAACAGCTAGATCAAGTTGCAGATGATTAGGAAATTGAACCCACAAAGGGAAAGAGGAGAGTTCAACACTAAGACACTAACAACCTCACTGTTAGATCTTCAGCTACCGACTCCTGCAACTCCATGTAATGAGGCTAATATTACCCTTCAAACCACTCATCCTTTACTATATAACAATTCGCAATTTACTGTGCAAGAAATATAACTCTGAACTAAAATCTATAATTCTGCACCAAGATCTAATTATGATATAATATTTACTAAGATCCGATTCTATCGGCTTTTTCTTACTATTTTTATGTTATTTGATATGTGGCATCAGTTTAGAATTCGAAAAATCAAAAAATGCATAAAAGGACGATCAGATGTGTTCCCAAACAAGGCTCTATTCAAACTGTAACTCGCGGTGAACTAGCGAATAAAAGACAATAAAAAGGGTCTTGCAGTGTTCATTGGTGGAATTCTAACAAGCTTTGTTAATTTAACACTGATAATAATTGATACCAAATATAACATAAACAAGTTTAGCTGACTGTTTCACTTGTAAAAGAATATAATTAAAATTAAACCTTAGAGCGACACCACTCCAGTGAAGCACTTAACCCACAAAAGATAGTGCCAGGTAATAATTACAACACTCCGGACTATATTTAATACCCAATGTCCACTTTAAAATGTCTGAGACAATAAAAAAGTAATTACACAGTCAGTGCAGTGAACAGAGAGAGAGCGAGAGAAAGAGAGCGAGAAGGCCAACGTTACGACTAGAACACTCGACTGAAGTGTCACCCCCAACCGAGAGAGAATATACACGGTAACCATGGTAACGGTGTATATTTTATTTCATTTGTGGAGAAGGTGGTTTGTGGGATTGAAGTTTGGAGTGGTGGCACACTGCAGTTAGGGACGTGGGGATCTTGGGGATCACCTGCTGGCCAATAAACTGTAAACTAATTAAATTCTGGATAATTCGAATTATGACCGGATAATTGCAGTCAGTGGCTGACAAATGAGATTCCTCAGATGGTGGGCATCACGTCCGATTGGTTACAATATTAGCACGGCCATGCGGCTTTCTTTCTGTAAAACCCACACTTGATTCGTTCAAGACCACTAATAATGGCAGTTCATGACGTCATAATATACGTAACCAAATTTGCTTCATCAAATTTGGTTCAATCGGGTACCAACTTTATTAATTTTATACAAGGGGAGTCTGGGAGTGCTCGCCAACGAATTGATGTACAACTTACCAGCACCGATTCTTATCACACACAGCTTGATTTCTCGGATCACCGATCACATAACAATTAGTGTCAACTAGAGAATTCTATACTTTCAAGACTTTAAACTAACATTAGTTCTCATCTTCTTCCCAATACATTTCATAAGTTCCAGTACTCCATACCCTGTTAAACAGATGGCTAAGTGAGAAGGAGTATTAGGAGACTAACTACGTAACTAGTCGCCACCTGAACTTGTCACCTGACCATGAAGTAGTTTCCAAAAGTTAAGTACCTCTTTATCTGGGCCGGTTAATGATAACTGGTTCCCTCGCACCAACTTGCTAATTCGATCAGGAAGGGATGAGCTCTACTTTACTACTTGACTACTTTGGAGAGATAATGATGAATAATTACTCCTTCATTTTAAAAGGAACCTCAGCCGGTTCACTTTTTCATTGGTTCATCAGTTCTTAATTATCTAGTTAATGCATATAATATAATTAATAGTTTAAATGAGGTAAGGTTATAATTTATTAATTTAAATATCTAACCACATTTTAACAAACTGTACCCACTGTATTCCTTTGCTTCTATCATCTCTATATTATAAATTTGGATGCCTGGTCCCTGGATGACAAAGCAACCAGCAAGTCTTCAAGTAAGGCCCATCACACTGCGATAATCTCACTACTTTAGTTCAATTGCTGTAGGCTGTTTTTTTTTTTTTTTTTAAGAGAGGCTGGGCCAAGATAGCCCACGAGAGGATAGCATTGAGATGCTCTGCCTACCTCTGGGGTGTGGCAACCTTGGGGAAGGTTGCCGGTGAAATCAGAGTGATTGGTGGAGGATGGTGTAAGATGATATATGAGTCAAAATGATACGCTTAAATGCCAGCTGGGTTTGGAAAAGTAAAACGAGACGAGACAGCATATGAGCTAATACTTTAAGTCACCCCGGTCTGATCCAGCTCTTCCGGCACAATTAAGCGTTTGGTGCGGTTTGCGAAATTGACAATTGTGGTGATGTGTTGGTTGTCGAATATGTCATTGACAGAGAGGTAGTAGTCCTGGAAATATTGACCTCTAATTTGGGCAATAGCTGGACACTGTCCAAGGAAGTGTGAGACAGTTTCCTCTCCGTCGCCGCACATAGGACAAGCACTGGTGTTTGATTTGCAAATGGTGTGAAGGTGTTTGTTTAAGCCGCAGTGACCCGTGATGAGGTGAACTGCAGTTCTGTAATCTTGTCTGTTTTTGCTGAGTGTAGTGTTGAGGTTTTTGATGATTTTGGCATGCTTGTGGCCGAGTGTCAGTTTGGTGTGTCTGGGACCGTCAGTTAACCAAGTTTCCTGATTCAGTCTGTTGACTTTGTTGTCGATTTGACGCTTGATGTAGGATTGTGGAATTGGACACTTCAAAGTGGATTCACTGGTTGTACCAAGCTTGGCCAGCTCATCTGCTTTTTCGTTCCCCCACAATCCGATGTGTGCTGCAAGCCATCGTATCTCTAGC